GCCTCAGTTCTTGGAGATACACAGCACCCTACTGTTGCTCACATGTCAAATGGACACACAGTACTGTAAGGTGACTGTGCTCTCTTTCATCTCCTTAGGTCTATGATTCCCAACCTGCACCACATGGAGCAGGAGATTTGGAGGTTCAGACGCCATGCAAGAGGTTTGTCATTTCGAGTTCAAGGTTTGTAACACAGCAAGAGGATGCAACACTCTATTCCACACTGCTGCCCAGTCGTTGGATCCAATGACCTTTTAAGATGATTCTGACTTCTGTCTCATGGGATTGTGAAGCGCTGGGATGCCATAGTTTACAGAATCCATTCATTCACAACATGCAGATGTTACAGCGCACTAAATGGATGATCAATGGAAAAAGGAGACCAGATTCATGCATGCAGAAAGTCTAGAGGGAGAGATGATGTTTTGTCAACATTAGGGTGACCATATTTCCGTTTGTGAAAACCCGGACACCTTACCGGGGGTGGGGGGTGGAGCCTCGACATTGAGCTAGTCTCACCTCACAACCTGTACACATGGCCTTCCACTTGTTCTGACCGGGATGGAGAATTTCTTGTACAAATCATTGTTAAATGAACATTTGTGGTTTGACATGTTGCAGGCTGACCGACTGTTTGTGTCTGCTCCCTCCTTCTGAGTTACAGAGAGCTACGAGAGCCACTCAGTTTAATGGCCCAATGAAAGGTAATGAAAACCCAGACATTTCCACCACTTTAAAAAAAAAAATCCCGGAGGTCCAGGACAGGACGCAAAAAACAGACATGTCCGTGGGAAAACGGACATTTGGTCACCCTAGTTAACACCCATCAGGACCACCCAGCCCTGCCTCTCTCGTCCTCAGTCCACGAGTATACAAGTGGACTGTACTGCCACCTGCTGGAGGTGCCCATGTAGCTAAAACAGGATGAATATGATGAACCTAACTGTTGTCATCATGATGCTCGTGCTGGAACTGTCAGATGTCTGGTAGGTTTAGTGGCAGTTCCCCAATATTAGCTGTTCTCTCTTTCATTTTGTAGTCTTTAAAAAAGAATCAACGCTGCATTTTTGTATTTACATTTGTGCAGTAATCTGTAATTGATAGTGTTTTAAAATGATTCATATTCATAGTGTTTTGCTGCAGTATAATTTTTGCTGATTTTAGCAAACAATATAGATAAGAGATGTCTTACTGACTGAGACTGGGAAGACGCCACCTAAAGACTGTCTGAAGTTACTGCAGAAACATGCCAAGGTAATACATCATCATCTTATCTATATTGTCTAATATACATTGACAACTACTACTAATTATACATCAAAAACTACTTATACCCATATTAATAATGTTAGTTTGAGGTTTGTTTGTTGTTGTTGTTTTTTAGTTTTGTTTTAAGCACACTTTAATCAATTATTGTGTTTTGTTTGTTTTTCAGCATGGATGGCAAAGCAAGTTGACCGTGGTGAAGAGAAGATCTTTATGACAGCCAGGTGGATAAAATGCACTGGAGTGGTATTATAAGACCAGCAAATAAAGCAGATACTGTCAAACTTAAATTAGACTGAGGATGGTTATGGACAGAAGAGTAAGATGCCTCTATAACAAAGACCTCATGTTTGTTGAAACTCTTAATATGATCTAACTTGTGTTAATTCCAAACAGATTCAAACTGAATTCCTGTTCATAGATTCATAAACCAGAACCGTGCTGTCATCATAAGAGAAGAAATGAGAAAAACACATTGGACTCGATCTTGCCTCCAGTCTCAGCACTTAGTGCAAGTGTGGGGAGTGGAGTTCTAAACAGTCGTGTGTCGTGTCTGAACATCAGGTGGAGTGGAGCAGACTGAGAGCAGGTGTGACATGTTCACTGAATTTCCAGGATTGTAAAAATAAATATAAAACAAGTTCACTGAAAAACAACATGTAACATGCTCAAGGCTTCTTTTATTTAGAAATATATTAGGATGATAAACGCTTAACATTCATGACATGTTCGGGTGCTGTGCAGGAGTTATCCTGATGCCGTCCCGCAGCAGAGCACAGCCCCTCACTCGCTCCCTGTATCAGCTCAGCTCTGCTCTATAGTTTGGTTTGATCTGGATCTGGACAAAAGCTGCTCATTCACATGAGGCCGTTTGCAGCGCTGTCCTAAAGTCTGTTTTCTTACTCTGTCTGTGTCCTAATGCTGCAATGTCCTCACATTCTCATGGCCGGACTCTGCGCGTGCATTCACTGACAGCTCGGGGCTGTGACAGCGGAGCAGACGCACTTATCATTTCTGTGCACAAAGCTGTATTTATATGTTTATATGAGAATAAACCTATTCCATAATCCACGAGACTTCCACCTGTGTGGGACCAAATGCAGTGGACCCGAGAGATGAGAGTGTGACCGGTCAGCAGCAGCAGAGGTGGACACTCGTACCTCAGGTGAGTCCGTGGGAGTAGACTCCAGGACAGACGTGAGCGGGAGCGAAAAAACAGCGGGTCTGCTGTGGGATGCATGATGCGCATGAGAGACATTGGTCTTAAACAAACGCAGAGGAAACTATAAAAGGTTGACGTGTGCGCGTGCACAGGCTTACAGCGGGGCGCAAACCCAGTCATTTCTGTCATGGCCCACACAAAATTCTATATTCGTGGTGGCTCTGCTGGTGTGGACTTGCATCGTGGGGCTCTGGATCTGTTTTATTGTCACATATAGAACTTTTCCCCACACTCCGCTGTCCTGCCTGATAATGAGGCAAAGTTTACAGACATTACCCACACGGGCAGTGCTTTTAAATGCCACAGTGGTCACAGATTGGTTCAGATGCCGTCACCATATATGTACTTGTACCGTCCCACTCCAGCCTCCAGCAGTGAAGTACAGCCCCACCTGGACACGCCCCCTCCTTAACGCTAATGCTAGTGCTAAGATTGGTGGCAAGATCGGGCCCATTGTGCCCTCTGCTGTCTTCCAAGTATAGTGCAGAGGATGCTCCTTACAGAAAAGTGAAAAAGAAAGGTGAAATATTCATAATTGCTTGTAAAGGTCAACAATATTTTCAAATCTAAAATCATGTCTTGTTTTTCCAGCTCCTTCTGGCAAGAACCAACTTGGAAGAAATAAAAAGACAACTAGAGTAAAAAGGCTCATGGATGAATTTCAGGGAGGGCTGCGCTGAGGAGAGGCAGCAACACGAGAGGCATTTTAAGAGCAGGTTAAAGGGCCGATCTCATGCAAAATCAACTTTTCAGAGCTTTCTACCTTCTAAGAGTGATGTGTGGGCCTTGTATATGTTGCCGAAGTGGTTTTTAGATTGATTCAGTGTTTTTTTTTAACAAATTGCAGTGTATTTCTGCCACCCTCCCACGGGACAACGAACTAAAACTGCTACAACGATGACGCAGCAGATACTCTTATGACACGTTTGACGTAGCAGAAAGAGCTTTGCGCTTAGTTCGTGATCTGTGATGCTTCCAAGAAATCAGTAAGATTTCAGAACTATTGTGCAATGGATGTTCCAAAACCCAAATTGTGCTTGTTTATGTGCAGAAGATACAATGTGAAAAGAGTTATTTTACATGAGACGGGCCCTTTAACACGGCCACAAACCTTAGGCATTCTGGGAGGGCATCAGGGCCATCACAGACTATAAGAGGAAATCACCACCTCCCTCAGCTGATTTTTTGTAGTAACTTTTACTACTTCTAAGAATGTTCATCATAGATACAAAAATATAAAGAGGCTTAATTGACAATACAGTAAAGCAGATTTATTTTATAGCTCCCAAATCCCAGTCTAACTGATTGGATTAGTCTAGCATTAGCAATATATTTGTTGGGAGAAACACATCCTGAATGTAGTGTAAAAACTTTATTATAAATATTTCTTCATCAATGTTTTAATTTGAAACTTAACAAAATAACATTAACAGAAAAAAATGTGTTGTTGCTGTTTTTGTGTTTGAATGTTTTTGATATTTTCACATATCATAGTTCTATTTATCTGATGCGCTCTCTCCAAACCAGCAAACTAAAAAGAAAAAAATATATATGAATCTGTTAAATACACTTTAATGAATTAATACCAGCACAAACTTGAGTTCTTCGTGCATAATGTCCTGACAGGTTACACCACTCATTTTACCAAAACACATTTAAGATCATTATGAAGTAGCTAAAATTTTTTTAAATTTGTTTGTTGGTTTGGCAATATTTTTAGGTTTCAAATTTTACTTCCTGTTTGTAAATTGTGACATCTGTAATGGAAAATAAAATAGTGTTGTTGTTGGGTTTTTTTGTTTGTCGTTGTTGTTTTTTAAATCTGTTGTGAAATTTTTAGACTGCAAACCTCAAAGAATAAAAAGAACTGAACAGTTGTCTTGAATCAAGGAGTCTGATATATTGAAGCACTTGTTCACACAATCACAAAACGACAGAGCGCCGTCTGTCCCTAAACTGTGACATTACAATACATACAGAGATTTTACACAAGCGAGGATGAATATAAATATATGAGGAGCACAAGTTCAGAGTGCTCTTTCACATGATAAGAGCTCTGATTAGAGCGAGCTACAAGAAACTATGAAAGCTACGGTGTAGAGCCCTTAACAGCACACATCTGCTGTACCATTTATGATCAGCCTAAACCCAGTAAAAGATTACTCATGTGAAGTTTTCCAGAACAATTCCCCCCTTTTGATAATAATGAAATTATTTATGCTTAATCAACCAAAAAACAGTTCTAACATACAGAAATAGACGCTGCTGTTTTTGTGGGTGTCAGCACCCGATGATGGAGCTGAAGCTAAAGGCTAGAAACAACACTGATTGCAAATATAACACATTTCAAATAAAATCAAAACAACTTAAAACGATCAGTGCACGAATCAATTGGGAGCTCAGTCACAAAGTGCTTCTTGATTTGTGTAAAATTATAATTTATATTTATAACAGATATTATCCCACTAAATGAAGTCAACATTAGAAAATAATAAACCTGTCACAGGCACGTTATGTTGACTTTGGGAAGTAGAACTCTTTGGTCAGCAGGGACGTGATGCAGGGGATTTCTTTGTTGTTGCCTACAGACGCTTGGAAGTGATAGGCCACTCTTCTGTTCACTCTGGTCAGAATGTGCATCAGCTCCAGGTCCCTGTATTTCTTGATCATCTCACACAGACTCTGAATGAACCAGGAGCCCTCACTGTCATTCCTCCAGGCGTAGTATCCTGCAGCCAAAAGAGGGTTCAGTTTGAAATTGTTTATTAAAGGGGGAGTATTTTACTTCTGTGGGGTAATAGCTGCTAACACATAACATATTACAGACCACCATGTTACCTTTTATTATTTTGAAAATGCTAAATTTGTCAGAAACAGCATATTAACATGTATTATAAGTTTCACTTTTGATTTTAACTCTCTGAGTCCCCACTCCTTTTGCTCCCTGCGTTAAGCTACCCCCCCTTCAGAGCATTATCACAACACAATCAGTGAGCATCCCACCAATGAAATTGCTGCACACTGCATTAGGTTTTTGAAGCTGGTGTGTACAGTTTTGTGTCATGTTTTAGTACATTTATGTTGAATACACGCATCAAGAATCTCAAACTTCTGGTCATTGAGCAATTCATACTGGGAAGGATTTTCCAAAAAAGTGAGCAAACTGCCATGTTTGTTTTCCCAGTGGGATGCGTCTATTGACAAAGTTGATCTTTTCTAGTCTTTTAAACCATATCACTTTTGTTTCTGGTTCTGATATTGTCATATTTTAGTTTTGGGATTCTGATATTGAATATCGTTAATTGTGTGGTTGTTGGATGTCCTAACAGTGGAAAACAGCTCGAGAAATTTGTTTGCATTTGCAACATTTTGTATGTGGAGCACCATCAAAGCAAAATCCCAATCCCTCACTCAACCTTGGTTACAAATTTAAAAAGTCAACGCCAAAGCGAAAGGCACCAGCTGTTCACCAAGAAACACCTTCCACTGCAAAGAGACCAAGACGTGATGTGGCTGTAAAACCAAAAGAACAAGAAAGTGCAGCTCAGGCTGTTTGTCTTCTGCACCTCTCACTTAACAAACGGGATCCTGCTTTGATGGCTCCACAAACAAAATGTTCGCTGCAAACTCGGTATGATTTAGGCAGTCAAAGGTTTCCTTTTTCGTCCTTCCTGTGGATCAATTCTGCCCATCGCCTTCACTGTTCACTATTTTTCAATTCAGTTGGGAAGGGAAACAGTTTGAACAGAGGTTTACAGTCACACTCATCTGATTCCCTTTTGCATCTATGGAGTTCTCAAACAAATTTCTCGAGCCGTTTTCTGCTGTTAGGATCCAACAACGACACAATTAACAATGTCTGAATCCCAAAACTAAAATATGACAATATCAGAATCAGAAATAAAAGTGATATGGTTCAAAAGACTTGAAAAAATCGGCTTTGTCAATAGACTCATCCCACTGGGAAATCAAACATGGCAGTTTGATGCTCACTTTTTCAGAAAATCCTTCCCAGTATGCATTGCACAATGACCAGAAGTCCGAGATTCTTGATGCATGAATTGTCTTGTGGGAGCGTGGGTGACTTAGGCTTGAGGGCGGAGCCTTGTACACAATCTTACAGCTAACCGTGAGAAGTGTTTTTTGAAGTGATCATTTATGTTTTGATTTGTTTGTATTGTGATCTTAAAGGTGTAACTTTTTGGTTACAATAACATTTCCATGGAGAAAAGCAGGTGACGGACCCCTACCAGAAATGTTGTGCAATGCACCTTTAAAATGCACCAGAGTTTGTTACGTGCATTAGTGTCCAGATTGTCGTACCAGGATATTATTCACTCAAGTATGACCTGCTAAACTAATGGATGAGTGTTGTAGTGATGTGTTACCTTTCGCTGTGGCGTAGGCGTACAGACAGTCCGCCTCCACTGGAACTGTTGTTAGCTCATTCACTGAAAAAGCATCCACACCATCCTGGTTTGGCCTCACAACTCCAGGATCACGCTTAATTCCACGACATGCCTTTGAAGAAAAAAAAAACTAGCATTAAACCTTTTTATCTTCATGGAGACCAAACCAGACCCAGTAACAGGTCAGATCTGTGGAGAGGTGACCCCACTCAAAAGCTCATCATGTGCATTAATTAAAAAGTGGGAATGAAGTAAATAGCACAAGAGAGAGAGAGAGAGAGAGAAGGATGCACAGAGGGTCAGGCAGGTAGAGGAGTGAACGCTTTGAAAAGGACTGACCTGAATAAAGAAGAGCTTGGGTTTCTCTCTGAGGCTCTTGCATCTGTCTCCTTTAAAACATCTAGTGAGTTTGTCCAGTTCAATATAGTCGTCTGTTCCATAGATCTTGTCCTCTTTTCCATGGCTCAAAATGACACAAACGAAGGATGCGTTTTGACTGTGGTCCTCTTTAGCCACTGAGAAATGTAATGTAAAGCACAGAGACAGAGTGAGACTGGCACTGAACTCACCACAAATATGTGTTTCCAGTTATTTTTATGTGAAGCAGTAAGTTCAACATGGCTGCATTTGTATTAGTAATAATAATAATAATTCATCAGTTTTATATAGGTCTTTTTTGGACACTCAGACGCTTTACAGTGCATTATTCATTCACTCCACACTCTGTGGTGTTAAGCGAGGCTGCCAATCTGCACCACCGGCCTCTCCGACCACCACCCTCACTAAGCCAAAGACGTTCATTTGTCTTCTTATATACTTTAACTTCTTGGGTTCTTTTTAAAGACAATACAGTAAAGTGTATTTACCTTGTTGACATGTTTCAGCTGCTAGCTGCAAGCCATCTTCAGAACTGTCCTGTCCCAGCCCTGGACAGTTCTGAAGATGACTTGCAGGTAGCACCTGCTTAACATTATAATTATAATGTTCATTCTAATGTTCTGTCTAATTATCATCCAGCTATAGTGTATAGTTTTTTCTCAGTTTAATTTATAAAATAAAAGCTACATATACAGCTCTATGGCAATGCTTTCTAATCATGATGCATCTAGAGTCCCACAATAAATTACAGCTGTTAAATATGAATGACAATAATATTAATCAAATATGTACCTTTGTTTTAATAATAAAACATGGTCAATCTCCTTATTGCTTTAGTGACTACTAAAACCTGCTGACACAAAACTTCAATACTAAACTGTAAAAAAGGTCATTCTTGAAATGTAACTTCATTATATATATATTTAAAAAAAATGTTATCAGAATATAAGTGAATATTCGTAGTGTTTTTTTAAATAGTGCATCAAGTTACCTTTCACCATCTCCTGCTTCATCTCTAACTCAGTGAGGTCCTTGTGCATAATGACTTTGTATCCTAATTCTTTAAATGTCTTCTCCAGGGCAGCTGCGTCCACATCTGTGCCAAGTCTACACCCCATTCCTGAAAAAAACACAAATCATTAATGAGGGCCTATTACTCTATTTTCTGATCTATGTTATAATATTTCCTTTTATAATGTTTCCTCACTACAAACATACTCAGAGTTGTGTTTTGTTTCATTCACACGTTTAACACACAAACATGCTGCAAACTGCATATTTACACTGTTTTCTTCTCTCAAACAGAAAACACTCTGTCCCACCTTGTGATGTTATATCACAGGAAGTGCTCCACTGTGTTTTTAAACTCAATACACATTCACTAGAATCATTTGGATGATTTCAGAACTGGAATTGCCCATTTCTACTGAACGAAACATAAAACGTAGCTGTTAACTTGAAAAAAAAAACGCTTCTTGACATCACAAGGTGGAACAGAGCATTTTGAGCTTGGGATGTAGACTAAGATGGACCCTTTAAGACAGGGGTGTCAAACTCATTTTGGTCCGGGGGCCGTATCCAACCTACTTTGATCCCAAAGGGGCTGGATCAGAAAACTCATGTCATATAAACCCCAAAAATAACAATAAGTTCAAATATTTGTGCAGAGAAACACAAATCTATTACAGACATCTTTTTAATTGATGAACTCTTTCTTTTACAAAATATTATAATATTATGAACAACCTGAAACTTTAAGAAAAATGCAATTTCAACACAATGTTTCAACATGAACTTGTATGTAAATAGGAATAAGTAAATTTTTGTTGGAAAATCCTGCACTCGGCTCCACTTTTCTCATGTTGGACATTTTTCTGATGAGGGTGTCACGGTCAACAGTCAAAACGATTGGAAAGAGACAAGTCTTCATTTGTGCTGCTCTGGTGGGAGGGGCCACGTACAGAGACGCTGGAGACACTGCTATGCTCAGCACCGCAGAAAATAAACTATATTTTAATAGAAAATATAATTAAAATATTTTAATACAAAATCACCCAAGGGTCACATTAAAGGTCTTGGGGGGCCGGATCTGGACCCTGGGCCTTATGTTTGACACCTGTGCTTTAAGATATAAACATTAATAACAGACCAAACAGGCGCCGTCTTTGCTCTTCGGTTGCTATACTCCTACTTACTATATTTCTATTTTTTATTTTACTTGTTAAGTACAATTATATAATTCTGCTTTATTTTACAATGGTCTCTTGCTATTTCTGCTACTTATTTAGAATGTATGCCTTTGTTATTCCTCTATATTGTGATGTGTGAGCTGCTGTGTCCAAATAATTCCCCTTGTGGATCAATAAAGTTGGTCTGAGTCCAAGTCTATTTACATGGTCTATGTTCTCAAGTGTCTGGTGGATGTAGACCTGACCTGTGCTTCTCTTGAAGTTCTCGTTGTTGAAGATGACGCAGATTCCCACACAGGGGAAGTCCGTCTTGTATCTGTGCATATCCTCCTCATTCTCCTTTGAACTAGGAACACAAAACGTAGACACCACTGGGTGATATTTCTGGGTAAAAGTTGTTTAACATCTTAAATCATAAACTGATAAGATTTGTCAGTTATTAGCTGATGACTTTAAAGGTGCATTGTGTAACTGTAATTGAAATGACAGTAATAGGTAATAAATAACGCATTACAGTTTCAAAGTAACTTGCCCAACAGTGCTTGGTAAATGATTAATAAAGCATAATCTGTCTTCAATTTAGAAAAACTCTCAAAAAGACTTAACTAACAGATAACAGCAGCCTGAATGATCATTGCATTACATTATTAGTAAATCATTCTCTCATATCTTACTAATGATTAATAAATGCTCAAATGGTTAATTCATGAGTAATTAAGTATGAAATAATTATGAGTAACTACAGCACAGGCAAATTAAGTGCAAGTGCTAATTAAGGTAGTAATTAAGTAGTTACTAAGTGTGAATCATTAGTAATTATGTCTTTGTTCATTATTAATTAAGCCTTTGTTCATGCTTTATTAAGGCTAAATAAGGTGTAGTTATTATAAAGTGTTACCCAAACTTTTAAATCTTCTGACTGATTGTACTGTAGATGTATTGTGTAGAATGTAAATGTGTTGTGTGTGACTTATGACTTTGGTCTTGATGGTCATGTTGTTGATGAATTGTATTTTAGAGAATAATAATACTGATGAATTTGGTAAATGTACATTTTAGAGGATATTGATCACAGTTAAATTGATCATGATGAATTTGAAATCTTGTATTTATCGGAACCACAATGAATGAATTTGGATTGTTTGAAATGTTTAATGATGAATTTGATCATGGTTATGTTAAGGAGACACTGTTACTGATGAAATGTTATTATAGTTGGTCTTATGTAAATAGTTTCTTTAATGTACCTGATGGAAAGGAGCTCGTAGCTAAATCTGCCCCACATCTTTTCTCTCTGAGTTTAATGTTTTCTGTGCATGGTCCTTATCTTAAATAAATAAAACAGGCAGTGTGATTCCAGCTCTCACAGATGAATGCTGGTATTGTGTCTTTAGGCAAGAGGCTTAACCCACCTTGCCCCTAGTGTCTGCATATACTGATTGTTCCTTAATGTAACGGGCTTTGAGAGTCTTGAAGGTGGAAAAGCGCTGTATAAAAAATGTAACCATTTAGCAGAGGTGGGACCAAGTGGTTTTTTTTCAAGTCTCAAGTAAGTTTCAAGTCTTTGACCACAAGTCCGAATCAAGTCCCAAGTCAAATACAGGCAAGTCCAAGTTGAGTCTCGAGTCACTGGCCCGTAAGTCCAAGTAAAGTCCAAGTCATTTGCTTTGAGCTTCAAGTCATTTCAAGTCTTTAAACCATCTTAGATTTTTGCAATTTATGTGAATTTCAAACTAAATTATACTTACAATGTCATGTTATATTTATATAAGAGTTGTAGAAATGCCTTTTTAAATGTCTTGACATGATCTTAGCGTGAATCATTACGGTCAGAGGAGAAAGAATTAAAATTTAAAAGTGCTTAATAACAGTTATTTTGTCATTTAGTTCTCTGTAGTTCCTTCTGTTTTACTGTATTCTACTGTATATTACTGCACAGTACTGTGTATTACTGTAGTACATTTGAGGATCACATTGCATCGCCACATTTATCAACTGTAAAGAGAAAAGTATTTTCTAAAAACATATATTTTTTAGGAGAAGCATCGAGTCTTCTCAAGTCACAGGGCTCAAGTCCAAGTCGAGTCCCAAGTCTTAGTCCATTTTATACTGTAACAACGACCGAAATATCGTGATATTGTATCGTCAAAATAATATCGTGGGCCATCACAATATATCGGATTACAAGTCTCTTTCTTAAATTAAGAGTTATGGTGCAGCAATAGCTAAAAAAAAAAAAGACAGAGGGAACTACATAGACCATGATCCTTTGCTCCGTTTCAGTGCAGACTACAAGAAGAAATAACAGTTCTAAGCACTTTTAAGTCTTAGTTCTTTGGATTAAGTCTTGTCAAGGCATTTTAAGGAGAAAAAGTAGCATATTTACAGTTTTAGCTGTTTTGCTTCCACAAAATATTGCAATAAATATCGTACGGTGAGATGTATATCGTGAAAATATCGTACCAAAAGATCTGGATATTGTTACATCTCTAATCATGAGCCTCCCCACCATCTCAGGAGCTTTCCCAACAAATATAGTACCATGAGGTTCATACCGTCACGATATCGCATCATGAGACTTGGATATCGTTACACCCCTACCATTTTATCAAGTCAAGTCTCAAGTCCTAAAAATATTGACTCAAGTCTGACTCAAGTCCAAGTCACAACTTGCAAGTCCCCACCTTTTCCATTCACCATTTAAAAAGTCATGAATAGATCCCAGTACTCACATCTGTGCTCCAGCTGTGTCTGCCGGGATTCTGAAAGAGTTTTGAAAGTGATAATTAAATATGTCTTTGAGATTATTTTGGGTTCATTCTTCTATTAAAACAGAAAAAGCACTACAGTAAAAAGTCATGAGTAAGTCCCAGTACTTACATCGCTGCGTCAACTGTGTCTCCACTGCGCTGTGGTGTATCTGCCGGGATTCTGAAAGAGTTTTGACAGTGATTATTAAATATGTCTTTGGGATTATTTTGGGTTCATTCTTATATTAAACTAGTTGGGGAATAGAAAAGCACTACAGTAAAAAATCATGAGTAGATCCCAGTACTTACATTGCTGCGTCAACTGTGTCTCCACTGCGCTGAGCTGTATCTGCCATGATTCTGGAAGAGTTTTGAAAGTGATTATTAAATACGGCAATAATTATCGGTTATCGGAATATTGTGAATAAAAAATAATGAAATGTCTGATCTCATTGCTTTGTCTGGAATGTTTCACAGTATGGCATTAAACCTTTTTATCTTCGTGGAGACCAAACCAGGTCAAGATAAAGGTCAGATCTGTGGAGAGGTGTCCCCGATCACAGTCAGAATGTCTGTTTTTCTAGGTAGTTTTGAGCTATAAAACCACCTGTAATTGAATAAATGTAAAGTAGAGCTGTTTAATGTCACACTGTGGAACATTCAAGACAATGACATATCCATAAAAACATGCAAACCCCAACAAACCCCAAAAGTTACAAAGTGCACCTTTAAATAAATAATTAACTAACAGTAACGTATGAGTATTCTACTATAAAAACATAGAGCTACTTCAAAGAAAACATTTGTAACTGTGCAAATGAGCAAAACACAAATTTCCTCAACTATTCAGACTGGAAATGAAATATTTGTGCACATACCTTTGTTGTGGTGAAGAGTTGTGCAAAGGTGATGACCGGTGTAACCTTTAGGGCACTTGGAGGGAAATAGAAAGGAAAACGAGCAATGCCGGGCATATGATACTGGCAATCAGAAGCCAGAGACTGAGAATGTGGGCGGCTGAAAGAGAAATTCGGAAGCTGATTGGTTGAAAGTGTGCCAGGCTTTCCAGAGAAGTGAGTTAACCTGCATATTTTAAAGTGAACGTCACACGTGTGGAGAACATGATTAGATTGTGACACCACCCTCCTTTTGTTACTGAAGAATATGACATAATTTAATCATACAGAATATGCCTATTCTGTACGATTAAATATTACATTCACTGTTATCACTGGACACAAGCCACAATACATCAGTTCAGATGGACTTCTAATAGATTGTTATTGTTACAATATTGTTTTAAATCTACAGAAACTAAAGCACAAACAGCAACATGCACAGGGTTAGAAACTGAGTAGACTTTTCATAATAATGCATTGGATTTATATATCACATTATTAAATTATTATTATTGCCTAAGGGCACGACGACAACTAAATCTTTGCCACTGGAGCCTCCCTGTGACACCTGGTGTTTGTAGCACTCTCTCACCAGGCCCAGGTTTTTAAACATACTTCTAATTTAAAGTGAATATAGCAGGTTTTCATGTTTTTCTAATGTATTAATTGGGATCACAGGATAGTATATGTGGTCAGTATTTATTATCACTTAAGTGTCACTTTGTGGGGAAAAAAGGTTGATAAGAAAATACAAAAAAAAACAAAAAAAAAAACACAGGAAGTAGCGGTGAGTTCCAAAATGGATTAACTAAACCAATGTCATCAACATAGAATAATCCAAAATTCAGGGAAAAGTTACGAGCGATCCAATCTCATACATCTACCTTAAACTACTACTGCCCTGGGTCTGTCTGATGGAAGTGAGGCTGCTAATCTGCTCCATCTGCCCCTCTGAGCACCACTCACACATCACATTCATACTATGCAATGTGGGTGAAGTTTTGTCACTAGCAAAAACTGCCATTACATTAAGATTTGAATGTTTATTTGTGCGGCTCTGGAGACATAACTTAAACCTAAAGCCACACACCACCAGGCCAAAGTGTGAACACACATTTTCATTTGTGTTTCTTCTTTATTTACATTGTAGATTCTCATTGAAAACATCAAAACTATGAATGACACATATGGGATGTAGTAAGCTAAACTTAATGTCCTGTACTCTTTACTTGGATCATTGCTTTGTACTTGGCATTTCTTGTCTTGACAAGGCACACCTGTGAGCTTTAAACTTACTTTGACAATTTGAATATGAAATAGAAAAATATATATTTTTACTGTTATTCTTTGCTACATAATGTCACATTTCTTGCATCATGTATTTAATGCCTGTCGTATGTATCTAAAACACAGAAAATGGTAAACATAAGGAAAGAAACACTGAATGAGAGGATTTGTTGAAACTGTGTTCTGTGGAAATATGTGCATATAGTTTGTGTTCAAGACAATTAGATAAGATCAATCATATCTCTGATCCCCCACAAGTGTGACACACCTCTACACACACAGGTCAAAACAATTGACCAATTTATTTCTTAGGAAAGGTTTGGAACACTTTTAACCAATCCCCTTCACAGTTTCTCCTTCACCCAAAGTCATATAACCATATCCCCGTGTCGATGAGTTCCTGTAAATGAGCAGATTTATCATAATAATGCATTGGCTTTATATGGCTTTTTTTTTTTTTTTTTTTTTTGGACACTCACAGATGCTTTAAATTGCTTTATTCATGACTTTAGGAAGAACTCTCTGTTTAATCTGGCAATCTGACATAAACAGAAACAAAATGAGCATGTAAATAAATCTATTCAAGTGTATAATAATAATAATTGGCCCAAAGCCTTTCCCCTTTATACTATCCTTTCAGCAGAAGACCGCAATATGATTGTGTGGGCTGAAAGAGAAACTAGGAATTTGATTGGTTGAAAGTATGCCAAAACTGATAAATGAATTACTGTACATATTTTCAACGTATAACAACATTAGGATAAGAAGAGCTCAACACATCAAAATAACAGATTACAGAAGAGTTTGTTTAAAAAAAATAAAAATATATAGGTGTAGTTGTATATCTTTTCTATTTTACAATTCACCTCTAGATTATGTTGTTTATGTCACTGATTTTCCACCAGTGTGCCTTGGAAAAATGTTCTCTTTGAGTGAACAGATTCTCACCTGCATTTCATGGAATCATTTGCCTTTTTGGAAAGCGCTAAGCGAAGATCTGATCCAAAAAACAAAAGCAAAACAATCATCTCTAAATTGAAATAATCAGACTCAGTGGCATGGACAGTATTTACAGTGTTGGGAAGGTTACTTTTAAAATGTATTCCCCTACACATTACAGATTACATATATCAAAATGTAGTTTGTAAAGTAATCCATTAAATTACTTAAAGTGAGTAACGTAATCTGAATACTTTGGATTACTTGATATTGTCATGTTTTTTAAAACTACATGAATGTAGCAACCACATCATGAAAATTCATGTTGTTCTCTTCAAATTGGCCCTGGTTTAGTCCTTGTTTTAGTCCTGGTTTAGCCCAAAATGTGAAAACAGGAAATACCGCCCTGTAATCCATTTATTTCAACAAAGTAACTGTAATCCAATTACCACTCATTGAAACAGTAACTGTAACTGAATACAGTTACTCATAATTTGTACTCTGATTACGTAACGCCGGGACATGTAATCTGTTACTCCCCAACACTGGGTATTTGCTACATTATACATATTGAAAAACTTCTGTAAAAAACTGCTGTACTGGGAAATCCTGAGGGATATTACATATGCACAGTGACAGAAAGTGATGCAAAGATCAAGTCATTTACTGAACCAGAATAATCTACTCTTTCTGTGTCTTTCATTTGTTATGTCTTATTTAAAAGATTGTGTTGAAGTGTGTGGAAACTGATATGATGTCCTTTATTTCATAGCAAAAAAGGCTGTCCCCTGTGAGACACCATATCACATGACGGCCGGTGAATCATGCGCCCGGGTGCCTCCAGCATTTAGGCACTGCAGGTGAAACAAAAGGTAAGCTGCTGTCCTGTCCTGTAAACCTTCTATTTTCACAAAAGATGAATACAAAATAATTATGTTTCATTCACAGTGATGAATGAAAACGAGCAGAAAGACGTATAGATTTTCACATCTAACACATACATATACATTTCTAACACTTCAACAGTTCCAACTACATTTATAAGTGTAACCGGGTGATTAGACTATGTTGTCCTACTGTGTTGCGTCCGTGAGTGCGTCCACCTGTGCGTCGCTGCGCGTGGCTCCTGGCGTCACTGATTGCGCGATTAGAAAAGGCTGCGCACGCCGTGGGGAGGCAGTCGGGGCTTTCGACGGCTTTTGAAGGCAGCGCGTGTAAGTACCGGAGTTGTTTTAATATTTTTTATAGAATTTGCTATAATGCGATGTGTCTGACTGCATTTTAAAGGTTGTCTGGAGTAGGCGGTGGTGCCGGCGGCCGCTCGTAGCGCTCCGAGCCCCATGTAGAGCGCCCCCCTCCCCCTTCTAAATTTGTGGTAAATGCTGTTTGGGTGTATATCTGGGGTGGTGGTCGCTAATGGTCTACTTGAAGCTAATTTATTTTTCCCTGTGTAACAGATTGCCACTGCTGCATTATTCTTGCTCTTTATTCTTTATCTTATTCTTAGTGTTGGGTTTTAATTGAAGATTGATTAACAGTAGCCGAGGTCGTGGAGGGAAGTGCAATATTTGGTCAGGGGGTCAGTGCAAAGCAAGGTTAGGTCTCAGGGTTGGCACAAGTCACTTTCGCCCAAGTAGGCCTCCTTAGCACGAGCACTTTCACCAGCTGGAATTTTATGCCCTTTATTGTAACGAAGTCTACCTCGGCACACGCACTTTAAGTATTATTACATTATCCAGGTTTACAGCGCACCAGCACTTTAACTTATTGTGAATGTAGGGTTCAGCTAGTGTTTTTGTTTGTTTTTTGGTATTAATGTTTGGTTTGGATTATTAATTTGATTTGTTGTTTTAGTTTGGTGGGGGTTGAGTCCTACATCTATGACAATTGAGTGGTGTGTAATTGTATCAAGAAGGGAACCAGAAAATGTTTTTTTTTTTTTTTTTTTTATGTTTAGAAGATTAAATAAAGAGGTGTAACTTTTATACCACATTGCCCTTGTCCTTTTTGTGCCAGAACGGATTCTGTGAGTAAATAAGGGTTCTCAGTCGCAACATTACATAAGCAACTTATTTACATACACAATATGAAATACTTGTTAATTAACACAAAGGGACAGTGTATACTTCATACTTTTTTAGCACATCATGTTTGACATTTCTTTTAAACATTTGACTAGATTTTGAAGCTTTTATTTTTTTAAGATTTCAATTCCTTTCAAATTATGATTTTCTCTCTGACTTGTTCTTTGGTTTGGTTCTTGAGGTTGGTAGGCAAGATCTGCTGATCTGCTTTGTACATATACTTTTTAAAAATATGAAGTTCTACAATTTCATTGAATTTCAGTATCTTTAATTGTATAAATATTGAGTTGAGTCTCTGTAACCACTTCTGCTGATGATTCTTACAGCTCTTTTCTGTAAAATGAAAACTGGATTAACATAAGTTTTACAAGCACTTCCTCAAACTTCAATACAATGGCTCAAATATGGAACAATGAATTATACAACAAATACAATGCACATCTTTTACATTTTGAACCGCAGCTATTACTTGTGATAATTTAATTTTGACATAATCTATATGGGATTTTTATGTCAGATGTTCATCAATTATAACACCCAAAAATTTGAACTCATGACCTTACTATTTGTTCATCTCCAATAAATAATGTGGCATTGCCTTTTTTTTTTTTTTTTTTTTTTTTTTTTGAGTTGAGCTCTGAGAACCGAGCTTCAGTTTTTATTACCCAGCATGCCGTGTTCTTCACAGCTGGCAACAGTTTAACTTGTGTGAGCAGAGAAACAACTACTAAAAACAGAAAACAGTAAGGTAGTCAGTAACAAGAAATATACTTGTTACAAGTTGTACACTTGTTAAAAGCCTCTGAAAAGTGTGTTTTTAGGATTGATTTAAAACCGGTACAGACACGGCTTGTCTAATCTCTAATGGCGACTGGTTCCAGAGCCGCACGGTCCCCACGAAGCTTACATTTAGTTTGTGGGAGAGCGAGCTGGAGCTGGCCTGCTGACCTGAGAGCGTGAGAGGGGACGTAAGGGTTGATCAAGTCAGCGAGGTAGGATGGCGCTAGGCTGTGTAAACAATTAAAAGTAAATACAATTTTTAAATTGACTCAGCCAATGGAGAGAGGCTTAAATAGGTGAGATGCTCTTGTGCTTCCGGGTTCCAGTTAAAAGTCAAGCCGATGAGTTTTGAACCCATTGCAAATGGCAAAGTGCATTTTAGCCGACATCAACATAAAGTGCATTACAATAATCCAATGTAGTTGTCACAAATGCATGTATGACAGTTTCAAAGTTTTTGCATTGACAAAATAGGCTTAATTTTGGCCTGTTGTCTTAGCTAGAAAAAAATAGATTTTACAACAGCACTAATTTGTTTAAGTTTTAGATCAGGATCCATTTTGACACCTAAGTTTGTAACAACTGGCTTCACTAAATTATTTAGTGAACCCAGGTCCACAGAAAAAGAAGAATTTAAAGGGGTAAGGCCAAAAAACATAACTCTTGATTTTTCCTGAGGTGCAAAAAGTTCCGTGACATCCAAGACTTTATGTCACTGATGCAGTCTAGAAGTGGTCTGGCAGCCTGTGGATCCTGTTTCTTTACAGCCAAATCTATCTGCCATTAATCAGCATAAAAGTGGAACGAGATGCCATGTTTCCTCAGAATGGTGCCCAGAGGGAGCATATAAAGAGGAAAAAAGCAAAGGCCCTAGAAGTGATCCCTGGGGAACACCGTACGACAGGGGGTTAGAGGAGGAAACATAATTACCAACACCAATAGAGAAAGGTCTATCAGTCAGGTATGACCTAAACCATAGCAGGGCTGGACCACGAATCCCCACCCAAGAGAGAAGAATCTCGTGGTCCACTGTGTCGAACGCAACTGTCAGATCCAACAGTGCGAGAACAACAGAAACACCAGTATCAGTAGAAATAAATATGCCATTAAAAATATGCAAAAGGGCAGATTCTGTGCTGTGTAGACTCTTAAAACCAAACTTAAAAACATAATGATCAACGGGTGGCATACAGGCACAAAGTTTATATCAGATTTATTTCATGATTTGCAATTCACAGTTTATGATGATAAAAAAAAACATAACATTACAAAACATTTGAATTCATAAATCAAACAAAACCTACCCATGACCCTGCCCATAGTAACCAGCTGTTTATCTTTCAGTTCAATACAAAGTCCCAGACATAAAAATAATTAAACAGAATTAGCTGCATATGCTTATGGTTACACTGAAAATCAAAATCAACATACTTTTATAGGATTGTATTGAGTATTTGCTCTTCTCCAAAGATCCGACCTGTAACTTTAACTCTGGGCATCACCTGCTTGCCTCCATAGGGATAAATAAGTTTAATGCCACTGACGATAGAGACAGACCCTCCACCAGGAAAGTTACACAGTACAGCTTTAAAACCAGTGGTGGAAGGAGTACTCAAATTTTTAAAAGTACAGATGCTGAAGCAAAAAAAAAAAAAAAAAGAAACTCAACTAAAAGAAAAAGTATTACATGAAAGATTCAACTTAAGTAAAAGTATTAAAGTAGTAAAAAGTAAAAGTGTTTTGTGCAGATTTTGTGAACAAATAGAACTCCAAATGTGCTGATTGTGATAGATTTGCTGAATTTTGTTCAAAAGAAATCAGCTGTTAAATGTCAAATCTTAAATGTCAGTTGTCTCATGTTAAAAATAATTGTCTCATGTTAAAAATAAACCCCTCAGCCTTTTCAGCAGGTCTCAAACAATAATAATGATTTAAAAAAAAAAAAAAAAAAAAAATTTTAATTTTCAGTCCTGTAAGTAGTAGTAGTAAGTAAAATGTAGTGGAGTAGAAAGTACAGATACCTGCCCTAAAATGTAGTAGTAAGTAAAATGTAAGTAGTAGTAGTAAGTAAAATGTAGTGGAGTAGAAAGTACAGATACCTGCCCTAAAATGTAGTAGTAAGTAAAATGTAAGTAGTAGTAGTAAGTAAAATGCAGTAGTAAGTAAAATGTAGTGGAGTAGAAAGTACAGATACTTGCTCTAAAATGTAGTAAGTAAAATGTAAGTAATAGTAGTAAGTAAAGGAAGTAAAATGAAAAGTAGTAAGTAAAATGTATCCACTTTAAAATGTACTTGTAAAGTACAGATACCTAAACCGTATACTTAAGATCAGTACTTTATCTCTTTTACTTCGTTACATTTGACCATTGCTTAAAATCTATTCTGGGAAGTAGAAGTCTTTGGTCAACATGGAGGTGAAGCTGGGGACTGCTTTCTTTCCGTCATATTTGGGATTACTGTTGGAGGACACAAACTCAAAGGCCACTTTTCTGTTCACTCTGGTCAGGATCTGCATCAGCTCCAGGTGTTTATATTTCAGCAGGATCTCGCACAGAGACTGAATGAACCAGGAGCCTTTCTCAAAGTTCCTCCAGGCGTAGTACCCTGCAGACCAGAGGGTAGACAGAGGAATCAGTTACAGATTGAAACACACTTAAAATGTTTTTTGGATGGGAACCAAAACTTTCTTTTCTATCTCAATGTGTTAAAGGGCCCATCTCATGCAAAATCAACATTTCAGAGCTTTCTACCTTCTAAGAGTGATGTGCGAGCCTTGTATATGTCGCCAAAATGGTTTTTAGAATTGATTTGGCTTTTTTTTTTTTTTTTAAACAAATTGCAGCGTATTTCTGCCACCCTCTCACGTGACAACGAACTAAAGCTGCTACAACAACAACGTGACAGATACACCTACGATGCGTTTGACATAGCAGAAAACGCTTCGAGTATTTGTTTTTCTATGTATTATTGAGCCACAGATGTAAGGCAGCAGCCAGGTTGGCGAATCCGCTTAATTTCATTTCTCTCCAGTGACTAGATCAGGAATTAGAATAGACTAGACGGTTCTCAAAACCCCAGGAGTACAAGTTCGGGCACCAGCCAATCAGTGAAGAGTGATATATTCAGTGTTGTCAATGATTCCAGAGATCGAGGTTTTAAAGCCGGAACAAATTTCATCAAGGGGAAAGACATTATTGCCCTTCTTCCTACGAGATTTGGGAAAAGCTTAATATACCAGTTAGCCCCGTTAATGGCGCATTAACTACTTTACAACCAAATATCAGCGATTGTTAAATGATTTTAAAAAAGTACCCATTTACCATCGAGCGAACGAAATCTAAGGCTGCGAGGTCAGACAGTTTCTACAAAGTGAAATGAAGTAAAACTGGTTGATGAATCAGGCTAGTAAGGCAGAGCTGTCTAATGTCAAACTGTGGAACATTCAAAGCAGAGCAATGACAGTGACGGACCCATAACCAAAAAGTTACATAGTGTAGTGTTGTTAGTTTTTTATCTGCTCTCCACAGCTCTAGTTTGAGAGTCTGTAGTAGTGGTCTGTGTTACCTGGAGCTGTGGCGTAGGCGTACAAGAAGTCTGCCTCCACTGGGATCTTTTGTGTAATGGGCAGCGCTGTGGCGTCGACCATGTCTCTGTCCGTCGTCCCAGAATCTAAGTTTTCACCACGGCATACCTTTGAATCAACAGAAAATAAAGATACACAACCATAGAACACTTAATTATGCAGATGGTTTCTAAACAGACGGACTGGGGACGTGTGCAGGGGAGGAGAATAAATACATTGAGGAGAAGGAGGCAGAGGTTAAAGTGGTGCTGTAATGGTGTCATGAGTCAACAAGCTCCCTCTACTTGCAGATGGATGAGGAGGATAGGGTCAGATGGAGAAGAGGATGCAAAGGAGAGGGTTAACACAAAATTTAAAATTACATCTCATACTTTTTTAGCATATCATTTTTATTACTTTATTTTTTTTTCCATTTAGACTGTTTCATAGCCTGACACCTTTGAGTGAAGAGGAGAGGGTCAGATGGAGCAGAGGACGAAGAGGAGAGCATCAGATGGAGCAGAGGATGAAGAGGAGAGGGTCAGATGGAGCAGAAGATGAAGACTACAGGGTCAGATGGAGAAGAGGACGAAGAGCGAGAGGGTCAGATGGAGGAGAGGATGAAGAGGAGAGGGTCAGATGGAGAGAGGATCAGAAGGAGAGGGTCAGATGGAGAAGAGGAGAGGATGAAGAGGAGAGGGTCAGATGGAGCAGAGGATGAAGAGGAGAGGGTCAGATGGAGCAGAGGAGAGATGAAGAGGAGAGGGTCAGATGGAGCAGAGGATGAAGAGGAGAGGGTCAGATGGAGCAGAGGATGAAGACTACAGGGTCAGATGGAGAAGAGGATGAAGAGGAGAGGGTCAGATGGAGGAGAGAATGAAGAGGAGAGGGTCAGATGGAGAAGAGGATGAAGAGGAGAGGGTCAGATGGAGCAGATGATTCTCACCTGTGAATAGTTAAATGAGGGACTAACCTGCAGAAAGAAGAGCTTGGGTTTCCCTATGAGAGTCCTGCATTGGTCTCCTTTAAAGTATCTGGTGAGTTTTTCTAGTGTCACTATGTCATCTGTCCCACAGATCCCTTCCTCTTTTCCATGGCTCAAAATCACACAAACGAAGGATGCGTTTCCACTGTGGTCCTCTTTAGACACTGAAAAACATCACGCACAAAGAGATGAAGTAACTACAACATACACATTCACAAGTATAAGAGCACATAGACTTTTATATGCCCATGGGCCACTATGGAACCTACCTGGACCACTGAGGGACTATACACATATAAGACCACATGGAAATACACAAGAAAATACTATGATTTACTGTCGAAAATCACATTCTATTGTCTAAAGAAAGAATGTTTTTTTGTTGTTGTTTTTTTTTAATCATTATGGTATCTATATCAGAATCAGTATTGAATCATGAGTCTATAGTTCATAATGAAATCAATGTAACGTACAATACACGCATCCTGAATTTCGGACTTGAAAAATAGTGAAAGGTGATGGGCAGTATTGATACACAGGAAGGATAAAAAAGGAAACCTTTGGCTGCCTAAGAAATCATCTCGAGCAAAATCCCAATCCCTCGCTCAACCTTGGTTATGAATTTAAAAAGTCAACACCAAAGTGAAAGGCACCAGATGTTTGCCAAAAAACACCTTCCACTGCAAAGTGACCAAGACGTGATGTTGCTGTAAAGTCAGTCCAACAAGAAAGTGTGAGCTCAACCTGTTTGTCTTCTGCACCTCTCGCTTAACAAACGGGATTTTGCTTTGTCGCTCCACATACAAAATGTTCACTGCAAACTCTGGATGATTTAGGCAGTCAAAGGTTTCCTTTTTCGTCCTTCCCGTGGATCAATTCTGCCCATCGCCTTCACCTTTTACTATTTTTCAATTCCGTTGGGAAGGGAAACAGTTTGAACAGAGGTTTGCAGTCACACACATCTGATTACCGTTTACAGTTATGGAGTTCGCAAACTTCCGAAGCCCGTTTTCCGCTGTTAGGACATCAACAACCACACAATTATGATGTCCGAATCCCAAAACTAAAATATGACAATATCAGAACCAGAAACAAAAGCAATATGGTTCAAAAGACTAGAAAAGATCGGCTTTGACAGTAGGTGCATCCCAGTGGGAAAACAAACACAGCGGTTTGATTCTCCCTTTTCAAGAGGATCCTTCCCAGTATGCATTGTGCGATGACCGGAATTCCAAAAATCGGGGTGCATGTATTGTAAATAGCTCTTAAGTCACTCTTTATCTTTTTTTTTTTTTTTTTTTTTTTTTAGAATTTTAGAAAAAATAAATACAACAGGATGGTGCATGTTAATATGAATATTTTAAGACCAAAATGACGAGGCTCACTGCAGCAGTTACAGAGAGGAGAGAGAATTTTTTTTTCAGTGTAAAGCCTTTTTGTTTCTAAAAGTGAATGAAGTTACCTTTCTCCAGCTCCTGCTTCATCTCTTTCTTAGTGAGGTCCTTGTGCACAATGACTTTATACCCCAGAGCCCCAAATGTTTCCTTCGCAGCGGCTTCGTCCTCATCTGTGCCATTTCGAGTGTCCATTACTGAAACACCAGACCAAAAACAAGCTTTAAGAATCCAAAAGTACTGTTCTCGTGCCTTTATTCCCTTTTAAACATGCTTTGAGTCACCTTGGGGGTAGGTATTTCACATTTTCTCTTGTAATCTTATGTATGTATGTAGGAATGAATACTTTGCTAATCGAGCCACTGTTTGTAGTGAACACAATTTGACCATAATGGTTTATACTTAAAAGCTTTGTGTGCTTTTTTTTTTTTTTTTTTTGTATGAATAGCACTCTATAAATAAAGTTTGATTGACTGATGATTGACTTAATAACTGAGCAGGAGAAGTTCAAATGTTCACCTATAACACAACAATCTGGGCAAAATTCAAAATGAGCATTTTTGACTGTTCAGAGAAGACAACTTTTGATTAATGGATTATGAAACAAGAGTGAATGAAGCAAATATACAACTCCAGTATGCATTTGTCGAACAATAACACGGCAAAGAGTCAATTTAGGATAATGTATATCTTTAAAAATGTTTTGTTGCTCATTGATTCTGCAGAAATGTGGCATGTTTTTCAGTCCCTTGTCATATTTCTTTCCTTCCGTTTTCTAATACAGGGAGACCACGCATGTCCCTGACTGGCTAATACACTTGTAAATCACACTTATTTTTAAAAGGGAGATTTATTGGTGACCAGACTCACATTTTCATAAAATATTGAAGAACTGTGTGTTTTGGATCCCAGGCAAAAATATAGGACCATAATGCAGACAGAGCTGACCTGAGCCGCGCATTTCTCCAAGTTCAGAAGTGAAATAAGGGAACAGCGCATTTGCATTCTCAACTGGAATAAGCATGAACATGACTTATAATTTGTACCTTTAAAGTACTTGTTGTTGATGATCAGACAGACTCCGACACAGGGGAAGTTCATTTGGTACATGCACTGATCCTCAGAGTCCTGGACGGTCGGCACAGCTCGCACTGAAGAGGAGGTGGTCTCCCTGGTTTAAAGTTAAGTCAAAAAATAGTTAAAAGTCCATTCATTACATTATTAATTTTCCCTATTAGTGCCTTACGATATACTGAGGGCTGAATAATTTGAGAAAAACATCAGATTGCAATTTTTCTGACAAACACTGTGCCTGCAATTAAATTCATTTAAAATAAAAGAAACAAGTGTGCTGACTTCCGTGTTAGGAGCTGACATCACTGTAAACATCACAAAACAGATGGATGGCTGCACATCACAATAGCAAGTAGCAGATTTGATTTCATATGTAAAAAAATGAATACGCAACACTGTCAAATCCTACACGTATCACTTTAAGCAAATCAAAATAGAGAACAAAGTAAGTACTGAGCAGTGGGCGTGTTCTGGTGGCAGGCGATATATCGTTGTGAAAATAATTGATTAAAGATGACTCAGACATGCACAAATCACTTCAAATACAACCCTACGTGAGTAAATGGTGAGGGGAAACAACTACAACATGGTTAAAAGCTCTGAAAAGTTTATTCTGTTTTATGGCCATAGAGTTTCTGGGTTTTCTACAGTGGTTGTGGTGGGAGTGAAGTTCATTATACAGTAAAATACCAATACTTACATTTGCAACTTTCCTGCATCAGTTACATCCCCACAGCTCAGTTTTTCATGGGCCTTGGTTATTCTGGAAAAAAAGAATATTAACTTGGCTGTTTTCTCACATTTAAGAGATATTTTTTAAAGTGAATCCATAACCTCCACCCTCACCATTGTTCTAACCTTAACTAGAATCTCAAAACCAGGCCCTAACCTTAACCATAACACCCAGTGCGTCACATAGTTTGAGTTTGGGAATAATTTAGAACATTTTAAAATTGCACAAAATCGCAGCATAAACCCAGTTAAAAGTGTGTGTGACAAATTTGGATGATTCTCTATGGATGAATATCTACTTAATCTGGTGGATTAAAACCTGTAAATAGAAAGCATAGTTTTACACTGATCAAGAATGATCAGGACTAAACCAGGACTAAATATGGGCTAAACCTTGGCTAAACCAGGACTAAACATGGGCTAAACCTTGGCTAAACCAGGACTAAACATAGGCTATACCTTGGCAAAAAAGAAGTAAACATGGGCTAAACCTTAACTAAACAGGACTAAACATGGACTAAACCTTGGCTAAACCAGGACTAAACCAGGACTCCACATGAGGAGTCAGTGTTTTATGTTTCTACAGTCTAAATCTGAAGATGTGAGACAAACCTCTGCTCTGTTTAAATCCAGTTTTGTTAAGCTGTGCATATGAATGAAATGCAATGTGTTTCTTATTCTGTAAAGCACTTTGAATTACTTTGTGTACATATTGTGCACTACAGATAAACATGCATTGCCTTCCCTTACAGATTAATGGGTAACCTGTTGGACTGGTGACATATTGTGACCCAAACACAAATTCATTTCTGGATTCTGGATTTTCTGCAGGAGTTGGCCTTGTGGGTGAAAAATTCCAACCAAACCCATCGTAAGGCAAGGAAGGCCATTCTAAGGCGGCACACTGGTCGGCAGGTAAAATTCATAAACAAATCCAAATAGGCGACTTACTTGGCTGAATCCTCTGTGTTTTGTCTTATTTGTTTTTCGTTATCCATGATTCTGAAAAGTATTGATGATGAGAAGTGAGTTACGTGGTTTGGAAGTTTCATTGGATTTTGTACAATGACAATAAAATTCTAACCTTATAAAGCCATGTGTATCATATTTGATACACAATATTCTGAGACCTCTGCCCATCCACATAATCAATATTTTTCCTGAAAAACCTGTTGTATACAACTAAATATTTGTCAGCTGCCCCCTAGTGTGCTTTCCATGGTTTTCAGTAAATAACAGGCTCAGGGAAGACTTTTTCAAAATGGCGGGCATTGGTGAGCGTGACTTTCTCTGTTTTTGGAGGAAGAACTTTGTCAGTTTTGAAAAGATTAGTGAAAGAATTGCCTAAATATTGTTAGTGATTCTCCTACATGAACATTTACTTTCTTAGATTAATCTATGAAGTCTTCATATTTTTATTTTCATTTTGTAGAAAAATCATGTTAAAATTGTGTGTATCAAATTTGATACAGCAGTATAGAATAGAAATCCGTGCGTATTTGGGAAATCCGTGCATATTTGGCTGTAGTTGCGTGTAAAATAAATATTTGTAAACTCTCAAATGATTTCAGTCGTACATAAAATATATTGTGTGTATTTTATCCATCAGAATACGAATTGAAAAATTACGATGTCAAGAATTACAGTCACGAAATGAAAATTGATGATTAAGCTTTCATCAGTATGAATACAAATTGACAGACAGGACTTTACTGTCAAAAATACGTCATCACTTCACAGACATTATTTATCGAGCAGAAGAAACATCGATCAAGATCAAGACTGTGCATGTTTAAGTTTGTAGCAGAGGGTAAAAATGGAGTAATGGCACAACAAGGAGCTACAACAGCGACCAACAAGTGGGTTAATTCAAATGTATTGTAAAAACGTCTCGTCTTGCAACACTGAATTCGGGAACCAAACGCTGCTGTGTAATATTGTGTAGAAATCCCTCCTCTGAACGGGAAATTGCACTTATATCTTAGTAGATAACAGAGTGGAGCCAGTTGGCGAACATCAGACGTAACGTTATCCCAGGGCTAATTAGCAAATATCAGGGTTCTCTGCATGTTTAGTTTAAAACATTCACGGCTACAGCCACAGCGAGCATCAGTGAGTCTTAACCTTCATCTCAGCTGCATTTCTCGCATGAAATGTGACCAAAAGTTCCTCGGGACGCTGAAATGTCCCAGTTTACACCAAACACTACCAAACTGTCAATATCATCTCTATGGAGACAAGCATAAAAGTTACACAGTGCACATTTAAGTCTGCAAGATTATGAAACCAAACCCTAACAAAAAAATCATCTTATTCACTGGATATGTAGTGATGGTAAAACGTACGAGCTACTTACTCTGCTGAGTCAACTGTGAAGCCACTGCTCTTCTCTTTATTTGCCTTGACCCTGAAAAAGTATTTACAACAAATATTATGGCTCTGTGTACAATACAGTGGCAGAGTTACCAATTGGGTTTGGGGCCCTCACTATTATCCACAGGGTTGTTGTTTTTTTTTTTTTTTTTTTTTTGTTGTTTTTTTTTTTTTTTTGAATATATTTATTGTCAGTTTTGCCCCATTGTTCTTGAAACATGCACATCTCTATTTATGTGAATTATGGAAAATTGTCTTATTAGTTATGTAGCCTACTAGATAACCAGAACTGGATGTAGTTGTATTTTATTTATTTTATATTTTTTTGCTAGTACAATTACATTTTTGTTTACATCCATTACATGTGATTTTTTTTTTTTTTTTTTTTTTCATATGATTATTGTTTAAAAGTAAACTACTCTCATTTAATGTCTAGCTTGCATTTACTTCCTTACAAGTGTTTACAGATCCAAAATAGTTTCAAAGATATACCCTCTACTGTGAACAACTCTCCACAAACCTGACCTGTAACATGGCCCGGTGGCACCAACTTCTTGTTTCCATGGAGATAGATGCATTTAATACCATACTGTGGAACAATGTAGGCAATGTAATACTGTCTCTCATGGTGGCAGACCCTTCACCAGGAAATGACACAATGCACCAGTAAATTATAATAATTTTTTCTTCGATCAAAAGTGAAAAAATATGCAGGGCTTAAAAGGCTGGCCTGTAATACAAGTTTTGAACAAAAATCATGAAATTGTGGTAGTATTAAGTATTATGGGGCTTTTGTTTCCTTATTTTGTCCATAAGTCAATTCCTTTTCCTAATATGGAACTTGGCTCCAAATTTCAAGTCTGTAACTGCCACCCTCTGTGAGCTTCATTTGACTGGAGCAGAACACTGTGGGTGATGTCACATTTACTTAGTCCACTTCTTCATACAGTCTGTGGTTAGAACAAAAATCAGTATTTGCACGTTATGCATTTTAGCTGTCCCCTTTTGTTCGACCTGGTGGTGGTGTAATTCACATCCACATACTTACTTTATTACAATTGTGAACGAGTTAGAGTCAGCTGTGTTCAGGGGTGGTCCTGGACAGGGACCAGTGGAGCAGCCGGGGACCGGACTCCGATCCTCACATTTTTTCTTCCCAGGGGGACCCCACCCCTGGTCCTCATTTTTTTTCTTCACCCCACAAAGTGAAAGATCACCACTGACTGTGTTCCTGTTGCTCTGTCCTTTATTTGCAACAAAACTGAAAAAGTATGGAATGTACATTTTAGCTGCAGAATACACATAATATATACACACATATTCATGGGTTTTGGAATGATGAAAAATTACGACCATTGGCATAGTGATTAACAATTTAAAACAACTTTTGAATGGGGAAAAAGTCTTCAGAATGTTAAAAGAAAGCTGAAACCCATAAACTGATACTTCCACATGTATCTCTATGTATATACATATATGTATATGTATATATATATATATATATGTATATATCTCTAATGGTGAAATGTTCAATTATCATGGAGACACAATGTACACATTAGCAAACACTGTCTAAAAATATACAAAATGGATTTAAACAACACATTTTCAGAAGCATTCATGAGGACTAAGCATGGGCTAAACATTGACTAAACTGGGAGTAAACCAGGACTAAACATTCGCTAAATCAGGACTAAACTAGGACTAAAACTAGACTAAACCAGAACTAAACAGTGGCTAAAGTGGGACTAAACTAAGGCTACACATGGAACGTAAGTGTTTCATGTTTTATGCGGTCTAAACCTGAAGACAGACCTCTATTTTGTCAATGTTTACATCCAGTTTTGTTAAGCTGTACATATGAATGAAAGGTTTTTATTCTGCTCTCTTCTCTTTTAATGTTCATTGATCATTTAATTGACCATTGTGTACGAACTGTGCTATACAAATAAACAGCCTTACATATAGACAATAGAAGCACTAGTTGATACAAAGGATACAAAAATATACAACAAAAATAGTTTCACTTTTTTTTTGTTGACACTGAACTTTGTACAAGTTTTATGTGGACAGGCCCAATAAAGAGACATTAACCATTAATCAGGTCATTAAACCTTCAAGCTGATTAAATATTGTCATTGCAGCTTTTGGTGATCTGATGTCTGTGCTGTTAAACAAGTCAAACACCTAAACAGGACCATGAACACTTGTCTTGCTCTTTAAATCAATTTTTTATGTCTTCTGGAGTTTTTCAGTCAATTTATAAACTTTTTGTCAGTGTTGACTATTGTGTACTGTGCCATCATCTAACTCAGGGCTGTCAAACTCAAATTCACAAAGGGGCAAAATTAAAAACTGGGACTAAGTCGTGGGCCAAACTGAATATTTATTGAAAAATGTCAACAACATCTGCATGTTTTCTCTTCTTTCCAGATATGTAATGTTAAACCTTTTCTTATTAAAATACATGTTTAATAATAGTTTTGCTTAAACATTGAATCCAGAACAAGCAGAATATAAAATAATAACAACATTTTAAATAAATAATGTATCTGTAGCCTGTCTTTAGCCGGCGGGCAGCTCTAATTTGATTTGATATAATCTTGTGTGCCAAATATAATTATATCGCGGGCTAAATTTGGCCCCCGAGCCTGAGTCTGGCATGTTTGCTCTAACTCATATCTAACCTAAACATTTCACCAACATTTCACATTAGAGATACATGTAGAACACCCCCAGCATGATGTCACTGCATAGTATGAATGCGATATACATGAACAGATCCCAATACTCACATCGCTGCGTCAACAGTGTCTTGTTTGTCCGCCATGATTCTGAAAAACTATTGAAAGTAAAAAATAGATGAAGCTGCATCTTATCTCATGTTTATTGTGGTAATGTAGTCGGTTCACCTTTGCACTCATTGCACTACAGTCACTGCACCCATTAAAGGTGAAAGTGAAAATAATTTCTTTCAACTATATTTAACTTGGTCATAACATTGTCTAATTATTTAAAGAGCACAACTGAAGGAATTTTAAAAAGAAGACCTAATGAACTTCATTAATGGAATTCTGGGGTTTCTCTGCCATGTCCTGTCCCTGTACTGAGAATGAGACAAACATGTACGTGTCCATGTACTGAGAATGAGACAAACATGTACGTGTCCATGTACTGAGAATGAGACAAACATGACCTGTCCATATACTGGTTCAGTTGTGTACAGAGAAGAGCTCACACAGACCCCACCCCTCATTTTCTTTTATCTGCAAACCTGTGATCAGAAGAAAACATACGTACCTTTATGGAGCTAAGAGCAGAGACGATGCTGGCCGAGCTCAGAGTCTTTGACAGTGCTTCAGGACATTCTTCTGAAGGAGGAGGATGATTGGTTGGAAGCTTGCCAAAATATGTACCTATGCAAGTCCTGGAGAATGTCTTTAGATAAGAGCACATTGAGACAACTACTTAAACTTAGACAAACTTTATTGATCCACAAGGGAAATGACTTGGACACAGTAGCTCACACATCACAATGTATTATAATAACAAAGACAAAAAAATATAAATGGTAACGATAAATTCTAAATAAGTAGCAATAAAAATAGCAAGAGAATGGTGTCAAATAAAATCTGAAATAAAATGTCAATAAAATGATCTGATCTGATGGAACTTGTACCTTTTTCATTCAAAGTTCAAACTGTCTGTAAATCTTTGACCTAGATACATATATAACGTTTTTTTTTTTTCTTCTATAGGGTACTAACTTCTAACACATCACATATTTAGATCACCATGTTACACTTTATTGTTTGGAAAATGCTATATTCTTCAAAAACATATTACATCAAGACGTTTTTGACATTTCGAGCCACTCCCCCTTCAGAGCACTACCACACGAAACTACTGCACATCGCATCAGGTTTGTCAAGTTTGTCAGTGGTGTATCATGTTTTTGCATATTTGTGCAGAATTGCTGTGTGGGGGCATGGGTGACTTAGGCTTTTGGGCCAAACTGAACACTTGAACAGTGATTTTCCATCCAAGGTAACTATACTTGTCATTAGGCCTGTCTGTCAAGTTTAATCTCACTTATGAACTTTTAGAGCTCTTCTGGAAAACTCCAGATCGTTTGAGGAGATATTAAAGCATCGGCTAAATCTTATCTACCAGCCATCTCATTGTCTTCTCACACAAACTTATAACAAACAATCAAACTGGTTCCAGTCAGAATGTAGATACAATTCATGCACAAGGAAGGAAGCATTTTTTTCAGTTTAATCATTGATTTAAAGGTGCAACTTTTCTGGTGCAGAATCCGTCAAATGCTTTTCTCCATGAAGATGCTATTGCTTTGTCTGCAGTTTCGCAGTATGGAATTAAACCTTTCAGTCTTCATCGAGACCAATCCAGACCAAGTTACAGGTCAGATCTGTGGAGCGGCATCCCCACTCACAGTCAGAATGTCTGTTTTTCTAGGTATTTTTGAGCTATAAAACCACCTGTAATTGAATAAATGTAATGTAGAGCAGTGACATATCCATAAAAACAAGCAGATGATGAACCCCCAACCAAAAAGAGGTCTGTGAGGTCACTGTGAGGTCACTGTGAGGTCACTGCGAGGTCACTGCGAGGTCACTGTTGTTGTGATTCTGGGCCAACATAAAAAAACTGTACTGTACAATCTGCACACCCGCATAATGTTATAAGACCTTGAATCTTGAATGTTATTAAAAATATATACATATACTTTATTTTTACTTGAATTATTACAAAGTAAATGTCATTTGCTTTTCCACCCAAAAAAAGTACTAGAAAAAAAAGTCTGAAAGTATGCACATATGGTAACAGGGCTGTAAACATAGTTATTACATGGTAATTACAGGGCATATCCACTCCTCTGATGGGATTATTTTCTCATGCATTATAGGATTTACAATGTTATTTCCACCCTGTTTCCATTCTGTTAGTCATTTAAGTGCAGTTCATGTTCATGGTTATGTAGGTTAGGCTTTACATGACTTCAAAATATTAAGGGGGTAGTGAATACATGTTTTATTATGTTTGACTACAGTTGAATGTTTGGCTGTTCTTTTGAATACAAAAATTAGGACAGTAAAATGTATGTTCATTTAGCAGATATACCTTTAGAAGTGACCTAGTAGCAAGTATTTAGAGCAGGGGTCTAATTTGTCCCATGAGTGGACTTTGAGATTTCAAGAAGAATCGAATTTTGATTCAATTTTGCATTGAAAAGACTGTCAGGAGATGGGAAGGTGGTTAGTGCTGTCTATTTCCACATGTTTACATTTCTTTGCACAACATCTTTATGTGTTAACTGTCATGTGCTTTCATTTTGGCCCAGAGGAATAACAGGCCCCTGATTTAGAGCCAAACTGACCAACTTTGAACAAGAAGGAAAGAACAGTGGCAAACTAGGCACAAAGGCATAACTGAACCTCTAGGGCAGGGGTGTCAAACTCATTTTGGTCCGGGGGCCGTATCCAACCTACTTTGATCCCAAAGGGGCCGGATCAGAAAACTCATGGCATATAAACCCCAAAAATAACAATAAGTTCAAATATTTGTGCAGAGAAACACAAATCTATTACAGAAATCTTTTTTAATTGATGAACTCTTTCTCTTACAAAATATTATAATATTATGAACAACATGAAACTTTAAGGAAAATCCAATTTCAACACAATGTTTTAACTTTAACTTGTGTGCAAATAGGAATAAGTCATTTTTTCTTTGAAAATCCTGCACAATCCTGCAAAATCTGCTTTTCTCATTTTTGACATTTTGCTGATGAGGGTGTCACAGTCAACAGTCAAAACGATCGTCCTTTAAGAGCGTTTGGAAAGAGACAATTTTTCATTTGTGCTGCACTGGTGGGAGGGGCCACGTACAGAGACGCTGGACATGCTGCTATGCTAAGCGATGCAGAAAATTACCAATATTTTAATAGAAAATATAATAAAAGTATTTTAGTAGAAAATCAGCCAAGGGCCAGATTAAAGGTCTTGGAGGGCTGGATCTGGCCCCCGGGCCGTATGTTTGACACCTGTGCTCTAGGCTGAACTTGCTACAGCAGAGGGCGGGTTACAGGGGCATTCACAGGACCGGACCATTGTCGGTGGGAATTTTTAATGACAAGGAATTTTTTGTGAAAAAAAAAACACCTGTATTTTCTAATAGTTATTTGTTTTTTTTTATATTAAAAACTGTGGTTTATTACCTTCAGTATTATGCATGTTGAAATACAACATTTAAACAAAATGTGGTTGTACATCGACTAAAATGACAGAGTATCTCCATCCATCCATCCATTTTCTTCCGCTTATCTGGGGCCGGGTCGTGGGGGCAGCAGTCTAAGCAGGGACTCCCAGACTTCCTTCACCCCAGACACGTCCTCCAGCTCCTCCGGGGGGACCCCGAGGCGTTCCCAGGCCAGCCGAGAGACATAGTCCCTCCAGCGTGTCCTGGGTCTTCCCCGGGGCCTCCTCCCGGTGGGACATGCCCAGGAACACCTCCCGAGGGAGACGCCCAGGAGGCATCCGGAACAGATGCCCGAAGCCACCTCAACTGGCTCCTCTCGATGTGGAGGAGCAGCGGCTCTACTCCAAGCTCCTCCCGTGTGACTGAGCTCCTCACCCTATCTCTAAGGGAGCGCCCAGCCACCCTGCGGAGGAAACTCATTTCGAGCGCTTGTATCCGCGATCTCGTCCTTTCGGTCATTACCCAGAGCTCATGACCATAGGTGAGAGTAGGATCGAAGACTGACCGGTAAATGGAGAGCATCTGTTGGAGAGTATCTTGTCTTCGCACCTTTGCACCAGTAATCACCAGGAGTTTTACAGTGTTTTTAATGTGGTCTTATCATAAAAGCTGGTGTGTACGATGGGTAATGGCAAAACCACTTTGATTTCTTGGCTCCAGTAACTGAACTCTTGGGCCGTGTCTAATGTCCACTCTAGTCCCTAACCCCTCATTCACAACACAGGCTATTATACTACAACACACTTATTCACAGAGCCAGGTCTAATCTGTGTATTATTGAATAACAAAGAGGAGACAGTCTCAAATCAAAGAGTTTATTTTATTGCAGCAAAGGGAGCACAGAAGAGGACAGTGTACAGCAAAAATGCAAGTGTATTTTTATTTTAACTAAAGATGAGGAACTGCACTTTTTTCATCACCACCAACATAATAATAATGAAGCTTTATGATCTAAAAGTCTAAATTAAAGCAGAGACTTGTATCTTTCACTTTTTGGGGAAGTAGAACTCTTTGGTTAACATGGAGACAAGGCAGGGCATTTGCTTATCATATGTTTTTCCAAAATACTCTGAAAACTGCTGGTAGTCGTAGGCCACTTTTCTGTTGACTCTCGTCAGGATCTGCAGCAGCTCCAGGTCCCTGTGTTCCTCCAGGATCTTACAGGCCGCCTGAATGAACCAGGAGCCGGTGTGGGAGTTGATTCTCGCAATGTAACCTACAAACAAGAGACACGGTTTCAATGAAAGTGCATATGAATTAGGTTTTGATGATTCTCAAATATTGATATTTCTGATACTTTAACAAAAAAATACATTTGTCAAATAATCATTTCTGTGCACATTAGAACTGTTTTGGCCTAGTCTACAACATGGTTGCTGGGTAAGAGTTATGGAATTCCCTAGTGTCAACGCAGGAAGTACAATTTCAAACTAAAAAAAAAAAAAAATGGCCAAACTGGGAAAAAAGTTAAATACTTTTTTGTAAAAACTTAAATATAATGATCTTATTTTAGTCAAATGAGTCATCAAACCTGTCATAGGCACTTTAAAGAGGGGGTGTTTTACTTCTGTGAGGTATTAACTACTGACACATCATATATTTAGATCATCATGTTACCTTTAATTGTTTTGAAAATGCTCTATTCTTCAAAAAACCTACGTATTAACATGTTTTATGAATTTTGTTTTCGTTTTTGGCAGTGTAAGTCCCTACTCCATTTGCTCTCCGTGCTAAGTCAACCTCCTTCAGAGCACTGCAAACCATTTAACATGAACTAGTTCTATTTTTCACGTTTTTAGGTCAGTAAAAACCCGGCCCTTGTCCTTTAATGAAGCATGAACAAACATTTAAAACATAATGAAGAAATAGATTATTAACACAGATTCAGGCTTTTACCTACCTATTTTTTAAAAAAGCTTATATTACATTATTTTCTAATCTATGTTCTAATGTTGTTTCTTCATCACAAACAGACCTGGAGTTGTGTTTTGTTCCATTCACATATGTGTAACACACAAACTTAACAGATTTAGGCTGAGTTCTTGTCTGAAACAGAAAAAATTGGGCTCTTGAGCTTTGGAGATGTAGACAGACTAATAATAAAGGGTTACCCAAACACATGCGAATGAAACAAAACACAACTCTGAGTATATTTTTTTTGTGGCGGAAACAACTTTCTAAAATGAATGAAATGGATGAAGAAGAGAGGGTCAGATGGCACAAAGGAAGAAGAGGAGAGGGTCAGATGGAGCAGAAAATGGAAAAGAGATGGTCAGATGGAGCAAAGGATGAAGAAGAGAAGGTCAGAGGAGCAGAGGATGAAGAGGAGAGGGTCAGATGGAGCAAAGGATGAAGAGGAGAGGGTCAGAGGAGCAGAGGAGAGGACTCCGAAAGCTCACAAGAGTTGATTTGCGTAATATAGGACGTTTAATACCTCAACACTTACTCCCAAGCCCGTATGTTTGATAAGTGTTACCTGGAGCTGTTGCGTAGGCGTACAGGAAGTCTGCCTCCACTGGGATCCTGCGAACAGTGGGACCCTCAGCACCATCGACTACATCTACGCCTCTGTCAACCTTGCTTCCCTGGCATGTCTTTGAACAACAGGAAATACAAATAAATGTACTACAGATACAGGCCATGGTTTAGACTATAGAGACAGAGAGAACGTGTGGTGTGCATGGAAACAAAAAGATCTGAGCATTATTTGATTTCTGGACTTATAAGATTATTTGTCATTTGGAAAGTCATTTGGAGCATTTGAGCAGAGATGTGAGAGGGTCAGATGGAGCAGAGGATGAAGAGGAGAGGGTTAGAAGAACAGAGGATGAAAAGGAGAGGGTCAGATGGAGCGGAGGATGAAGAAGAGAAGGTCTGATGGAGCAGAGGATGAAGAGGAAATATTCAGATGGAGCAGAGGATGAAGAGGAGAGGGTCAGATGGAGCAGAGGATGAAGAGGAAAGGGTCAGATGGAGCAGAGGATGAAGAGGAGAGGGTCAGAGGAGCAGAAGATGATACTTACATCTATAAAGAAGAGTTTGGGTTTTCCCAGGAGGGTTGGGCATCTCTCTCCTTTCAAATATATGGTTAGATCTTCAAAAGGAACAATTCCGTCTATTCCACTGACAACGCCCTGGTGCCCGTGGCTCAAAATCACACAAGCAAAGGACGCGTAGCCACTGTGGTCCAGCTTAGAGACTGGAAAACATCAAGTACAAAGGTTCATCTCTGTTCACTCAATTACTTAAATATTAAAGCTGCACTGTGTAACTTTTTTGGTAGATGGTCCGTTCATTGTTTGTCTCCATGGGGATGTTATTGCTTTGCCTGGAATGTACCACAATACGGTATAAAACTTGAGCATTTCCATAAACACAAGCATGTGGCGCCACCAAGCTATATTCTATGGAGAGGTGATGTATGTATTTCAAAGTGTTTTTAACCTGATAAGGACTTAAAAGCGTAAATAAAATTAAATGAATGCTATATTCTAGACAAAGCAATAACAATCCCCCCTGAAAGTTACGTAGTGTACCTATAACATTTATATATTTTAGTTTTGGCTTTTTTTGTAATAAGAGTGCATTAACGGTGCCTTCGCTTAATTTCATTTCTCTCCAGCAACTAGGACAGGAATCAAAATACACTAGACGGTTCAGAAAAACTCTGGAAGTGCGAGTCCGGGCACCAGCCAATCACCGAGGAGCCATACATTCTATGTTGGCAACGATTCCCGAGATCGAGGATTTAAAGCTGGAACAAAGAGAATGTTTGGTGAATTTCATCAAGAGGAAAGACGTTATTGCCTACGTTATTCTTCCTACTTGATTTGGGAAAAGCTTAATATACGTCACAACCAAATAGCAGCAATTGGTTACATGAAAAAAGTACCTGCCTACCGTCGAGCGAACGAATCCTAATGCTGTGAGGTCAGACGGTTTCCACGAAGTGAAACCAGCTGATGAATCAGGCTACATTAAAGGTGCATTGTGTAACTTTTCTGGTAGCAGGTCTATCACCTTCTTGTCTCCATGGTGAAGTTAATGCTTTGCCTAGAACCGCCAACCTGTAGCTCAGGAGCTACCAGTAGCTCTCGACCCTCTTCCAATTAGCTCGCCAAAGGATTTCTGAATTCTATGTAATGTTCTTCATAACTAAAATCTGGTTTATTTTCACTGTAAATGTATCATTTTGATGCCTAACTTGTGCACTAATAAATGGATAATGGTTTATGTTTAATAGGCATCTAACTGTGCGCTGTCCAAAGCTTGCCATAGCTCTTCAATGTTTTCAATTTCTTGCGACTGCTAAAATGAGTAGCTCTCTGGCAATTTCGTTTCATGAAGGTAGAGCAGAGGAAAAAGATTGGAGTGGACTGGACTGGATTAGAATGTTGCACAGTTTGAGATTTCAACTATTTATCTCCATGGAGACAAACATCAAGCCAAGTTACAGGTCAGATCTGTGAAGTCATGACTTTGCTTACAATAAGAATGCATGTTTTTTCAAGGTTTTAAAGGTCTAATCTATGTTTAAAAAAAAAAAAAATGTTTTGGCATCAAAAACAGACCTGGAGCTGTGTTTTTTTTCACCCAAACATGTTTAACGCATAAACCCTGCAGATATAGGTAGTATAGGAGTAGTATAGGAGTTCTTTTCTCAGATTGCATCCACTCAGTTCCACCTTGTGATGTCATGTGGTACATTGGAAGTGCTCAACTCCAGGTATGTTTTTAATGAGGCAACAACATTATAATATATATGAAAAAGCAGCATAATATGGGCCCTTTAAGTTACTTTTCAACATTTGTTTTCTCATCTCTTGAACAGTGAGGTTCTGCTCCACGATGACTTCATAGCCCAGATTCCCAAATGTCTTCTTTGCAGCATTCACGTCCAGTTGCCCGCCCGTCAGAGTGTCCATTTCTGAAAAACACAAAGAAAACAGATCATCATTATAAACTCTTTAGGATGCTCTGAATACATAAGGTAAGTGAGGAATAACTTAGTAGCATCGCAAGTGAAAATGAACTAGTTGTGTTTTTCCTTGTATTGAAAAATGGGTTAAAATCAGGAACAGCTCCTTTATTATTATTGTCTGTCTACATCTCCAAAGCTCGAAATGCTCTGCTCCCCCTTGTGATGTCAAGAAGCAGTAATTTTCAAGTCAGCAGCTACTTTTTACCTTAAAAATACTTGAATGAAACAAGGTCTGTTTGTGCTGAGGAGACAATGTTATAGATCAGAAAATAACATAATATAGGCCCTTTGAGTTTCTCGTGGATTAGCAGAGGTGACTTGCCTCCTTGGAAGTTCTCGTTGTTGATGATGAGGCAGAGTCCCACCCTGGGGAAGTCCGTCCTGTATCTGGTCTGATCCTTTCTATCTTTGGTCTTATCTGAATCAGGAGTCTTCTCAGGATTGTTCAGATTTTCCCTGAAGTGGAAATAATGCAAATGGATTGTTTTAAAGATTTAGATATTGTGATGTTCATCCCACAGTTGGTAAAATAGGAAATAAAAAATCTGTTAAATAAAAAAAAAATGTATACAGAATTTATATACTATTGGTAATCTTTGGTACTGTGGATGTCTAATGTAACTGATATTATTTAGTGTGTGTGTTTATCATAGAATGCAAATGGACAGAGCTAACCCGCTAGCCACCCTGCTCCAAATAGGAAGTGAGCACGGGTGCTCTTCCAGCTCCATCGACTCAATTTGTACTGAAAAAACATCACTCTTCTCTCTTTGTGCACTCTATGGTGTTTACACAGTGCAGAATAGAAATACTATGGGAGTTCCATGGCATTGAACCAGCAACTCCATTTGACAGAAATTAACACTTCAAAATGATCTCATTATTTTATCTAAGAAGTTCTTAAAAACTTAGGTTTTGTTTGTTTGTTTGTTTGTTTGTTTGTTTGTTTGTTTGTTTGTTTGAATCACAGACCACCTGAGCTTGTTGTGTAGCTGTGGTGAAGTTCACATACCAGAACTGTAAAAAGTCTCTCACTTCACTGCTCATGTGATATGTCATGGTGACCCTGAAAATTTTGACAAAAATATTAAATGCTAAAAATATATCACACGTATCATATATACACAGTTCTAGAAGAAGTACTCAATTGTGTTACTTAAGTAACAGTACAGATACTGAAGCAAAAAAAAAAAAACTCGAGTAAAAGTATCACACGAAAAAATCTACTTAACTAAAATAAAGTATCTGTTTAGTATTTTAGTATTTAGTTTAGTATTTAGTTTAGTATAGTTTAGTATTTGGATTTTGAGATCTAATAAGACCTCAAATGTAGTGATTTTGATAAAGATCTGTGCTGAATGTTGTCCAACAGAAATTAAATATATATATTTTTTTCTTTGTATATTTTAGTTTGCTCAGATTATGAACACGTTAAAAATAAATCCTTAGCCTTTTCTGCAGATCCGACACAATAATTACAAAAAAAAAAAAAAGTAGTGAAGTAAAAGTAAAAAGCATCTGCTTAAAAATGTACTAAAGCAAAATATAGATACCTAAAATAGATACTCAAGTACAGTCCCTTACTATTTTTACTTTGTTATTGTATATTATTTAAATGACTTTATCTTGTATGAAACCAGTGGTGCTGCCAGGATTATGAAACAAGGGTGGACCACATGAACCTGATATAACTAAACTATACATGCCCAACTTTTACCCCTAACTGTGAAATTAACATGTCTCACCTCCTGATTTAAGGAGTCATTCATTCATTTGTACGCAGGGGTGACAGTCACAATGTACATTAAAGATGCTTTGTAAAAATTCCACTCTTTATAATTCAACATTTCTCTATCATATTAACACTATATACTAATAACAAAGATATAATTTGTTATTATATTGAATAACATTTGTGCTGAGATCCCAGTACTTACTTTGTTGAGTCGACTGAGGCCATGTTTCTCTGGGCTTCTGACACGATCCTGAAAAGTGTTGAAAGATGTTAAATACAGTCACACAAACAGCATTCAGTAATAATGCTGTTTCGGAGTAGTAATACACACTCTATATACTATAAATACACAGTATTGATTTAGCCGCTAAAGAGTAAAATGACAAAGCATACCTTTTGTGGTGCTCTGAAGAGGTGAGCCACTGAAGATGGGTGGGTTTGTGTTCCTTTAACAGCTCTCGGAGGCAAATGTAAAGGAAAACGAGCGGAGACAGGCATGTACTTTGGACCAATCAGAAGCCGGCGATAAGATTGTGTGTGGGCTGCAAGAGAAACTACAAATCTGATTGGCTGAAAGTGTGGCAAATTCCAAAGAACTGAATGCTTCATCTTTTATATTTCTTCTGGAGTATCACACTGGAAGAATGTGGAGTATCACACTTGGAGGATGTAACACAAGTGAAGGTCAGGAGAGAGCCTGTCACTGTGATGTGATAACACCGTGCACGTGTTTCCAATCAACAAAGCAATGCAAACACACAATTGTTTTAAGCTGCTGTCACTCAAAGGGAGCAGTGACAGAAACTTAAAGAATGTATGTAATACAAAACCTGTCAGCAGTATGTAGTTTTACTGTGTAAATAGTTTGTACACATTTTTTATGTGAAAAAAAAATAATAATAATAAATATATATATATATATATATATATATATATATATATATATATATATATATATATATATATATATATATATATATATATATATATATATATATATATATATATATATATATATACGGTGGTGGTTGACATCGCAATACCAAGCGATGGTAATATCAGGAAAAAGGAACACGAGAAGCTAGAGAAATACCAGGGGCTCAAGGAAGAGCTGGAGAGAGCCTGGAAAGTGAAGGCATCAGTGGTGCCTGTGGTGATCGGACACTCGGGGCTGTAACCCCCAAACTGGAAGAGTGGCTACAACAGATACCGGGAAAAACAACGGACATCTCAGTCCAGAAAAGTGCAGTACTGGGAACAGCAAAGATACTGCGCAGAACTCTCAAGCTCCCAGGCCTCTGGTAGACGACCCGAGCTCAATGAGGGTGAGAGAGACCTACCACCGTGGAAGGTGAGAAACACATTTTATTTTATTTTTTTTATAGATATATAGATATATAGATATATATATATATATAGATAGATAGATAGATAGATAGATAGATAGATAGATAGATAGATAGATAGATAGATAGATAGATAGATATAGGTATAGATAGATAGATATAGGTATAGATATAGATATAGATATAGATATAGATATAGATATAGATATAGATAGACATAGATAGATAGATATAGTTGAAGAAGATGTAAAATCATGGCTCTGCCAACCAAACACAGAAGGAACCATACATTTGTACTGTGAGCTGCTCATTTTACAATACAAATTTGTATTGTAAAACAGTAAAATGAGCAGCTCATAGTGTTTGACTGGAGTCGTTACTCATTTAATCCCCACTCTCTGGAGTCATAGCTGCCCTGCAGCAGAGCTGTCTGACTTGATATTTGAGTAATTTTTAATGTGGAAATATAAAGTGTAATATTTTTAAATGAAACAAAGGGAGGATGCAGTGATACTTGGATGTATTTGAATTGTTTGTGAACCTGCCCGGGGACTGCAGATGGAAACTAGCTTTTGCTAAAGCTGGTGTTTTATGAGATGCATGTGTTCATACAGGGTCCCAGTTAAAATAAACCAATAAATTAAACTATACTGCCCCTTGGACTTCCATTAGTCACTCGTTGCTAGGGATGTAATGATACTCAAATCTTACGGTATGATATTTTCACAATATACATCTCAAGGTACGATATTTGTTGTGATATTTTGTGGAGGCTAACAAAATTGTGAATATGCTACTTTTTCCTCTTAAAATACCTTGACAAGATTTAATTCAAAGAACTAAGATTTAAAAGTTGCACCAAAATGGAGCAAAGGATCACGGTCTATGTAGTTCCATTTGTTTTTGTTTTTTTTAGCTGTTACTGCACCACAACAATGAATTTAACAAAGAAACTTGTGATCTGATATACTGTGATGGTCCACGATATTATTGAGAGACCTTTGATGATATGATATTTTGGTTACTGTTACACCCCTACTCTTTCCACATTGTTACCATAGTGACCATTTGTCTAGCCTGAACCTAAACCATGGCTTTACCTCTAACCCATATTTACTGTCAAATGAAGGATTCACGCCATGACCTTGTTTTGTCTCCATAAGTAAGGCACATTTATACTTCCTCTGGAAAGGACTGTTGTTGTATGCCCAATGGCACAACAACAGAATGCACAGATTAGAGCCCTCTCACACACACAGGGTCCTGTAAATTTCACCTGTATGCAACCCTAAACCTGAGACGGGCCCAAACGTGTTTTTAAACCTAATGCACGTCTGCTCTTCATGTAAATGTGACGTTTCACAGGAAACATGCCAAAGGGTAAATTCTTTAAGCTAAATGACTTGAAAGAGCCTATGCATACTGTTTCCTCATTACAATCATATCTACATGTTTAATGCACAAACCCTGCATATTTAGGCTGAGTTTTTCTCTCACACAGAAAACACTTTGTTCCACCTTGTGATGTCATGTGATGTGTGCTCCACGTGTTTTTAAACTCCATACACCTTCACTAGAATCATTTGGATCATTTCAGCCCTGGAATTGTCAGTCTTGCCAAAGGTAAAAAGAGTTGTTAACTTGAAAACTACTGCTTCAAGGTGGAACAGAGCATTTTGAGTTTTGCAGATGTAGGCAGACAATAAAGAGTGACTCACACATGCGTGAATAAAACAAAACACAACTCCAGGTCTGCTTTGGGTGAGGTAAAAACATTATGACATAGCGTCCTATACGTTGTGTAACATAGGAACCATAAAGAACAGGTTAAGCAGGCACTCATCCACAGTGAACATACATGATGTGAAAAGATTTTTACACTGCAAAATCCTGTAGCCCCTTTCCTTGTTGCCTCTTCAAGCTTGCCATTTACTTGCATGATACCACGGTACTTGTAACTGTCCTCAACATCTACTATAGTTCCCTCTATAGGTAGTAGGTAGTTAGCTCAACTGGTAAGGTACTGAACTGTCACATGGGCAACCTGGGTTCAAATTCCACTTCTGATTCAGGTTTAATTACAACATACAAATAAAGAATACAAACATTACATGGAACATACAAAGAAAATGTAGTTTATCATTCACATGACCTGTAAATTTACTAGTTTTTCATAATATAGTTGTATGAGAAAAATGCAAACGGGGGACACTTTCAGGAGTAAACCACACATGACACATATTAACCTTATATAAAGATTTACTACAAAGACACTGGTAAATTCTTATATATTTTTTTCATGTTTTTTTCCATATGGGACTAGCTAGTCAGGTTATCTTGGTGTTGTTATTGTAGACTTTTATATGAAGCACTTTGGTCAGCTGAAGTTGTTTTAAATGTGCTATATAAATAAACTTGAATTGAATTGAAATTGACTCTTGTGTGCTTTAAGTCATGTTATAATTCTGTTACCTCCTCGAAAACAGACCTGGAGTTGTGTTTTTTTTTTTCATTCATATGTTTGAGTAATCCTTTATTATTAGTCTGTCAACATCCCCAAACCTCTAAATTCTCTGTTCTACCTTGTGATGTCATGAAGTGGTAGTTTTCAAGGTAACAGCTGCTTTTTTACCTTTAGTTCAGTGGAGATTGACAATCCCAAGGCTGAAATCATCCAAATAATTCTAGTGAAGGTATATGGAGTTTAAAAACACAGTGGAGCGCTTCAGGTATTACCAGGTGACATCACAAAGTGAAACAGAGTGTTTTCAGTTTGAGAGAGGAGCTTTATATATAACATAATAACATAGATCAGGGCAATAGCATAATACAGGTCCTTGTCAGAACAATACTTTTTCCTCCTACTTTTCTTTTCTTTCTTCATTTTAATTCTATCTCACATAGAATTAAACCTTTTGAACGTAATGGCTTGATAAAATGCCCTCACCTCCTCAACTACAAAGAGAAAGGTTGGTTAATCGTCTTCTCTGGAACACTTATCTGAACTGTACGCTTTCATCCAATCAGCTTCATAGTTACTCTTATAGCACACGCCCACGTTCACGTCCCTGGTCTCTGATTGGTCAATAGCACATGTCTGGCTTTGCTGTTTTCCCTTAAATGTACCCCCAAGTGCACTGAAAGTCATACAAGAAAAGAAAAAAAAACAGACTCATCTTCAACGTTTTGCAACTCTTTACTGCAACAAAGGTAAGTACAGAAAATTCCTTGTCATTTTTGAAAATTTGAGTCATGTCAGAATGCTGTTTTGTGCTAAAAAAATATATATATCTATATATCTATATATAGATATATATATATGGAGTTGTGTTTTGTTTCATTCACACTTGTTTGAGTAACACTTTATTATTCTTCTGTCTACATCTACAAAGCTCAAAATGCTCTGTTCCACCTTGTGATGTACACTAATGCATTTTTACCGCACTAAATAGAGGGAGTAATTTTACAATACTTTTACAGGATCATTATGGCTGATAAGAAGCAGAGCCATGGGGACACAGATGACTCAGCAAAGTAAGTCTTACCTTGAAGCTCTTATATTATGTAAAATTGATCCTCGTGGGTTTGCGGGTGCGTTCTGTAACTTTTCTGGTGGAGGGTGTGTTAAATGCTTTTCTGCATGGAGACGTTATTGCTTTGTCTTGAATGTTTCACAGTATGACATTAAACCTTTCAGTCTTCATGGAGACCAAGTTACAAGTCTGATTTGTGGAGAGACGACCTGCTCACAGTCAGAATGTTTGTTTTTCTAAGTATTTTTGAGCTGTAAAACCACCTGTGATTGAATAAATGTAAAGTAGAGGTGTTTAATGTCACACTGTGGAACATTTCAGGCAGAGTAACAACATATCCATAACCACTGTTGGGCAAGTGACTTTAAAACTGTAATGTGTTATTTATGACTTGTTACTGTCATTTTAAAGTCATTCATTACATTACAATATTACTGTGTTTAAAATGTAAAACATTACACGACTATTACAGCACTTTTAAGATACTCTCACCTAAATAACTGTGAAGATGCTGAACTTTTGTGCCATATATGGACTGAACCAGGACTAAACCAGAACTGAACCAGGACTAAACTAGGTCTAAACCAGGACTGAACCGAGGACTAAACCAGGACTAAACTAGGTCTAAACTAGGTCTAGACCAGGACTAAATTAGGACTAAACCAGAACTGAACCAGGACTAAACCAGGTCTAAACCAGAACTGACCCAGGTCTAAACCAGGTCTAAACCAGGACCAAACCAGGACTAACCTTGGACTAGAACTTGGAATCTAGTTCTGCCCCTGAGAAAACCCTGAGTCCATGGAGCAGGGTGTCTGCAAAATGATTCGCCCCGTGGAGTGTGGAGTTCTGCACCGGTTCTTTCGCACGCGTCTCTGGCATTTCACCGCTGCAAATATCGCGTTTATTTTAGCAAATTTGTATGAACAAAAACTCGCCACTTCAGTCCAGGTTAAAAAAGCATTGTAACGCGCGTTACTGACATTTGTACCGAGTAAAATATTACATTTTTTTCCCTGTAATGCCACATTACTGCGTTAGAGCAAAAAGCTATGCATTACAGTAATTTGTTTCTATAACAAGTTACTCCCAACACTGTCCATAACAAGCAGGTGACAGACCCCAAACCAAAAAGTTACATAGTGCGCCTTTAAGCCTTGTTATAATGTTGTTACCTCATCAAAAACAAACCCAGAGTTGTGTTTTGTTTCATTGTATTCATGAGTAACCTTTTATTATTAGTCTGTCTACATCTCCAAAGCTCAGAATGCTCTTTTCCACCTTGTGATGTCATGTAGTGGTAGTTTTCAAGTTAGCAGCTACCGTTCAACTTTAGTTTGGTAGAAACTATATCGACAATACCAGAGCCAAAATAATCCAAATGATTCCAGTGAAGGTGTGTGGAGTTTAAAAACACACTGGAGCACTTTCTGTATTACCACATGACATCACAAGGTGGAACAGAGTGAAGAGCTCAGCCTAAATCTGCAGGTTTGTGTGTTAAACACGTGTGAATGAAACAAAACCCAACTCCAGGTCTGTTTATGATAAGGAAACAACATTAGAACATTTTATTATGATAAATACTGTTTGACATTTTCCAAGCCAAGTTAAAGGTGCACTCTGTAATTTCTCTGGTGGAGTGTCTGTCACCTGCTTGTCTCCATGGAGATGTGCCTAGAGTATTCCACAGTATGTAAGAATTCATGTTTTTTATGATATTTTACCCAGGTCTAAAACCAGGTCTAAACTAGGTCTAAACCAGGACTAAACAAGGACTAAAGCCAGGACGAAACAAGAACTAAAGTAGGACTAAAACCAGGACTAAACAAGGACTAAACTAGGACTAAACCAGGTCTAAAACAGGTATAAAACAGGATTTAACAGGACTAAACCATGCTGTGCAGACCGTGTCTCCTCGTCTTCTATCAATAATATTTTTAAAGACTCTGCCTTTTCTTTTTTTTTTAGCAAAAAAAACATCTTATGTGAAGATGTCCGAGTCTTTCGAGTCTTTGCTGTTCTACAGCAAATCAAGTAAACCAAAGTATTCAGATTATGTTACTCACCTTAAGTACCTAAATGGATTATGTTACAAACTACATTTTGGTGTATATTATCTGTAATCTGTAGGGGAATACATTTTAAAAGTCACCTTCCCAACACTGCTTATAATTGAATAAATACAAGACAGATTAGTTTAATGCCATACTGTGGACAATTCAATTCAAATCAAATAATTAACATCACCATGGAGACAAACAGGTTACGGACACCATCCAGAAAAGTTACACAGTGCACTTTTAATGTGTGAATTCAATACTTTTACAGGACTGAGGCAGAACAGAGCGGTGTGGACACAGTGGACGGGCCATGTTACTAGTAAGTATTGGGATGTGAACTTGCATTTCATTTACAGTAAATTTGAGTTTTGACTTGTCAGTAAATCCAGAACAACATCTCTCTGTATTTTTTATACAGATTGAAATCAGTCTAGTTCCCACGCCCTCAGCTGACTAAGACTTTACTGATCCAAAAAGGAAATGACTTGGACACAGTAGCTCACATCACAGTATATTATAATAACAAAGAGTAAAAATATTAATGGTAATAATAAATTCTAAATAAGTAGCAATGATAACAAGCAACCGCTCTCAAATAAGGCATAATTATGTAACTGTATGTGTACAAGTAAAAATAAAATATAGAAATATCCCTCCACCAGAAAATGTACAAAATGCAACTGTAAGTGAGACTACTGTACTACTCGAGTAGGAGTAAATGTATGTTGCTAGAAAAGTAAAATTTTATCAAAAAGTTACTCAAGTGCTGTAAATGTAAGTGAGCACTAGTGACCTCTGTTGACGAGAAGGGCAATAACACTTTGAAGAAATAATCAAAATGCATTATTTTAATTCCAGTGTTCCTAAAGTGGACCAGTACAGATACAGTATGGACTACCCCTGTGCAGGCGTCTGTGTGATCATCAACAACATCAACTTTCACCCATATTTAAGTAAGTATTCACCTCTGTACCATACAGGGTGCCCCAAAATATTTTACATTATTTCACAGGCCACTAACTTTTGCAATTCTTTTTGAAATAACCTCACATTTTAAATATACTGAAGAATATCTAGATTTTATTTTCAAATGTTTTTTTCTACAGCAAATCAAGTAATCCAAAGTATTCAGATTACATTACTCACCTTAAGTAACTTAATGGATTCTGTTACAAACTACATTTTGGTGTATGTAATCTGTAATCTGTAGGGGAATACATTTTAAAAGTTACCTTCCCAACACTATGTATGTCTATGGCTGAATTTTCGGCAATTACCATCGTGACACACTGCATATATTAGCCAATACTCCTTGATAGCTTTTATGATCTCACTTTAAAACTCAAGAAAACACTGAAAATGGATTTAAACCACACATTTCAACAAACAGGTGAGTCTGACTAACAGAATAAACTATTGGCTAACACTGGCTGGCTGGTTTATGTGAGATGAAGTCAGTTCTTTATGGTCAAATTGTTTTAAAATAAATCAGATTAAAGTCTAATTTGATTAACAGAGGTTCAGACAGAGCAGAGCCTACAGTTAGCATCACACTCCCAGGGAATCCCACATGATATCAGCTGCAGTATCAAATAGTAGTATAGTATATAGTATAGAGCAGGGGTCGGCGACCGGCGGCTCCGGAGCCGCATGCGGCTCTTTAGCACTCCCCTAGTGGCTCCCTGGAGCTTTTTCAAAAATGAGTGAAAATGGAAAAGGAATGAATTTTTTGTTGTTGTTTTAATCTGGTTTGTTTAGGGGTAAAACCCTCGTTCATCTCTGGTCATGGATCTGATCCATCAGCTGTGTGCAAACGCAAACACATGAAAAAAGTTTCAGCAGAACAAACAGATGAGCTGAAGCGGGGAGTGGTGTCCGGTGCCTCCACCTGAGAAGCGCTTTCTCCGAAAAAAAAAAAAAAAAAAAAAAAAACACGTGCGCAGACGGACACTCAGAACAACATATAACGAACCAAACAGGATTCACGCCTCTGCCCAGATGCTTTGCACCACCTCAGAACCAGGCCGCGGTCGAGCGCGGAGGACCGGAGCAGCCCGGACCTGTAGTCCACAGCGCATTCTCGCTTTTCCCGCACAGAACCAGCGCACAGACGACGACATGGAACCGCTCGGACCCAGTTCTTTGCACGCTGGTCTTGCTCGTCCCCGTCTGGAACCAGGACATGGAGGACGAAGCCTCCGGACATTCTGACCAACACTGGACCCCCAGCCCCGTCTTGAGGGGCTGCACACTGACTGCTCCCGTATGTTTTACGCTGCTGCCCGAGCTCAGAGCTTCTGCTCCGTGCTGATGTTGCGTACAAAGTTCTACATGCTGCTGTTTTATGAGTGCTCCTAAGCACGATCAGAAGAAATGCGACTGCTGCTCTGAATACTTCCATCATCGTCGTCATAGTAACAGGTAAACGTCGGTCGCACTTTCAGCGCGTCAGCTCCTAAAACTCCGTTTATCTCAGTTTACACGCAAACGTGAAACCAGAGTTTTTAGAAAGACTCGTTTTCAGAGGCGAATTCGCCTTTTTCGTGTAAACGATGTAAACAAACGAAGGGAAATGTCTCCGTTTTTAAAAATACCCGTGTACGTGTAAACGGGACCTAAATGACAAAGGAGTAAACACTAACCACCTGATTTCAGTGGCTACAGACGGTGCACTGAGTATGAGAGGGTCAAAAGGGGTTTGTGTAATCATGAATGCTCATTTTGTATTTGTAGCCTACTTAGTCATTTTAATAGTACGCTTCTATAGCTGATATACTGACAGCCTATGTTGCCTTCATATTAGGCTTATATAAGGCTTTTAATTTTTTGCGGCTCCAGGCAGGTATGGTTTTAGTTTTTTGGGCCAATATGGCTCTTTGAACATTTTGGGTTGTCGACCCCTGGTATAGAGTATAGGATGGACAGTGAATTTACAGGGTGTCCCAAAACATTTGACATCATTTTGCAGGCCAATAATTCGAGATTTTTTTATTTAATGTTTTATTTTTGTTCTGTTTTCAGTTTGAGCCGTTCATTCCCAAAGAGAAGTAATTTTGCTTATTGGAATCTGCTCACACACACTCACCCAAGACTGTGCAGCTTCAATGCAACATTTGGGAAAACTTCACCAACTGGCAATCTGGGAATTTCTGGGAATCTGGGTTTCCAAACTTGTTCTCCTTTCAGACTTCTCATGGCTTCGCGAGAGTTTTTCACGAACTTGCTCAACCTTCTCTTCTGATGTTAATGTTGGTCTACCAGAACCTTTTGCCCTTCATGAGCAGCCTTCATCTTTAAATTTTTGGTACCAAGTCCAAATTAGTTTGCCAGTTGGTGAAGTTTTTCCAAGTTTTGCACTGAAGGCTGCACAGTCTTGGGTGAGTGTGTGTGAACAGATTCCAAGACACAAAATGACTTTTCTTTGGGAGTGAACGGCTCAACCTGAAAACAGAACAAAAATAAAACATTAAATAAAAAATCTTGAATTATTTGCCTGCAAAATGATGTCAAATGCTTTGGGACACCCTGTAAATTCACTGTCCATCCTATACTCTCTATACTATATACTGTACTACTATTTGATACTGCAGCTGATATCATGTGGGATTGATTCCCTGGGAGTGTGATGCTAACTGTAGGCCCTGCTCTGTCTGAACCTCTGTTAATCAAATTAGACTTAAATCTGATTTATTTTAAAACAATTTGACCATAAAGAACTGACTTCATCTCACATAAACCAGCCAGCCAGTGTTAGCCAATAGTTTATTCTGTTAGTCAGACTCACCTGTTTGTTGAAATGTGTGGTTTAAATCCATTTTCAGTGTTTTCTTGAGTTTTAAAGTGAGATCATAAAAGATATCAAGGAGTATTGGCTAATATATGCAGTGTGTCACGATGGTAATTGCCGAACATTCAGCCATAGACATACATGGTGTTGGGAAGGTTACTTTTAGAAAGTATTCCCCTACAGATTACAGATTACATACACCAAAATGTAGTTTGTAACAGAATCCATTAAATTACTTAAGGTAAGTAACGTAATCTGAATACTTTGGATTACTTGATTTGCTGTAGAGAAACAAAGACAAGGATATCTTCACATAAGATGTTTTGTCTGTTAAAAGAAAATAAAAAGCCCAGACTTTACTTAACCATATTAAAAATATTATTGATAGAAGAGGAGGAGACACATCCGCACAGCATGGTTTAGTCCTTTTAAATCCTGTTAGATCCTGTTTTAGACCTGGCTTAGCCCTGGGTTAGTCCTGGGTTAGTCCTGGTTTTAGACCTGTTTTAGACCTGGTTTAGATCTAGTTTAGATCCAGTTTAGACTTGGTTTAGACCTGGTTTACCTCTAGTTTAGACCTGGTTTTAGTCCTGTTTTAGACCTGGTTTAGACCTGGTTTAGATCTAGTTTAGATCTAGTTTAAATCTAGTTTAGACCTGGTTTAGTCCTGGTTTAGATCTAGTTTAGACCTGGTTTAGTTTCCGGCAATGAGTGGAATTACCAGAAAAATAAGGGGGGGGGGGGGGGGGAAAACAGGAAAATACTGCCATGTAATCCATTTATTTCAACAAAGTAACTGTAATCCAATTACCACTCACTGAAATTGTAACTGAATACATTTACTCATAATTTGTACTCTGATTATGTAACTCCAGTACATGTAATCTGTTACTCCCCAACACTGGACATACAATATATGAAGAACACCCCCAGCACGATGTCACTGCCAAGTATCAATCCTGTACTCTCCCCTGCTGGACATAAAGACAACAGAAAAGCTGACATGCCTCTTGTTTCAGATATGAACACTCTAAACGGCTGTGATTATGACGCTTCCCACGTGAGAGAAACATTTGAGAACATGGGATATAAAGTCTATATGTTCAGAGACGTCACCACAGCACAGATGAAGCAGGCGCTGCAGAGAGGTAACAACACTCTTAGAAAGAAATACATATAAATATACTGGTTTAGCACAAATATAACATCAAAATCAAAGCCCCAGTATGTATCTTTTAGCCAGATTATAGACTAACAATGTATTATTTAGTTATTATTTTATATTTTGCACAACTTAAATCTCAATATTCATCTAAAGCGACTTAATAAAAGAAACAAGGCCACTGACATCAGTGTGGAATTGATGCGCCTCTTCGGATAGATGCAGATACAGATAGATAGATCATTTGTGCCAAAATGTGTCTTTCATTAGTAAAACCAAACTGGTACAGAGACGTGGGCATGTACAGGTAGCACTGAAAACAGGGTAAGACAGGAGCTAGAATACAGTTAAAAGCCCTAAAAAGACAATGTTTGCATCATAGGTCACTTTTGAATACTTATAGTGGAGCTGTTAAGGACCAAAAAAGTGCCCAATTGTTCACTTTTATGATAAAAGCATGAAATTTTGCCAGATTATTAACATCCCTAGGACCAAAATTTTTGGATATGGAACCAAGCCCAAGTCGACCCTGGAGCCGAGCACTGCACATGTCACAAAATGGCTGACGTGGAAACGAGGCTGGGAGGTAAATTACTGCTTAAAGCGCCTTTTTTGTAAAATAATGTTAAATTATCACAAATTATCAGTAATGCTTCCACTTACTTATGAGTAACCCCAGACTCCTCACATGTATGGAACTGGGAAATAAGCAGGAATCTTATATTGGTTATTTGTAACACTGTGAGAAAGATGCAGTCAGTGTGGTGAACAATGGAGAGATTTTGTGAAAAAGTAGAAAAAGAGAAAGATTAAAAGAAAATATTTAAGATTGTTCTATATCTGGACAATGCAGCATAAAGCATAAAGGTGCCCTATATAACTTTTTGGTCAGGGTCCACCACCTGCTTGTTTCTATGGAGATGTCATTGCTCTGCCTGGAATGTTCCACAGCTCCACATTAAACAGCTCTACTTTACATTCATTCAATTCCAGATAGTTTTACAGCTCAAAAATACTTAAAAAAACAGACATTCTGTCTGTGAGCGGGGTGGCCTCTCCACAGATCTGACCTGTAACTTGGTCTGGTTTGGTTTCCATGAAGATAGAAAGGTTTAATACTGTGAAACATTCCAGACAAAGGAATGACATCTCCTTTTGATGAACCCTCCACCAGAAAAGTACACTTTTAATCAAAAAGAAAAAAAAAAAAGCTTAATTGAATTGCATGTGATAACTCAAACTACGAGGGAAAGTCAATAATCAGGTATAATGTAAAAATGTATCTTACGTCTAATTTAGAATCATATGTGTGGTACTGGGAAATAAGTAGTATAATCTTCTATTGTTTTTCATAGCACAGTTCAGAAGGTTACAGACAATATGTAACCAAAGGATAAATACTGTGAATAGGCAGAAATAAAGAGAGAGATTTAAAAGAAGGCATTCAAGATTGTACTGTATCTAGACAATGAAGACAATTAGCTTCAGTGTCTGGACAATAAACCCCAGTGCAAGTATATTTTCAAGCTAAATTTTTATGTCAATTGAAAACATGCTACATAGGTCTCCAGGAGGAATAGCAGCTAATGGATCTAATTGAAGTGATTTTAGTACCACAAGGCCATTAAATGTACTCCCTAAAAATGACGTGAACATGGAGAAAAGCATTTTGAAGGACCCTCCATCTCGGTCTTTGTTGTACTGCACTTTTCTGGACTGAGATTTTTGATGTTTTTCCTGTATCTGCTGTAGCCACTCGTCCAAGTGCTCTGATCACCACGGGCGCCACTGATGCCTCCACTTTCCAGTAGGGGTGTAACGATATCCAAGTGTCACGATAAAATATTGTCACGGTATGGACCTCACGGTACGATATATATTGCGACATTATGGGAAAGCTCACGAGATGGTGGGAGGTTCACGATTAGGGATGTAACAATATACAAATCTCTCTGCACAATATTTTCACGATATACATCTCACAGTGTATTTATTGCAATATTTTGTGGCAAACAAAACTGTTAATATGCTACTTTTTCCTCTTAAAATGCCTTGACAAGACTTAATCCAAAGAACTAAAACTTAAAAGTGCTTAGGATCATGGTCTATGAAGATCCCTGTGTCTTTTTTTAGTTCTTGCTTCACCATAACTCTTAATTTAAGCAAAGAGACTTGTAATTCGATATATTGTGATGGTCTACAATAGGGTGACCAAATGTCCATTTTTCCCCAGACATGTCCATTTTTCACATCCGGGTTTTTTTTTTAAAGTGATGCAAATGTCCACGTTTTCATGATCTTTCATTGGGCCATTAAATTGAGTGGCTCTCGTAGCTCTCTGTGCACTCTGAAGGAGCAAGCAAGATGCACATTTAACAATGACTTGTACAAGAAATTCCCAGCTTTTCATCCTGGTCGGAATAAGTGTGAGGCCATGTGCACAGTTTACAAAGCAGGCACATATGTTTCGGTGTCCAGTGGGCGTGTCAGGGACCTCAAAGCTCACCAGGAAACCGAAAAACATTAAAAAGATTTGCCAGGTGAGAGTAGCTCGATGTCAGTGACGAGGCCCCACCCCCCACCCCCCGCACGGTGTCCTGGTTTTGACAAATGGAAATATGGTCACCCTAGTCCACTATATTACTGTGAGAACTTGGACAAAACAATATCACGATATTTCAGTTATTGTTACATCCCTACCTTCCAGGCCTTTTTTGAGCAGTGTTTGGAGTTAAGCCTCGCTTCCATGCAGCATTTAATTATCATTATGAAATATGATATGGCACTTACAGATCTGCAGTTAAATGTTTAAATGTTTTTTGTTATCAAAAACCCAATATATATGGCTTTGAAAGATAAAATACTTTATTAACTTTTCAACCAACACAACCCTTACATTTTCAATGGAAATGTGACCTCCTTAATGCTTTGAAGTTTAGAAAAAACTGTTGTTCAGCATTACAAAATTGATAACTAAGCAAATTAGACTATAAGAAAGGGGTTATGCAGTATTTTTTCATGTCATCCATTTAGTTCCAGTGTTAAATTAGACTTGGTTTCATATCCAGAACTATTAGTCCTGGGGGTGTTAGTAATCTGGCATAGTTTCATGCTTGTACCATAAAAGTGAACTATTTTGGTCCTTAACAGCTCCACTACTATGTGTGTAGGGACTGTAAATCTTTTTTTATTGTTATTATGAGTTGTAGTTCTTATGCCTTGGACCTGATGTTTTTGCAGCGTCTATGGAGGACCACAGTAACTGCGCGTCCTTCGTCTGTGTTATTTTGAGCCACGGGGAAAAAGATGTAGTCTTTGGGACAGACGGACGGGTCCCACTCGAAACATTAACACAATATTTTAAAGGACACAAATGCCGAAGCCTCCTGGGAAAACCAAAACTCTTCTTCATAAATGTGAGTCTGTCCTTTCCCCTTCACAGTGGTACAACATATTACACTATTCTCTGATCTATGTTCCAACATAGTTTGCTCATCACGAACATACCTGGAGTTGTGTTTTGTTTCATTTACACATTTATAACACACACCCTGCAGATTTAGACACCCTTAGGATTTAGTTCTGATCTCAGACAGAAAACACTCCACTTTGTGATGTCATATGGTAATAGGGTCTACAGGAAGTTCTAAATTGTGTTTTAAAACTCCAGACACCTTCACTAAAATCATTTGGATGAATGATTTCAGCCCAATCTCTCCACTAAACAAAAGGTTAAAGACTTGAAAACCACACCACTTGATGACATCACAAGCTGGAACAGAGCAATTTAAGCTGTGGAGATGCAGACAGACTAATAAAGGGTTACTCAAACAACATTCTAACATGGCTTAAAGCTCATTAAATTAAGTTTTGCGTAATATAGGGGGTCGAAAAAAAAAGAGAAATAGAGCGAATGAGAATAGATAGTAAGGACTGTTTTGACATCTCAACATCGTAATATATCACTAACTTTATTTTTAACATTTATTTCTGTTGTTTGAAAGGCATGCCGTGGTAACAACTCAGACGCAGGGGTAGATATGGTCGATGGTGGTGATAGTGTGGATGGTGTAGAAAACTATATCACCTACAGGATCCCACTGGAGGCTGACTTCCTGTACGCCTACAGCACTTCTCCAGGTAAAGTACACTATAATCATCCACTGGTCTCAAATCAGGAGGGGAGAGAACAAAATTGTGCTCAAGATAATATGCACAATGTCACTTTTTGGTTGGGGGTCTGTCACCTGCTTGTTTCTATGGATATCTACACTTGCTTTGCCTGGAATGTTCCACAGTATGACATTAAACATCTCTACCTTACATTTAGTCAATTACACTTTGTTTTATAGCTCAAAAATGCCTTGAGAAACAGGCATTGTGACTGTGAGCTGCATCGCCTCTCCATAGATCTGACCTGTAAAAGTTTAATGCCTTACTGCAAAACATTGTAAACAAAGCAATAAAAGCAAAATAAAATCGCCATAGATTCAAGCAAGTGATGGACCCACCAGAAAAATTACACAGTTCACCTTTAGAGTGCACAGTTCATGTTTTCTAATTGTTACGTGGATTGGTGAGATATTTATCATAATTTTACATTTGTTAAAGTTGCACTATTTTCTGATCTGTGTTCTAATGTTGTTTCCTCATCATAAACAGACCTGGAGTTGTGTTTTGTTTCATTCACACACTTTTAACACTGGCTGAGTTCTATTCTCAAACTGAAAACACTCTGTTCCTCACCACCTTTGCAATGTCACATGGTAGAACAGGAAGTGCTCCACGGTGTTTTTAAACTCTTTACACCTTCACTAGAATCATCTGGATAATTTCAGCTCGGGAAACAAAACACAACTTGAAGCAGTAATTTTCAAGTTAACAGCTTTTTTTTTTTACTTTGTTTAGTAGAGACAAACAATTCCAATTATCCAAATGATTCTAGTGAAGGTGTATGGAGTTTAAAAACACCGTGGAGCACTTCCTTTAAAACCACCAGAGAAGAACTCAGTCTAAATATGCAGGGTTTATGTGTGAATTAAACAAAACACAACTCCTATACCATTATAACATAGATCAGAAAGTAGCATAATAGGAGTTCTTTCAAAACAAAAACAAAAAAAACCCAAACAAACAAAGACATATTTAACCATCTTACTTGACTTACAAAGACATTTTAGTTCTGCTTTAATTTATTTTTCTTAACGCCTTCTTGTGTGCAGGATTTGTAGCATGGATGATGCCCAGAGGGTCCTTTTTCATTCATGAGGTGTGTCAGATGATTGAGAACCACAAGGACTTGGAGCTGATGCAGATCATGACCAGAGTGAATGGAATAGTGGCCCACAGAGACATGTTCTGTGATGAGGGGAAGAGGTACATGGAGAGTTATAAGCAAATGCCCAGCGTCACCTCCATGCTAACCAAAGAATTCTACTTCCCAAATCGGTTTAAGAGGTTTGCGCTCCATTAAAGCTCCATTCACACACGAGCCAGCACCAGAGCTTAGCTGGGTCTGCTCTGTTCACACTGAAAGGGCCCATGTTGATCTATGTCAAGCAGAAGTAAACAGCAAGGCCAAAAATTCAAGTTAATGCATCTGATATAAAAATGTATTGAACAGATACATATGTACTCTAGTTTATGAAACTGTTGACCTTTTTTCTGTACCATTTTTGGTTCTAAAGTTCCATATGTTTTAACAGACCATGTATGAAACATGGAACAAAAATTATTTCCCAAATTTCAAAAACCTGCAAATCATGTCAATAAATGGATGTATTTCATCATATCTTGTGTTATTCCATCTTTGAACTGTTGATGAAGGTACATGTTTTTTCAAAAAAAATGTATTTAAAATGATAAAAAATTTGCTTGGAAGGACTGACATATTTTATAGAAATAGTTTCCTTTCATTTTGAAGAAATATTAAAGTATTTGGAAGAAAAAAGCGACAAATTATGTAAAATCATGCACCTTCTACTTGTTTGCACAATTTTCCCTCTGTTACTTTTCCCTCTGTTACCATGACCTTTCTTAATCAAAAATGTCATTAGTCAAAAAGTAAGAGGTTTTTCAACCTAATCTTGTACCATATGGTAGAAAACTATATGAAGCAAATATTCAAACCAGTTTGTTAAGGATATGTAAGTGAGAACCAAGAGTTATCACTGTTTGTATTTATTGCCCAAAAAGTGCTGCATATTTCATTCCCTCCGTTACCGACATGAGTTTTAAAATTTTTTGTCAACAACTTGAAAGAATATCACAGGTTTAACTTTACCCTGTTGGAGTGTAACTCTTTCCTACATTCTGATACTTTACTTATTTCAATAGTTCCTCTAGTTTCTGAATAAGAGACATTTGAATGTAAAAAATCTGCCCCTGTTTCCCTCCGTTACCACTTGACCGGACCCAGATTCATTTTCATTATTTTTCAAGTTTCATAACGTTTATTTTTAGATGAAATATTAAACTCAAATCAGTTGGCCTCCTTGTTTCTCTGCTTTTATCTGTTTGCTCAATCTTTGTAGCAAAATGTGATGTTAACACAAATGTTAGGCTTATATTTAACTTTAAAGAACTTTAAAGAATAATACTGCTGGGACCTGCTTGTTTCCATGGAGATAGATCAGTTTAATGCCTTAATGCGAAACAATTTTGGCAAAGCAACAGGAGACGAGAGTGGCCCTAAACCTATGTCTATGCCTATGTCTACTATGTCTTTTTTATTTAGTTCATGTTTGGATCTGACTCTCTGAAACTGCTCTTTTTGTTACCAGAGAATAAAACTCTTCAGGAAAAGTGTTTGACTCTAGATCTCTCTTTTTAATTTACAAACAAAGGGGCTGTTTTTGTTTATATTATATGTGTATATGTGTGTATGTGTATATATATATATTTGTTATTTTTTATGTTACTTTTATATATTTTTGTAATGTTTAATTTAAAATGTAAAAAAATAAGACTAAAGTGTATTAAAATATTTACAAAAACAGGCAAACCCAATGCTGTAGTGTGAACAAAATCAGCTTATCAAAATGACATAATCTTTTAAAGTCATAGTATGTAACTTTTTTGGCCAAATAACAGACTAAAATAAAAGCATGTTTGTTTCATTATAGATGTTTTTAATCACTTAAAAATAAGAATAATAGAATAACACATCCTTAATCTGAGTGAGCTCGCATCTCCACAAACCTTACTTTCAATCTCAATGGAGAATGTTCCAAAGTATGATTTTGAACTCTATTTCCATGACTTCCCCCTCCAAAAGGTTACACAGTATGACTTTAAAAACTCCTTGAATTAAAGCTGCAGTTCATTTACCATGGCTCTCAGGGTCCTCCATATTATATATGAAGTTAAATGCCTTGGCCTCATTCTAGACGAAAATTTCAGATTTATCAGTCACACAAAATACTTAGTGAAGAAGATTAAAACTAGTCTCAATTGCTTTCGTTTCATACGTAAAGATTTAACGCTCCACACTTCTAAACTTTTCATGAACACAATGATCTTCTCTCATCGAGCTTATTGTATCACCTCATGGTCCCAGGCGTCCTCAACCATACTGAAACCACTCCGTTCATTTTACAAACTAACCCTTAAGGTCCTTGATAAAAAGCCCAAACAAGTATATTTTCAAGCAAAATTTCTATGACTGGTGCCCCACTGTGGCATCTGATTTTCCCAGTAAATGGTCACATTTTTCTATAGCGCTTTTCCACCTTCCACCTTCAAGGCACTAAAAGCGCTTTACAACAAGGAACCACTCACCCATTCACACACACATTCATACACTAGTGTATGCAGACACTGTGGGCAAGGTGGGTTAAGTGTCTTGCCCAAGGACACAATGACAGCATTCATCTGTGGGAGCTGGAATCACATCAGCCAACCGAATGCTCTACCAACTGAGCTACTGCCAGTGTCTTCCGGATCCAAGTACTGACCAGGCCCAGTCTTGCTTAGCTTCTGAGATCTGACAGGATCAGGCTTTAACAAACCTTTATGGCCACGCAAAAAAAAAAAAAAAAATCATCTCACAGTGCACAACTGGGTACAGTGTAAAACTACCCTAGCTTATGTCTGAATTTAGAATCACATGCATGGTGTTGGAAAGAAAGAAATAGTAGTTCATGGCGTAGTTAGAAGGCTACGTGCAATATGGTAAACAAAGCTTAAATAGATAGAGATCATAGTTTATAACAAATACATCTGGACAATGTAGACAATGGACCCTAATTTAAGAAAGTTTTTCAAGCAAAAATAGGTATAAAAAGTATACTACTTTAATTGAATCTTATAAACATACAGTAACACAAAATACATATAGTGCAAATTCAATAGAATAATTACAAAAAGGAATCACTTCATAATGCATTATTATAAGGCCTTGTAAAACTGTCCCAACTTATTTCATTCTTTCTTTCTATAGGTTCCTATGTATGGTATCTGGAAATAAGTATTTAAAAGGAGGCACTTAAGATTGTAAGAAGTACATCTGGACAATACACAGAATGAGCTTCAGTGTGGACAATTGAAAACATGCTACATAGTTCTCCAGGAAGAATAGCAGCTAATGGAGGTCAATGAAATCTAATTGAAGTACCATAAGGTAATTAAATGTAATGTACTACCTAAAAATGACCTAAACAAGGACTTTCTCAGCAATTATATCTCCAAAGAGAAAAGCATTTGAAAGACCCTCCATCTCGGGCTTTGTTGTTCCTGTACTGCACTTTTCTGGACTGAGATGTCTGATGATTTTCCTGTATCTGCTGTAGCCACTCGTCCAAGTGCTCTGATCACCACGGGCGCCACTGATGCCTCCACTTTCCAGTAGGGGTGTAACGATATCCAAGTGTCAGGATACGATATTATCATGATACGATCTTTATTGCGATATCGTGGGAAAGCTCACGATATGGTGGGAGGCTCATGATTAGAGATGTAACAATATCCAAATCTCTCTGTACAATGAGCTCTCTGTGCACTCAGAAGGAGGCATTTAAGGATGACTTGTACAAGAAATTTCCCGCTTTCCATCCCGGTCAGGATAAGTGTGAGGCCATGTGCACAGTGTACAAAGCAGCACATATGTTTCTGTGTCCAGTATTAAGTATTAACATATTTACACAAACATGCAAGCCCAATGCTGCAGTGTGAACAAAATCAAAATTACATAATCTTTTAAAGTCATAGTAGACCAAATAACAGACTAAAATAAAAGCATGTTTGTTTCATTATAGATGTTTTTAATCACTTAAAAATAAGAATAACACATCCTTAATCTGAGTGAGCTCGCATCTCCACAAACCTTACTTTCAATCTCAATGGAGAATGTTCCGAAGTATGATTTTGAACTCTATTTCCATGACATTCCACCTCTTTCAATGATCTTCTCTCATCGAGCTTATTGTATCACCTCATGGTCCCAGGCCTCCTCAACCACATTGAAACCACTCTGTTCATTTTACAAACTAATCCTGAAGGTCCTTGACAAAAAGCCCAAACACTGGCACCACTGTGACATTTTGAAGAAACATAAACATTTTTAACTTTGAAAATTTTACCAATTTTAATACTCTTAAATTCTTTTTTAAGTGTCTTAACTGCGATACACCACTGCACTCAGAATTTGCCAGGACCATAAATTGTTCACACAGAGCGAACACAAGAGGCGCTACTAGTGGTAATTGTGTTGTTCCTCGGTACAGGACAGATCTTGGTCAGTCCTCGTTCTCTTTTAAAGGGGCCAGACTGTGAAGTGGTTTACCATCTAATTTAAAATTGGAAACCAATAACAACAAATTTAAAAGTAAATTAAAATTATTGTATGTTTCCTATAAAAAATGCCAGTACATTACATTTACAGTACATTATCCATTGATAATGTACTGTAAATATTTTATCTGTTTGTAACTTATCTTTCTTGTATTGTCTGTTTTTATGCATGTAGAATATATTTTTATATGGACAGGTGTTGAAAACTAGCACTTGTGCTAAAACACTCAAAGTACTGCATCTGGCTTGTCTAATGTCATGTGATGTCCTTAATAAACATAAATTTAAAAAAATGTATGGGTATTGGGGCAAACAAGTAAAAACTCTTCTACATCAGCTGTCATGTGCTCTGACTGCAAGATAGAATGAGACACATGTAAAGGAAAAAATAACATAAAACACTGACAAAACAATTATTTACTTGAAAATACAATTTATTAAAAAGAAATGACATTTTTATCCAGTTTTTGTTGTTTACCTGCCTTATTTCACAAAAAATGGTATTCTATGTATTCAGAACAGCCCTGTGAATACCTGGACACAGTTAGGATAAAAATGGCTAGAATCCTCTCAACACAAAGAATTAATTGAGAAAACCTCTTTCGTGATAAGTGAAGGAGAAATGTCCAGTTTTAAAAGCTGCAGATTTAAGATGACGTTTGAACAGAAAAGTTTTGAGTAATGAAGGCCCGAGCTTTATTTACAGTGGAAACATCCTCCACTGTAAATAAAGCTCACCTTTAAGACAGAGAGGGGTGTTTTCCTACTTTTAATTCTAACGAGGATCACACACGCTCTCGAATCAAGGATATAAGAATGAGTTAGTATAGGAATTAAACAAGTGTCAATATGGATAGTCTTAAACAGCATTCCACGAAGGGAGGAGGCACTGATCCAGCTTCCATTACAGATACTGATACTTTGGCTTTAACTAACTGCCATTACCCGTAATTAACTGATACTAGTGTAAGTTTGGAGAATTTTTCTCCCGCCAAAAAAACACTTTACTTATTACAAAACAGTTCTAACTGTGTTATGTAGCTATTATTTTTCCTACTGCACAGCTTTGTATGAATTCAAGTTCAAACATTATAAGAGGTTCTAGGTCAACACCATCCAGTAAATAATCTTATTGCATCAAATAAAAGGCCCACACAGGATATCATCTGAAACTACACATAATTACATGATTGTCTTGATGCAATAGTTACAGTTTCTTTGTGTCACAGCAGTGCTCAATAAAAAGAGGTATTGAGATTTTGAAAATTCAGCAGAGCAACAAGATCTCATGAAAATCTTTGGTGACTTGCTTAGTCCCTGATACAGTAAGAACATGCGTGCCATTTCAGATGGTGTCATCAACATTCCCTGGAGCTGTGATGCTAACTGTAGGGATTTTTCTGTCTAAACTCTGTTACTCAAATTAGACTTTAATCTGAGATTTAATTTACAACCTGTGTGCAATCTGAACACAAATGGTTGACTTAGTTGGAACAGGTGAGATGATTTGTGCTGTTAAACAAGTCTTTCATTCATAATATTACAGTCACAAGATACGTAGCATTAGCAAACTTTTTTTTTTCAGTTATAGTCACTCTCACCTTTTTTGTTAAACTCCTGAACTCCTAAACAAAGACGCTCGTATTGATCATAGGCTCCAGGAAATGTGTTGTTTAAATCCATTTTGTATTTTATATCATTAATGTGTTCATTGTGTCACCATGATAACTTCTAAACCTTCCACCATACAGATACATGTAGTACACCCCCAGTGTGATGTCACTGCAAAGTATCAATAATAACTGTGCACTTGTGTCAAATAGTGTCCTCTGAGTATAAAGCGACATACTTGTAAAGAAGTATCTAAAAAGTATTTGTAATTGTTAGATTTACAGTTGAAATGTTGTTTTTTACATTTAAAATATCCCCGTATCTTGATTTTTAGTCATTTTAACTAATGCAATTTATCTGGGGTTTAGATTTTTGAGTTTGTTTAAAGGTATTTCTGAGTGATGATCCACCCCAGTCTACCCTAGGACTATATAAGACTAATGCATCATTATTATTGCATACTTCTCAGACAATAAATAAACAGCATAACATTAAGCAACCCCTTCTCTTGTTACTGAATTTTTAAAAAACAAGCACGTAATCACCTGTATGTGGCCACACCTACTGAGGAGCGTATGCAGTTGTTTAAATCAAGGGTTCCCAAACTTTTTAGGTTGAGACCCCCAAAATAACCAGGCAACCAACACCAGACCCCCCCTGAAAAATAAAATTAATTTATTTTAATTAAATTAATAAAAATTTAATTAAACTAATAATTAAACAAAATTCTGTTCAATGTAATTTAATTTAATTTGTTAATCAAGTTCAGTCATGTTTATTTGACTAGTTTATTGTGTTATTTGGACTCTTTTCTCATACCATTTTTAATTAAAATGGATTAAACATGTAAAACACGTGTAATTTTTTTTTTTAAATTACATCTTCTACGTCATCCTGCGACCCCAGCTCACTGCCACATGACCTCCCGGGGGTCTCAACCTCTATTTGGGGAACCCTGTTGTAAATGATTGTTAAACTTGTATTAAATCCTATTTGGGGAAGTAGAACTCTTTGGTCAGCATGGAGACGATGCAGGGGATCTGCTTCTTGCCGCTGAATCCAGGTAGATTTGAGGCCGACTCAAAGTGATAGGCTACTTTTCTGTTGACTCTGGTCATAATCTGCATCAGCTCCAGGTCCTTGTGTTCCTCTAGGATCTCACACAGAGACTGAATGAACCATGAGCCGTTTTGTGTGTTCCTCCATGAGTAGTATCCTGAAGACAAGACAAAATAGTGAAGAGTTTGAAAATTATCACATTTAGTTGAGTGCAAGAAGCTCCTTAGAGAGATGGAGGAAATCTGAAGAGGAATTTTGAAAGAGGAAGTGTATGGGGAGAGGAAGTTTGGGTGTTGTTAGTGTGAGACCGAGAGAAGCATTAGATAAATGGGGTGTAAGTACATATTGGATTAGTAGTTTTAGGGCTGAGCAATTTTGGATTCCGTAGGTTATATGGTATAATACAGGGGTGCTCACACTTTTTCAGCATGCGAGCTACTTACAAAAGACATAATGATCTACCTAATACAAAGTCAAGCAAACTGCACTGAAACACTCTGTGCCCCTTTTTTGGACCCTCACCCACAGTTTGAGAACCCCTTCTTTAAGAGAACTTCCTCTGGCACTTTACACAAAACTGTGAAAAAAGTGAAGGAAGATTTTTAAACCTGTTTTTTAAAGTTCCAAACTGGAGTTGCATTCTTTTCTGGTTTTGCAGTGATATTTACCAGCCTCTGCACGTTTACCAAACCAAACGCACATCGTGACAAACACAGATGCATTTGTGCACTTTTGTGAGGCAAACTTCAGCCAAATGTGGCAGTAGGTCTGTTCTGTAGATCCGCTCTATGCTGTAGACCTGCTTTGTGCCAACACTGGAACACAAATTTAGACTCGTTTTTGCTTCACGTTTCGTCTTGCTCTTCTAATCAGCCGCACTGTGGGAGGGGCTTGTGTTTGCTGTACGCAGGAAGGAGCGAGAGCGTGAAAAGGCGAGGGGCGGCGTGCTGACGTGAGGCAGATGGACAGGTAGGATGTTTAGGAAGTTGAACCTGCCCTGTGATGCACGCTGGTACACGAGGGCACACGCTGTTGCAGACGAGCCGTGCATAGGGAGCATGTGTGTTTGTGATGTGCCGTAGAGTCTCCGCGGGTTTCAAATGAGCGCACAGGCTGCACTGAGACGCCCCACACGCTCCTGCACCCCACTAATGAAATATGATCGCACTTGTTGAGTGTCAGACCTTGAGTGAGAGACAAGACCGAGTCCAAACGCGAGTCCGAGACGAGACACGGCGATCTACCCACACGACCTTGGCGATCGACTGGTAGATCGCGATCGACGTATTGAGCACCCCTGGTATAATATATATATATATATATATATATACTTTTTTTTTTTAATCAAAACTTTAATAGTTTGATGAGAGAAAAACTGAACTGGCACGATGCTTTTGAGAACACTTCGGTAGAGGTCTAAACTACAGTGTTAGCATTAGGAAACACTGAAAATGGGACCTGGCAACATCTCTAAAAAAAAAAACTACTACGTATCTCTGTGTATTCGACCCAAACTCGAAGCATCTTGAACGTTCAGGCATCTGACACCCTGGATGTGCACCATGTCAACCAGTCAGGGAGTACTCTCCACTGATGTAGTGACAGCATTATCCAGAAGAAAGAGCAGAAAGATGAAGACCCAGGAGCCCTAAATGAAACTGTTTAAATTCAGAATGCCTCTGAATCATGTCATGGACCAGGACACAGTCCCACAGATCGCCTCAGCTGATGGGCTGTATGTAATAAATGCACCAAAGCCTCTCTCTGAACAAAGCTTAGGACACAATTATCTGATTAACTAAATGACTGAAGTCTTACAGCCCAACTATAAATTATTGCATTATTCAAGTGTAACAATTAAAGGTTGTATGGAGGATTTTTTTTGTTTCAAATTGTCAATGATAGCATTATAGAGATGCAGTAGCCTTATAATTATGATGACCAAAAAAAAGAGAATAAAAATTCATCAACTCTGGACATGGTGGGGCCAGCTAAACATTTGAGGGGGGGGGGACAAACAGTCGCTGGATTTCTCATTCCTTGGAAAATCCTCTATACAACCTTTAAACTCAGTACCGTTGATGGACCTCAGTAGTGTGTAATAGTAAACTGTCCCCACAGTTACAGTGTCAGGGATGAGGGCTGGTACCTGGAGCTGTGGAGTAGGCGTAGAGGAAGTCCGCCTCCACTGGGATCCTGTCTGTGGACGGGTCCACGCTGGCATCCACTGAATCTGTCTCAATCCCACCATCAAAGTCAGCGCCACGGCATGCCTTTCAAAATAAAAGAAAACAATAAAACAACATACATCATCACAGCAGTGTATTACCTCTTGAGGAAATGAGCACTTCACTGGCACTGGTCCATCTGAGCACTGTTAACAAAAGTCTTAGAGCATCATTGTAGGTCACACTCAGTCTCTGTAGGCTCGGACTGACCTGTATAAAAAAGAGTTTGGGTTTTCCTATGAGGCTTTTGCAATTGTGTCCTTTAAAATATCTGGTAAGAACGTCCAGTTTTTCACATCCGTCTGTCCCAAAGATCACGCCCTCATCCCCGTGGCTCAAAATCACACAAACAAAAGAGGCGCAGTTACTGTGGTCCTCCTGAGACACTGGAAAACAATGAACATGTGTACATTAAATAACAGCAAGAACTACTGCAGGGTTTCAGATTATTTAGGCCAATAATATTTAATACAGCTGTGGGGCAGCCGAAATCAATATTGTTAAAATTCTGGTTATTGTTTTAATACAGTGAGTTCTTGTGTATAGTCATCAGGTTAAAGATTTGCCCATCATCTCCAGTTTATCCTTGGTTAACATGTATTTATAACTGTCTTTTCTGCCATTTGTGATCAGTGTTTGCATGTGCATTTTTTTGGTGTGTCCCATTAGTGATGGGAAGAAAACTGTGAAAATGTCTTTAGTTACAGAATACTGAATACCTGCATTAAAGATTAATCAGAGTACTGTATTCTGAACACTTAAAATACTTTTACATTAAGTTGCATTTAAATTATAGTGTACAGATGCTACATTAGATTATGTTTGTCCACAGTTTGTTCTGCATTTCCTATCACTGACTGCAGAAGGAAAAATCACATTCATGCACCACAAGAGCTATGTGATTTTTTGCAACTGCAATGTATTCCACTGATTTTAGAAAAGGAACTGCATTCTGAATACCATTAACTCTTTCCCCCCTGGACGCCTACTAGGAACAACCCATACATATGTTACTAGGGCTACCCATAGAGCATAATTGCATAAAAGAAAACAGACTTCCACGAGTGATTTCAGGGCAATTTTGGTTCATAATCGAGTATAAAGCCAAGATAGTTTGTTCGGATATCGCAGGACTCCATACAGACGCATCAGCGGCATTCTCATCTTCGTAAGATTCACTCTCTGTAAGTCCGTCGCTAGTGCTGTTTTCCACTTTATAATCACCCTCATCACTTTGAAATCTATAAAAGTCACTTTCTCTAAACTTATCCATAAAATACATCCGCTCCTCATTATTTCTAAAACTGTGTGCCGCAGCGCGATCTTTCCATTGCACGTGTTTCGTGTTGTGTTTTTTCCGGAAGCTACCATCGTCACTACTTCGATTAATGTCGGAAAAAATCTGCGAAAACATATCCTTGAATCCTAATGGTAAGCCTAGTGTGGGTTGTAGTGGAACCTACCTATCGCAGTCTCTGTTTAAATGTGAAAAACCGAGCCGTTTCTAAAGGTCGTCAAATCACGTCTTTAGTGATACGGCGGAGGTGTCAAAAGTCGTCATTAAGGGTACAGGGGGGGGTCGTCAAATGTCGTCTTCATGGGGGAAAGAGTTAAAGGTTAAAGTAGAGGATAAAGAGAGGGGACAGTGCCACTGCTGATTCTGTGAAGTGTAATTTATTTTTAAGTTTTCAAACCTTTCCAAAGAATGATGGGATACAAAAAAAACATTCATTAAGACTCAAACTGATGATTTCACTGAGACAACTCCTGATACAGCAGATATTTGAAGGAGGAGAGGGGGTCTGTGCTCTTGAGTGGAAAAATTCCTGACTGCCTGCCACATGTCCTTGTGTTTGGGATCAGACAGAGCATCCAAACACTCTGAAACCAGCTTTAAAGTGGGACTAAGGTAGTTTTAAATAATAAACAAGGAGAACAAAAACATAGATTGCCTCAAACTGCAGATGGCCCTATGTGCCACCAGAAGGAGCCATACCACAGTCTGAGAAACACTGGCTTACATTATTAGTATAGAAGTACAAAAGTGCATGAAGTTACCACTCTTTAGCTTTTTCTTAATCTCTTCAACAGTGAGGTCTGTTCCTATGATCAGTTTATACCCCAGATTATGAAAAATCTTCATCACAGCATTTGCATCTACATCTGTGCCATTTCGAGTGTTCATTCCTGAAAAAAATAAAATAATAAAAAAACAAGGCTAAAATCAGGACAATGAGTATATATTAAGGAGGTATATCAATACTTCTTCAAAAGAGTATCTGATTTCAATGTCTGGTTTCAAAATCTGGTTTTGGTATTGATTTGTATCAGAGTATAGTTTTGCCCTCACAGATCTGACCTGTGCTGCGGTGGAAGTTCTTGTTGTTGATGATGAGGCAGAGTCCAGCATGTGGGAAGTTGGTCTTGTATCTATACGGATCCTCCTTGGTCTGGACTTTAGTGTCATCTGGACCAGGGACAGAGTCCTGGCTCAAAGAACTACAACTCTCCTGTGGGTCCTGTGTATCTCCAAGATTTTCTGAAGACGAGGGGCTCTTTCTGGAATTAAATTAATCTGCATTAGGGGTGGGTGAGCTTGATTATCATTATTAGTAGTATGCCAAAAAGGAATGTGCCAAAAAGTGCCAGTAAATGTCTTGGTTGAGGTTCGATTGTCACACAAAACATGAATGGAGTCAAACTAACCACATAAATGCAAAATATAATCATGAGTCAGCAGCAACATAAAGACAGATCTCTGTATCAGATAAAAGAATTACTTAACTGACAATCCCCGAAAACATTCAAGTGGAAAATAAAGAAAATGAAACTTTATCAACAATAAGAATTTGCTTTGGAAAGTGAAAACAATAATGAACCAGTGAGCTGCTGCCACACACCGCCCAGGGACCCGCTCCAGATCCTTTTCTAGTCCTGGTCAGTACCCAGGTCTACCTTAGCTCGATACCTATGGAGCATGTTTTGGGTCGATAGGCGAAACCAGAGTGACCAGAGGAATCTACTCAGACACAAGGAGAACATGCCCCATAGGAATTGAACCTGGATCTTTCTTGCTGTGAGGCACTAACCCCTTATTAACCCAACACATTGTAACAGGACATTGAATAAAACTGTAAGAACTGTAAATAGCACTGGTTCAAATCTGCCACACAAATCTAACCCTAGGCTTTGGGATACAGGATTACACTGTGCACCAAAATATATTTGATTTCCTGAGGCCGCAACAGTCTCGTTCACATCCTAAAACTTACTTGAACAAAGTCCAGGCATCAGTTGTGTCCCCACTGGTCTGATCTTTATCTGCCATGGTTCTGAAAAAGGAAAAAATATGAGTTTTATTATGAGCTTCGTTTGGTAAAAGTGCAAAAGTAACAGTTGTACATTTGGCTGTTAGGTTGTGTTTTCATTGGGGCTGAGCGTTATGTTCAAAAGATATGTCTTTTTAAAACCTTCAATTTATGTTTTTTAATAAGTTTTATGAACAGATTTTAAAAATAAATCAAATTTTATACAACAAATGAATTCTTTCCACTCAAGTCCAATTAATAAAGGTTGTCAATAATCAATACTTACAATCACATAAATAAAGTTGGACCTTACTGGATAATGTCGTCACAATACCGACATTTCAAACTTGATTCTGATACTGAAGATAAACTTCATAGTCAATACTGATTCTGATACAACTCTTTATTTAGACAATAGAATGGCATTTTCAAAATTAAAATTAAAATAAATATACAAATTAAGTCTATGGTAAGAATCTAAATTAGTTTTGTTTGTTTTAACCCACTCTACATGATCTACAAATTCATGCTGGAGCATGAGTGTCGCCCCCTGCAGGACACCCTGTCAGTGGCACTGCTCCACCCTCTGCAGGATGAGCAGTGCCCTGTACATGAACCCTGTAGTGTACATGAATCAGACTCTTGTAGTAATCTAGTGCAATACTCTACATAATGTGTTGTAACTGCATTGCAACACTTGAAGTTCCTGTTTATCTTATCATATATTCCCACAATTATTATTTATTACGCTCCTGCTGCACTTTCAGTTCCACAGTTCCACATTTAAACAAGTGTAATAGAACTGTACTTTGTTACAAACAAACCACAATGATCTAGAAGAAAACATCATGGATCATTTTTCTGCACATTCTGGTGATTTATGGTGATTATCTCAGTCAGTGATTATCACGATTATTTAAAACGTCCCACCAACGATCAGTGTGTCTACCTTTTTATCACAATGATATTACTGTTTATTGTCTATTCCGAATTGGTACTGACAAAGTTGAACCTTTCAGTTCAGCTCATTTTGATCTTCATCAGAACTAGTGCAAGATAAAAACTACTTTAAAACTACTTTGTTCTGAAGACTGACTACATTTTACTGTCGAAAAAGGAGTGTTTTAAGCACTGTGCATGCTGTATCAAAATCTAGTATAAGTATAGAATTTTAAAATTGTAACAACACTACCCTATTGAGATGTTATGACTTGTAATCAATATTAATATTTCTTTTGACAAGTTAAAGGTACAGTGTGTAACTTTCCAGAGGTGGCACATCACCTTCAAAATTCGATAGAAACAGAGTTAAAACCACACATCAGAACATTTTCAGTGGAGATGAATAGGCTTTATGCAATGCTGTAATGTAGAATATTATAGCCAAAGGAACAACATTTCCATGAAAATGAGCCAGGTGGTTTTGTTTTTCTTTTTTCTTTTTTTGCATTTACAATAGAAAGTAACAATGTAATAATCCAGTTATTACATTTGAATCAGGAATAAAATAAAACAAGACAACAATTGAGGGAATTAAAAACAACTGTTACGTAATATTAAACCTTGAAACCTTATAGAACTAACTAGTAGTCTAATTAGTAATAAACCGTGTCCGCAGAGTATATTCTATGGTTAAATTCGCCAAAAAGTAGGCTTCATTGTCAGGATACTACTACTAGGGCAATCTGATTCGCAGTAAATACCATATATGGAAGAAGCACACCCACTTTAATTATATCTTTGGCATTATCAACTAACGTTTTAATCATGTACTAAAACAAATAAACAAGCAATCAGTCACAGACTTATATTCATATTACACCTCAAATAGTTGATTTAGTGATTTAAGGCGTTCAAAAACAACAATCGACTTCCCAGGTGTAGCAATGGAACGCGGGTCACCTATACGGAATAACCTGTTTAACTAGAACCAGCAAGCACGCGCTAAAATACTAACTTCTAATCAAAATCTGAATTAAATCGTTTTATAATATCATCGCACGTACCTTTATTGCGGTAAATATGCTTGTACAGCTGTTGCCAAGCCGGTATTGTAACTGTAAAAAGTCTATATAAGGAAACAAATGTAAAGGAAAACGAGCGAAGTCCAGAGATGAGCTGTTAGCCAATCAGAGGCCTGAGATTCGGCTGAGGGCGGGCGCTAAAACGTAAATGAGGAACCTGATTGGTTGAAAGTGTGCCCAAAGATATGCCCGGACAAGTTTACGAAACGAAAATATTAACTCAACAAAAATTATATGACTAAACAAAACATAATGAAACTAGGTCATGAGGTGATTTTAGATTATCTGGTGTAATACAATATTTGAGAAAGACATTCCTTATACGGTTCACTGATAGGTTCACTTCATGCGCTCACTTGTGAGGAAAGAAAAATCAAACAATAAGTTTCAGTTTCGTTCAACCACAAGTTGAAGATGAGTGATTAGAAAAGCCCAATGTATTTATATCTCCAGTATTCAAATATCTGAGTGTTCTTTGGTATTTATTTTAGAGCCTATTATTATTGGACCCTGCTAGTAGTCAAAATTATTTGAATTATTACACTTATATCTGATCTATGTTCTAATGTTTCTTCATCACAGACATATCTGGAGTTTTGCTTTGTTTGATTCCCACATGTTTAATACACAAATCCTGCATATTTAGGCTGAGTTCTCTCAAACAGAAAACACTCTGTTCCACCTTGTGATGTCATGTGGTAATATAGGAAGTACTTCATACACCTTCAGTACAATCATTTGGATGATTTCAGCTCTGGAAATGACAATCTCTACTGAACAAAAGGTAAAACGTTGCTATTAACTTAAAAACTACCACCTTATGATCACAAGGTGTGATAGAGCATTTTGAGCTTTGGAGATGCAGACAGAGTAATAAAGGATGACTCAGACATGTGTGAATGAAACAAAACACAATTTCTGGTATGTTCTGCATGTGATAACAACATTTTGACATGGCTTTTCCCTTTCATACAATTTCTTTTCTCTGGTAAGAGGAGTAAAGAAATGGTTTGAGAGGGGAGTTAAAGAGGCTATTTTTGTTAGGAAAAACAATTCTTTGAAATGGAGGGCTCAGACGTCATCTCTCTTCTATTCAAGTTCAACTCCATCCTCAGACCTAAATCAAAACAAAAGAAAACAAAAAAACAATAGTGATAGGCCTGAATGTCATATGCTAATATGACTCAGACACAGTTTCCATGTAGCCAGATCTGTTGAACTGCACTCACAAACCGAAACTGTAAACAAGTAAGAGTGGTGGAAATTTTATTGGGTGTTTTTGTTGTTTTTTTTCCGTTATACAAGAGACATTGTAAAAGCCACAATGTTCTTGGGAAAGGATTGAACCTCAGAAAGTATTTCAGTCTTGTTACCACAGTGCTCTTGGCTCACTACTAGCAGAACCTTTGTCTGTCAGTGGTGGGACCATTTGTTACCGGTGCAAATGTCGACATAGACGGTATTCTTGTATGTTTTGGTGTTATTTTACAGATAATTTCCAAGTAGATGTGTTAGTTTCAGAGTAGTTTCAGTGTAGTTAGCTCCTCCCTTCAGACAGATCTAAGGCAGTGTCCACCAGCGTCTGACCAGAACTGAAGAAACAGCTTGGATGAAAAACGTATTAGGTCAAAAAACTCTGTCCAATTCTGTTTTTCTTTTCTATGTCTCCATGGAAAATGTTCCGAAGTAGGTTTTTAACATTCTGTTTATATGGAATTAGGTGACTTTCCACCTACGAAAATTTACATTACTTTAATCTGAATAACTAACTGTATTAATAGCCCAGTGTTTTTTTCTCTCAATATAAAGTAAAATAGCATTCATTTACACAGATAAAAAAACATATGGTTCAGTTATTTAGCACAAATAAAATTTTATTATTTAACAACAGAAAATTGGCAGAAAATATTTAAATACAAAAAACAAAGCACTTTTCTTTGATGAATACAGTAACATTAAGGACAGATAACACAATTTAAAGTTAGCAAATAATAAAACACTCACTCCTCTTCCTTATTTTTCTTTGACAGTTTTTTGCAGTCTATTGTTGATTTCTTTCAGCTGAAGTTCTGTGGTTTGGACGTGTTTGGCCTCGATGAGTAAAGCCGGTAAACTGGACACACCGTACTGAAGACAATGGATAAAACAACAAATTACAGATGAATAAAAAGGCACTACAAATACTTACAGCCTATGAGAAAGTACTGTATGGTACATATGGGACACTGATAGACCTGGTTTAAAGGTGCACTGCTTGTTTCTATGGATATGATTAATTAATATGATTTTAATCCTGCTTTATAACTATTCTAGTCCTAGTCCCTGGTTGAGTCTTGCTTTGGTTCTAGTTAACCATTTGAAAAACATACACTAATGTACTTGAAACATGACAAAGAGTTATGCGAGAGTCCTAGTTTAGTCCTTGTTTAGACCTCATAAAGACCTGGTTTATTCATATTTAAACCTGGTTCAAGCCTGATTTAGTTCTAGTCCAGTCCTGACTCAGTCCTACTTTAGTCCTTGTTCAGCCCTGGTCCAGTCCTGGTCCATACCGTTTCTCTCTCGTCTGGATTCTCCTGTCTGTGTTGAAGATATCGTTTGTTGAGCTCTCGCAGGTTTTGGAGGAAAGTTTTGCTTTGATTTAAATCCTTTAAGTTTTGCTCCAGTTCAGATTTGTCTTTTTGCAGCAGCCACAACTGTCGCTCGGACCTGAAATAAAACAAAACACATAATTAGGCCTAGAGGGTCATTCATGCTCCATTTCATACATGAACAGATCTGTGAGTTCCAAACGTAGTAACAGTTATCACATTTGTACTTTTGTTTCTAATGTCAAGACTGTATTCTCTGAAACAACCACCAAAGGATGCTAAAAGTCAGTAAACTGACAAAAACTGATGAAGAGAGCAACAAATAAACAAACATGGAGGCACCCATCGCAGGTTTTAGAAAACATCTGCTGAAAAAGAGTCAAGAAAATTAGTTGAGGGATGCATTTATTTCTTCGTCTTCTTCTGATATGTGCTCATTGCTGCCCACAGTGGTTAGCTCCGTGGCTAGGATTTGACGTGTTCTGAGCAGAGGGACCAGATTACACACAACAACAACAAAGTTTCATATGTGCCATCTATTGGTGAAAAAAAATCTAATAAATTTACAGCTGTAGTTCTAACAGTATTTATCTTGATTTTTGAATGCCTTCTTTTACTGTTGTTTGTGAACTCCCTCAGTCGTCCAGGTAGGATCCATAGCAAAGGAGAAATTAAATTTTAGGTCTGAGGATGGAGTTGTAAATAGGAGAGAAATGATGTCTGAGCCTTCCATTTCTGTTCAAAGATGCATTGTCCTTTTTAACAAAAATTGCCTCTTTAACTTCACTCTCAAACCACAGAATTGAATTTCTCCTTTGTTTGTTCTTTTACTGTTGTTGAATTGTGTGTTCTAACATTGGAATTACACAAATAAAAAGTTTTTCTTATCATATATTGGTTACTCACTTAATGAGCTCGTTCTTGGCATCCAAAAGTTGCTGTCTCTTTGTCCGAATTGCGGAGGCCAACTTCATTAAAACATCAGAAGTTTAGTAAATATTATGTTATACGAGTTATTTTTGTAATTTCACAGTTAATATTTGGATCATTGTGGTCACCTTTGAGTTTTCTCTCATCACAGTCTTCAGCTGTTTACTGGAGAAGATCTGGTACAGAAAAAGTTAAATCATAAGTACCTTTGTTTACCACTAGGTGGTGCTGGTGATTAAATTTTATATATACAATCTATGGTTTAAGTCCATTATAACTCAAACCTTTTCCGTGAGTTGATCTTTCACATTTGAAGCAAAATAGTCCAGCGCCTGCTTCACTGCTTTGGACTCGACCGTCTCCCTGAGAATAAAAATAAAGATATCTGGTTTAAATCAACTTACACTCAACTTAACTTATATAAATGTTAATTCATATACATGTGTCAAAATGTCAAATATTAGTACCTGTTCTGTATTATACCATTTTAACTGCTCAGATCTGTGGAGATTCATTGTTACTGTGAACGGGGTAGCAAGTTTTTCTATGTATTTTTAAGTAATAAAAATACCTGTACTGTATATGGTAACTGACTGACATTAGTGTAACGTTGAACATTCCAGCCAAAGCAGTGGCATCTCCATGAGGCAAGTAGAACAGTTATATAGTGCACCTTTATTCTCCCCCATCAAAGGTGCACTATGTAACTTTTTTGGTTGGGGGTTTGTCATCCGCTTGTTTCTACGGATATGTCTTTGCTCTGCCTGGAATGTTCCACAGTATGACATTAAACAGCTCCAGCTACCTTACATTGATTAAAATATAGACACAGCTCCAAAATACCTACAAAAACAGACATTCTGACTGTGAGCGGGGTTGTCTCCCCACAGATCTGACTTGTAACTTGTCTGATTTGGTCTCCATGAAGAGAGAAAGGTTTAATACAAGGTCAAATTGTTTCCTTGTAAATAAACAAATAGACAAACTGTACACTAACTTGTATTGTTCGTAAAAATCCAAAACTCCTCCAGCACCACTTCAGACTCTGTGACGCCCGATCGCTTCAGTTTCTTCTTTTCCTTCACTTTTTCAGGCTGGTGTTCACTGCCTTCAAAAAGAATAAAGTTTGTGTCTGTGGTGAGTCGTGACATTTACTCCTGTAAGAGCTCAAATCATATCTAAAACATGAAAGAGCTGCTACAGTTTAACAACAAATATAAAAGTCTACAGCTCTGCTAAATAATGCACGGGTATCTTGTATTAGAATATACTTGTAATTAAAAATGTGCACTAATCTCTTGAGTGGATTAAAATGGAAATAAAAGTGTTAAGTGGCTGCAAGTTTACACAAACTTTGTGAGCCTCACCATAAAAGCTAAATTTATTGGCACTGGCAAATATCAGTTATCAGCCACAGCAACAAGACAAATATTGCATTAGTATTGTCTAAAAATCCATATCGACTTATCCTTAAAACAAAGCCAAAAGAAGTCGAAGTGAAATCAGAACTCCATTGTAAATCTTGTGTTTACCTGAAGTAGACTTTCTGGATCTGTCAGATGAAGACTTCCTGGATCTCTTTGGACCGAGACCTTTCTGTTTCTTTGGACTTGGTTTCTGAAAATGTTATTAATTATGTAATGAATTAATCATTGGATTTATACAGACTACAGCAACAGTTTTTTTTGCCACTAGCGCCCCACTTTGGAACCTAATATTCCCAGCCTCCCATCGAAGCACAAAACAGGCCTTGCTTGGCTTCTGAGATCTGACAAGATCAAGCTTTGACAAGTTTGTATGGTCACAATAAATGTATAAATAAAAACTGAAATAGAGCTGAACTAATTACTTATTTTCATATTCTCAGTGTAAATGATTTGATTAAAGTGTGCCTTCATAAACATGTGTGGTTGAAAATCCACAAATATTTATTCTGCTACATAAAACATTTACATATCAAGCACCATGGTGAGGCTAACCAACTTCAGTGCTAGCTGTGACTCATTTTTGGTTTCATTTAAACAGTACACTGAATATGCCAGTAGGTGAAGCCATTGCACCATCAGCTGGTAAAAGTGGAGCCCTATTCTATTAGGACTCAATTACTTTGTGTGCATAGATTAGACTCACTTAACTAAAACATAGTTAGCATAAATATAAATATAAATAAAAATGAAAAATATTTTTTTTTTTATTTTGGGTTTATAATTTTACATGGGCAGCAGATATGCAGAGAGGGCATTTTGGTTGAAATATTCTATTACTATACTTGTTTTTGTACTTCTATTCTCAGCTTTTGTGCAAACTGACACTGACAAAACCATAATAAATATTTACCACAGGCACTATCTCTCCAAAGCAAGTCAGAATTAGAAAAACATGAAACCTGCCATAGTTATTCAATATGAAATATCATAAAATGTTTATCTTTAGTCTAAATGTACTTTTAAAAGAAAGACTAGCACATCAATTATAAGCCCTTTAGACAGTACAGGACTGTATAAAATGTGTGGGATAGATTACCCAGCTCTCCTCCAGGTCCTCGTCAGATGAGACCTCATGGATATGATGGGGCACTTCTTCTTCACTCTCCTAATGACAAAACAGCAGAGTTTACCCTGGTTAATTTATTTTTTTATGGAAGTTTATAGGACTCCATTTTTTGTACATGTTTATACTTATGCTGTTTTACCTGAGACTGTGGATCACTGGGTTCCTCTGATGAAGCAATTCTCTTTTGGCTCTTAACTTTCTGCTTTTTCATTGCTCTGTTTTCACACAAAACATAAACGTTTTATTATAAGTAGGACTACACATTATAAACATACACAATAATGTCAACATGGTCTATGATTGGGATGGTCTTAGTTTTAATCAAAAGCTCTTTTGCGGGGCATGTGAAACTGTTTTATGTTGATATAGGAAATCTATTCTTAGTTTGGCTTTAGTGAGCAGACTGTTAATGTGCATTTCAAAATTAAATGAAGAGTCAAGCCATACACCTAGGTATTTGTAATGATCAACAATTTGGATCTCTGACCCATCCAAAGCTAAAATTTGTGCTCTTGGTCTGTGGGGGGTTATTAATAATAATAATAATAATAATAATAATAATAATAATGAATCAGTTTCATATAGTGCTTTTCTGGACTCTCAAAGACACTTTACGATGTATTATTCATTCACTCCACACTCAGTGGTGGTAAGATGCTATCGTAGCCGCAGCTTCTCTGGGGCAGACGGACAGAAGCGAGGCTGCTAAACTGCCCCATCGACCCCTCCGACCTCCACCAACACTCATGCACACTCCATTTTCATACTAGGTAATGTGGATGAAGTGCCTTGCCTAAGGACATAACGACAGTTTTTGCAACTGGCTCCCAACTGTGGCACCTAATTTTACCAGTGGTCTCCCAGGCCTGGCCTTGCTTAGCTTCTGAGATCTAATGGGAACAAGCTGGTATGGCCACAGTTAGGTTTTTACTTTACAATATCACAAAATCATTACAAATAATTGCCTAAATAAATTTGTATGAACAACAAATAAAAACAAACTTTTTTTTATTATTTTTTACTGTTCAATATGGGGTTAAAACAGTGTAATAACATAGACCTTAAAACATTTAAAGCAATAGTATGTAACTTTTTATCAAAAATAGACTAAAATAAAAAAGTATTTTAATTTTATCGGTTGTGTTTATTGCAAAAAATGTGCATCCTTACTGTGAGTGGGCTTGTATCTCAACAAACCTGACTGTTATTTGACCTGGACCTCAGCTTCCTCCAGCTTGCTTACATGGAAATGTCGTTATTGTGGCTATAATCTTCCACATTATGGCATAAATCGTATCTATCTCCATGGGGAATGTTATGAAGCATGGTTTTAACTTTCCGTTTCATGCAGGTGAAATGTTACCTCCAGAAAGTTAAAAACTTAATGAGTATACTGAATCTACCTGGCTGCATCTGCGTCTCCAGAACTCTTCCTCTTTGTCACCTTTTTCCCCTCGGCTCTGTTTGTGGAGGGATCTGTTTTTTTGCTCTTTCCTGAAGTGGATTTCTTCCTCTCATTTGCTTTCTCTTTGTGATTCACTGTTTGTTTTGTCAACTTTTTCTGGTCCTGTTCTTCTTCTGCAGCTCCCAAGTCTTCCTCCAGAGCTGTGCTGTGAAGAGGAACACCTACAACACAAACATAAGCTCAAATGATTTGTCTTTTATTCAGGATGTATCCATAGAACTATAATAAAAGCATAGATGCATCACACAGAGTGTATTTATTGTGATATTTTGGAGAGGCTAACAGAATTGTGGACATGTTACTTTTCTTTTAAAAGTTGCACAGTGTGCTATAAACTGTGTTAGTTTATAGCACACTGTGCAACTCAGTGCTTATACTTGGAATAATAACGATAATAACACCATAATTTTTCACAGTTTCTTTTAAGAAAATAAAGATAAAGATATTTTTGTTGTTCATATTTTGCTTCTTGTTTATTGGAACAGTTATAGCATTACTTCTGCAGATCTCACGTCGCATCAGTTAAAAAAGAAATCACCATTGTTTTGCTGCAGTCCCTCGATGAAACTTGCAGTGGCTAAATCTGATAATTCACCAGCCTCCACATTTGTCTGCAATGCTTTCTGTTCAAACAGTAAATAAGTAAATGAGTAAAGTGAACAGGGCAATGACCTATCTACCTTATAGTTTTGATTTCATGAAGGCTATTGGTCATTATTTCATCAATTACATGTTGCCAATACATATGCCATTGTAGAGTGCAACTAATGAAATAATGGCCAATACAATCATGAAATGTACCTTGTTCTTTTCTTGCTTTTTGCCCTTCTTGGCTCTGGAAAAGAAGACGTCATTATAGCAGTAACAGTAATGGTAGTAGTAGTAGCAGCAATAGTAGTAACAATAATAGCAGTAGTAATACTAACAGGAACAGCAGAAGTAGTGGTGTGCAATATTGACTTTTTAAGTATCTTGATAATATTTTAATAATGCATCAGGAATGTGTTTAGGTTGAGGTTCAAGTATCACACTGAACACTTGATACCCTGTTTTAGAAGACTACACAAGACATTTTAGTCTTTTTTAGTTCATTTTTAATAGATCTACTTGATATTCTGTTGTGCTTTGTTTCTCCAAAATCATAATTGACATTATCTATTTATTACGTATTTATTTACAGTGCCAATAAAAAATCTTCAGTTGTCTGTACAGCTAAACAGAACAGTTTTTGAGCCTGGATTTTGAACTGAACAGTTTTTGTGGCAGTTGTGAGAAATAAAAACTATAATTGAATAAGTGCAAGATATATTAGTTTAAAGCCATACTATGGAATATCCCAAGCAAAATAATAACACCACCATGGAGACAAGCAGATGGTGGGCCCTCCACTAGAAAAGTACAGTGCACCTGAAGGATTTAGGCTGGAGAAAGTCTATTTGCATGCAGATCCAGTAGTATTGATTATTTTATTAGTTAGAATCGCTGCCATAAGCGTTGCATGCAATTCAACCAGCTAGCTAAATGCTAAGCTAACAAGCTACATGAAAGCCAGACAATATGAAGAAATGGGGAAAAATGACATGCCCGCTGACTGTACTTTTTGTATGAACGTAAATTATTAACTGTGGCTAAATAAAAGTACCCAGGCATTAACTTACCCCATGATTGGAGACTAATCGCAAAAGTTTTACTGTAAACAAAACTCAAACTTGCCGCAAAAATATCTCTTCTTCGATCAACGCAAAGTACGACTGGCGCCATCTACTGGAGCCTACATGTAAGGAGGATAACTAAAGCGAAATACAACTACACGTGGAACAAGAAAGGATAGACTAAACTAAATATAAATATTGTATTATTAATTAGTAGGCATAATATGTAGCAGCGTTGTATAAAATGCTCTTTAAAATATAGACTAAACAAGTTGGTTTAAGATGTACACAACCCATTCAAAGAGAAAATGGTCTAACTATAATATAATATAGAACATAATAAATGATATTACAACTCTTCACTGTCCTGTTCTACATACTACTAGTCCTAATAGGCCTGCTTCTTCTACTTCCAATTACTGCATCATTTATTTATTTATTTTATTTTATGTATGAGACATTTATGGGACAGTGCACAATATACATTAACCTTGACAGGTGAGATGAATTGTGCCAAGTTGTAGCACTAGAGCTAATTTCCACCTGGTGCATGTTTTTTAGGTTTTGTATCTTGTGTCTTGTATATATATATATTTTTCTCTCCTTTTACTTTAACCCCTTACAATGAGAGTCTATTTTTCCCTAAGTAAAGACCCCCAGTTTGTGAACCCTTTGGAATACAGACAAATGGCTGGTATAGGTTGTGTATATACAGTGTTGGGAAGGTGACTTTTAAAATGTACTCCCCCACAGATTACAGATTACATACCCCAAAATGTAGTTTGTAACGTAATACATTAAATTACTTAAAGTGGGTAACGTAATCTGAATACTTTTGATTACTTGATATTGTCATGCTTTTTTAAAACTACATGAATGTAGCAACCACATCCTGAAAATTCTTGTTTGTTCTCTTCAAATTGTCTGTTGAGCCCAAGACTCCATGAATAAACAACTGTTTGCTGTAGAGAAGCAAAGACGAGGAAATGTTAACATAAGATATTTTGTCTGCTAAAAGGCAATAACAAGCTCAGTCTATCATTAACCATATAAAAAATATTATTGATAGAGAAATTATTTTTTATATGAGATCACCTTAAATTATGTCCAACCTACTGTTAGGTGTCATATTGTTTAGACATGGTTTTAGTCCTGGTTTAGTCCTGATTTTAGACCTGGTTTAGTTTTGGTTTAGCCCTGGTTTTAGTCCTGATTTTAGACCTGGTTTAGTTCTGGTTTACAGTAGTTCTGGTTTAGTCCACTTATTTCAGCAAATAACTGTAATCCAATTACCACTCATTGAAACAGTAACTGTAACTGAATACAGTTACTCATAATTTGTACTCTGATTACATAACGGCGGTACATGTAATCTGTTACTCTCCAACAATGTGTATATATTTGTCTATTTAACAATATTCATTTCGTCTGTGTTAACTATTGGTCTTAGAATGTTGTGATGTCACCTGAAATCCAACAGTTCCCATGTCAAAGCCCGGTTAGTTGATTAAAAACACACACATTTATTTTCTCCATGTATAAAAGCTTTAATAGTTAAATGTCCACACCATGAATAATCAAACTGTACAAAAAATAGTTTAAACTCCATATAAAATAAGAGACAGAATTTCATTTAGCGTTATTGGACAAACAATAGAAGTTAGTGCATATTAAAATTTCAGTATATCTCCAGGTATTATGTAACACCATATTATACAATTATACAATCAAATCCACTTTCCTTAATATTAAAAGTTAGTAATTTACCAGATAAATATACAATCATAAATATACATAAAAAGTACTTAAAATGGTTAAAATGCCACTGCCTCTCTTTAAAAAATGTGCGCATTTCATTTCGAAAATGCAATTCAAGACAATGCTCAGACATTGTGGCATAAAGATATGATGATAATAATAATAACCCAGTTTTGTAATTGGTAGAACTGTTATTTTTGTTTGTTTGTTTGTTTGCATTTATTTATTTTTATTTTTTTGAGAAGATGCGAAAGAAATTGGGAATGTCAGTGATGTTGTCTGTAATACATATTTTGCATTATTGGTTAAAAAATAAAATAAAGTGAGTACATGAACATACATTATAATAAAATTATGAACTTTTAGATTATTTGAGTTTGAATGCAATAAAATCTGTAAAAGATCTACATTATTGCTGAACAAATTCACTTTTCTTCTTATTTTATTGTTAAATTTTTGATGTTGGGAGTTATTCCAGCTGCACTTTTAAATATTTTTTCATAGCATTTGTATTTTGTAGAGATTCTTCTATATTTTTACAATATGAACTTTTTAGAATTGTTTTAAATTTTCAAAGTGCCTAAAGTTAGTTTTTGCAAGATTTAGCCTCAGAGGGGGGCAAGGCCAATATTCAAGAAGTGATGCGGAAATTAAAAAATCTCTTTAGGCACTTGACAACACCACGCCATCTTGGGTTCATCTCCCAGTTCTTATTATACTTCCATGGCCTTATTTTTTACTTTTTTTTTTTTTACTTTATAACCAGCAGCTTTCTATAGGCTTTACTCAGATGGTATTGACGGATGATGAAAAAACATAGCACTTTGTGGATAATGCACTTTGCTCTTCTGAAATCCTCAATCTTCTTCTTTTTTTTTTTACAGCAGACATTTTGTTTTCCAAGTCCAACCTGCTTCTTCTTGTCCATCACCCCTTCATGCTCCACTCTGTGTCTGCCCTCACCCACGGGTCTTCCTCTTGTAGCCGTTGCCTTTTGAGCAGGTCACTAACGATTGCTAGCGCTCCCCCTTTTAAAAACCTAACAAAGTTTTCTCCCACGAGCGGGCCCATCGCATACATCCCGGGTGCTTCCGTGACCCGGTTCGTGAACGGGTCAACATCAATGGGGTTCCGCCGACAGGAAATAGGTTCATTTGGGTAGACTCCAAGTGACCGGCCGTGATCGGGGAGGAAGGAGAGATTTGGGTAGGATCCGATGAGGACTAAAGCTTTGGAGACCTGGATTGCTGTCTGCTGGCCCGAGTCTGACTCAAGGATGCATTTTTTGTTTGGGAGAAATTTGATGATTCTGTGTTTTGGAAAGCTGAGGTAATTTGGATACGAAGAGGAAGAGTAGGAGGAGGGAGAGCCGTGTTGCTGCTGCGTCATCATCTGGTGAACCTGGAATAAAAAAGAAACATTTAGAATGTTTTGCATGTTTAGGAGATTTCTGCTAAAAAAAATTTAAATAAAATAAAATAAACTCAATTTTGTGTAATTTTTTTTTACAATTTGTGCCCACAAATCATAGAAAGTCATAGGGGCTTTCTGATGAATTTGCTAACATAGAAATTATTCCCCTTCACCAGCAGGGGGCATCCTTTCATCCGACTGAAGTGTTAAATTCAAGTCATTCAAAATAACCAAGGTAAAAAAGAAAAGAAAAAAAAAAGTTCTACAAGATGTGCAAATGCAAAGAGCAGCAAATTATTAAAAAAACAAAAACAAAAACAGGTCTGAACAGTGCATAGCACAAATACAAAAATACACCAGTTGGTCCAGGTGCACTATGCAACTTTTCAGATTCACTCTTCTCCCTTATAGAGATAGTGCTTTGCCTGAAATGTTCCACAGTATGGCTTTAAACTTAGACAAGTAAGGTCTGGTGCCTTATTTATAAAACTTCAAATGAAACAGAAAACGCACACTAAAGTTCTTGTAGAAGTGCAAATGCAAAGAGCAGCAATTTAAAACTGAAAAAAAGAAAAAAAAAATGCATAGCACACTCAGATGGCCAATGTCCAAAAGCTTTTTTTTTATTTTTAAATAACATCGGCCATCTGAGTGTGCTGTGCATTTTTTTCATTCATAAAACTAGTAATTCTTACAAAAATGTAAGTACGGACAAAACAAACTTCCTCAAAGTAACATTTTTGGACTAGACTGCTCATTTCTATATAAAGTTGTTTTTATTGATCACAAACTTGACATAGAAATTCACATAGGTAACATTTGTGTACATTCGCACATTTTATAAATGAGAGTTCTGATTTGTGGAGAAGCAGTAAAAATCACAAAAAAAATTAATGGTCTATTTCATCATTACTGACCACCAGAAGCTTTCAGCACCAGCCTCTGGCGATCAGCGGAACTGTAGTTACACTCATAACTCTTTTTGAGCAATCAATGAAATCCACATTAATGAAATTAAAGCTATACATCATTTTAATTCCATATTGCAGAACATTGCTGGCATAGCAATAAAATGAAATAAAATCCTCCCTCCTCCTCCTCCTCCTCGTCCTCACCTTGTGGTACTCTGGGTAGAGCAGTTTGGGCAGCTGGTTGAATATGAGCCCTGGGTCGGTCACTGAGCGTCTGAAGACGTGGTACACAGGTGCACTCAGGTGGTGAGTGGCCAGTACTGCATCTGCAGCCGTAAGGCCCGCTCCTACCACCAGAACGGGCTCAGATGATTGGTCGAGCTCGCCGCGAGAGATGGCGGCCTCCAGCTCCCAGAACGAGTGACAGACGAAGGGCAGCATCTCTCCGTCGACTCCGAGATGTGCCGGGATGTCGTGGGTCCCCGTCGCCAAAACCAAGTTACGCGCCATAATGGAGAATGGGACCTCCTGCGAGACTGTGGAGCCATCTGGAAATGAAGTCAGGGATGTTAGGGTCAAAGGTTAGACTGGTTCAACTCTATTTTAGTTAGAACTCCATCTTTTGAATCTTTTGAATCTCATGATGCATATAACAGAAAATTGAAACCCATGAATAGGCAAAATAGAGGACTTGTCACCATTCAAAGAGATTTAGTTTGAAATTGTTTATTGCTATGGCATCAGTGTTAGTTTTTTAGAACTTAGATCCCCATGGATAAACATACAATTCCTGTTACATGCAACATTGTGATATCTAATATTTTGTTTTGAATTCCTATGACAACAATCCTAATTTTTCACGTGTCTGAAACCCATGCCTATGAGAAAAAAGTATGACATGTAACCATAGTGGGTATCGCAAATAACAAGGTAATTCTGTTGTAGACTGAACAAAGTTAGTCAAAATGTGTGGATTAAATTACTACTTGCTTCTTGCGTCTCCATGGGGATGTTATCTCTTTGCCTGGAATGTTCCACAGTAGGGCATTAAGCATATTTCCCTTTCATTTGTTCAATTACAGGTGGTTTATAGCTCAAAAATACCTTAAAAAATATAAATTCTTAGCATGTGCAGGCTGGCTTTTCCATACACCTGACCATTGACTTGTTTATTTCCATACTGTGGAATAATCAAGGCAAAATTGTAATATCTCTATGGAGACAAGCAGATGGCGGACCCTTTCTACTTTCTTACCTCCAAGCTCCTCTCCTTCGCGGCGCTGGATTCCGGTCACTCTCCAACACGGCTGCTCTCCGTCGCCGTGCACTCTGGTCACCTCGGTAACTGTCGTCCCGCAGGCAAAGTTCTGCTCCAAAGACTTCTGGGAGACGTAGTGCTGGTAATATGAGGCTATCTCTGCAGGTGTGGCCCTGTCATTTCGCACATTTCTGCAAAAATATTGAGGAAGAAAATTATAGAAAATGTATTTAAAAGTTTTAATCAGTGATTGTTGATATACTAATTTTATACAAAAACAGATCTAAACCAAGTCTAAATCAGCTCTAAACAAGGCAAAAGCAAACCAACTGACAAGACAAGTCCAAAACTGGTCAAATCCCAAAGCTATAAAAGTATGTAGAATTTTTTTTCCCCAGAAGTCCATTGACCTTAGTAAAATTAGCAGGTACTTTTTTTATATAGCGTAAGTGATTAAGGGTCAGCGTGAACATAGACAGGAAGTCAAAAACCAATCAAATTTGCATGTGTCCATTTTATGCAAACCTCAAAGTGCAAACTCACTTTGATTTCCATTTAGTTCATTTGAAAAACAAATAAGCTAAAAACATAGACACAAGTATTACTAACATGATAAGACTGTCTAGTCCATGGTGTGGTCCATGGTCTGGTCCACGGTCTGGTCCACGGTCGAGTTTTAGACCAAGTGTTTGGTCCAGATCACCAGTCTAGTCCCCAGTTTAGTCCTCGGTCTAGGTCTGGTTCATATCTGGTCCTGGTTTATGCCTTGTCTAGTCCCAGTTTAGTCTCCAGTCTAGTCCCTGTCTAGTTCCACCCAGTCTAGTCTCACCTGGTCTAGTCCTGCCCAGTCTAGTCTCTGTTCTAGTCCCACCTGGTTTAGTCCCTGGTCAAATCCCAGTTTTTAGATGATGTTACCTGCGCTTCTCTCTAAGCCAGTCTTTGAGCTTGAGTCCCGGCAGCTCCATCCAGTTTGCCAAACTCAGAGTCAACATGGACCCCTCCATTGCCTGAAAAAAAAAACAACAACATAATTTCAGTTATAATTTGAACATTTTAAGCTGCATTCACAATATTTATGCATTTTATTTTATGTTTCATTTCATATTTGAAGGTAACATATTATCTAAAATTGACTACTGAACTTTTAATCATGTTATAACAGAATTCTCTCATCAATATCTCATTAAAAGTTGTAATTCAGTTGATTCATGCATGTTTGTGTCATCTCGTATTGTCCTGCGTTTGAGGCTTGAATGCTTAGAAAGTCTGATTTCACCTACCGCTATCTCCGCACACTTCTCTATACTTACTTCTTTCTTTTCTTTTTTAAGTCAGACAGAAAAAATGTCACGTTGCCATTGCTCAACAACAAAAACATGAACATGAACATGAGAATCTGCTGTGGTCTATGGTAAACCTGCATTAGAGGCAGGATCAGTTCTATGGGTTTGAACAGGAAGTCGATGACCTTGTTTCTCCTACTAAGCAGTTTTCGATATTGAGGTTTTAAGATGAATAAAATGTAAAATTATGATCTAGTATGTCATAGCTTAACACTTAAAAGGCTCATATTACACCATTTTCTTAGACTTAGACAAACTTTATTGATCCACAAGGGAAATTGTTTGGACACAGACGCTCACACATCACAATATAATATAATAACAAAGAGTAAAAAAATATAAATGGTAATAATAAATTCTAAATAAGTAGCAAAAATATATAGAGTCTGATCTGTATTATAATGGAGTTGTGTTTTGTTTAATTCCCACATGTTTAGCACATAAGCCCTACATATTTAGGCTGAGTTTTTCCCTCCAACGGAAGACACTCCACCTCCACCTTGTGATGCCATGTGGTGATACAGGAGGTGCTCCACTGTGTTTTTAAACTCCATACACTTTCACTAGAATCATTTGAAGAACTTCAGACGTGGAATTGCCAATCTAAAAGCAGCTGCTAACTTGAAAACTACTGCTTCATGACATCACAAGGTGCAACAGAGCATTTGGAACTTCAGAAATGTAGACAGTCTAATAATAAAAGGGTTACTCAAACATGTGAATGAAACAAAACACAACTCCAAGCATGTTTTTGATGAGGTAACATCACTATAACAGAGCTTAAAGCTCACAGGAGTCAATTTTGTGTACCATATTTTCCGGGCTATTAGGCGCTCTGGATTATAAGACTCACTGTCATTAAATGGTCTATTTTCGAACTTTTTTCACAAATAAACAGCACCGGACTTTAAACAAAACACAACAGTTATATGGGTCAGTTGGACTTTGTTTGGCACGTTCACGATGACTCTGGGCTTTGTTCAGTTGTGGCGTGTAGGGAGGGTGCTGTCTGGGACCGCTGGATTGTTGGCGTGTTTTCAGTGACTCAGTTGTTCAGTTGTGTCTAGAAGTGGCACATTGCACTCGCTTTTGATGAGTGTGGCTGCGGGCGTGTTTCGCTGTCTGCTCCGTGTGTGTTTGCGTGCGCTGCGGGTGGTGCGGCTTTGTAGTTTACTGAAATCGTGCTGGGACACTCGAGTGGATTCGTGTATGGGGCACTCTGGATTGCGGGGCGCGCGGTAGTTTTTTGATGTTGTTTAGAGGCTTAAGAGCGCGTCTAATAGCCCGGAAAATACGGTAATATAGGACCTTTAAGCTTAATGTGTTTTCAGTAAAAAAAATTTTGTTGTTATTTTATTTACAATATATTGTAGTTACTTTGGTATGATGAACAAAAAGAAAGAAGCAATTGTTGGTTCCAATCCAGCAGATTAAGAATATAATACTATTTAAAGGTTTTGTGTTGTTAGTGTCTGGAGTTGATTTTTGGTGATAACTTAATGTCAGATAGGGAAGTGTCTTCATTGAAAAAAGCAAGGACAGTGAGGCCTTCTGGGAAAATTATCAAGTTCATGTCTCAATGTTATTAGATAAACAGCAGTCTTATTGACAAAATGACCTTAAAAGGTGCATTGTCTAACTTTTCTGGTGGTCAAATGCTTTTCTACGTGGAGATGTTATTGCTTTGTCTGGAATGTTTCACAGTATGGCATTAAACCTTTGTATCTTCACGGAGCCCAAACCAGACCCAGACCCAAGTTACAGGTCAGATCTGTGGAGAGGCGACCCTGCTCACAGTCAGAATGCCTGTTTTTCAAGGAATTTTTGAATGTATTGAATGTAAGACAAAGCTGTTTAATGCCATATTGTGGAACGTTCCTTGCAGAGTAATGACATTGCCATAGAAACAAGCAGGTGACAGACCCCAACCAAAAAGTTACATTCCACAAGTACACAAAGAAAGAACAACTGAAAGCTGACTGAGGCCAAAAGCTGAAAAGTTGCAGATTCGTGCTTTAAGTTGCCAACACAGAGGTTACATAAAGTTTCTAAACCAGGATCTTGCAAATGTTGAAAATGCAGTTCCTCTTAAAAACATGACACTTTGAAATGAAGAACTATAAAGAATGGCTTAGGGCAGTTTAGGGCAGTTTGTCGATTAAAGGTGCATAGTGCCAATTCTCTGATGGAGGGTCAGTCACCTGCTTGTCTCAGTGGAGATGTTATTGAATTGTCTAGAATGTTCCATGGTAGAGATTAATCCTATCTATCTCAAGGGAAATGCTGATAGGACACATTACAGGTCAGATATGGGGAGAGGCAACCCTATTCACAGGAATAAAAACACTTGTAATGAATAAATGCTAGATTAGGCGTCGCCAACCTTTTTCTTCCAGTGAGCAACTTTTATAAAACGAAAATGCCAGATTTTAGCAGTCACAAGAAATGGTGTATATTTAAGAGCCACTGCAAACCTTAAATGAGGTACACTTAAAAGCCTATAAAACATAAACCATTATTCATTTATTAGTGCAGAAAGTTAGGCATCAAAATTAACATGTACAATGGTCATAGGCATTTAATGAATCAAATTTTACTTATTCAAGACATTAAGTGTAATTCAGAAATCCTTTGGCGAGTTACCAGGAAGGGGGTGGAGAGCTACTGGTAGCTCCTGAGCAACAGGTTGGAAACCCCTGTGCTATATAGATGTGTTTAATGCCATAACATGGAACATTCCAGGCAAAGTAATAACATCTCCATGGAAACTCCATGGTCACTTCCAAAACTGCAGCAAACTCACTCACTCTGCTTTCCCAACTCTGCTCTTTGTGCATATAAATCGTTTTAATCCTAACAATATAAAACAACTAAATGACAGATTTTATTTACATGTACAGAATGTAAAGATCTGTAATAAATTTTAATTTAGATTTAATAAATCTATAAAGAGGGGGTATTGCACTTCTATGGGGTATTAATATGTGCACATAGCACATAACATATTTAGATCGCCATAATACTTTTATTTAAGTTTTAAAATAATATATTTGTATTAAGGCAAAATTATTAAAAAATTTTAGTTTTTGATACTCCTCCATTTGCTCTCTGTGCTAAGTCACCCCCTTTAAAGTGCTATCGGAACACAACCACTGTGCATCTCGCTAATGAATCTACTGCACATCGCATCAGGTTTGTGAAGTTGTAGTGTTTGGTTTTGTATCCTGAGTACATACATGCCAGGCTCCACCAGGGGGCCCTCTCCCCAGCACCAGGTGAGGGATGGCTCGCTCGGGCTCATGTCGCCAGATCAGAGGAGACGAGTGCTCCAGGCCAAAGTCACTGTCCGGCAGCAGCAGAGAGTCAAACAGCACTGCCACAGGGTTAGAAGACCTCCCCTCCAGACCTTCACACAGGTACTCCAGGTCCTACAGAGAGAGAACAAGGGGGGAGAGGGGAGGACAGAGAGAGGGAAGGAGGAGAGGGGGGAAGGAGAGTGAGAATTTATAAAAAATGAATTATAACTAGCCAGGAAATTTAGTAAAATCTTGAGTGTCATATGCACTTTAATGGATCTATATTACGCTTTTTCGTGAGCTATGATATAATATAGTTTCCTCATCACAAACAAAACTTGTTGTAGCACATAAACCCTGCATATTTAGGCTGGGTTCTCTCAAACTGAAAACACTCTGTTCCACTTTGTGATGTCATTTGCGAATACAGGAAGTGCTCTACTGTGTTTTTAAACTCTACACACCTTCACTAGAATGATTTGGAGAATTTCAGCTCTAGGAAAACTAAAACTACCACCTCATAACATCACAAGGTGGAATATTTTGAGCTTATAAGATGGCTAAAAGCTCACAAGAGTAAACTTTGCGTAATATAGAAACCTGGTCAGTTACCTGTTCTAGCAGAGACAGGTGGGGCTGCTCCCTCAGTTTGTGCTGGAGCAGAGGGTTTGGGTGAGCCGCATCCTGGGCCACGTACGGAGTGTGACCAGAGAGCAGGTAAGAGAGACAGATCCCAGAGGGCCCGTTACCTAACAAACAAAAAACAAATAGGACCATGCCAACAATGCAACATGAGTCTTCACCATATACATGAATCTACTCTTTGGTCTACACTTTGTCCCTTCTTTGTAGCATATATTCACTTTGTCCCTTCTCTCTATCATATTTCACTGTCCCTAATCTGTACCATATATTCCCTAGGTGGTGCACTTTGGCGCCCACAACAACTAGAATCTGAGCCACTAACGAGCTGCATTTTAATTAACTTAAATTGTGTTCCAGGTCCCAGGTGAAACTAGAATGGCAAGAGACCAACTAAAAACAGGAAATCTATCTTGAAAATTAATTGATCATTTAAAAGCACACGTGGGAGTAGCAGCTTCTTGCATATGTACTATAAACAGAGCCCTATACAGATCTAATGACAATACCTATCCAGCCTGACATCTAAAGTTGCACTATACCATACCATACCATACCAACTTTATTTATGAAGCACTTTAAAAACTTTACAGTATGCCAAAGTGCTGTACACAAACACAGGACAGACAATAGATGAAAATATATGATACACATACAATACAACCATTAAAAACATAAAAAACAGCAAAATACTCGACAAGAAATATACATGTCACTTATTAAAAGCCAGTGAAAAAAGATACGTTTTTAAGAGTGATTTAAAAACAGGTACAGACTCGGCCTGTCTAATCACTAATGGCAACTGCTTCCACAGCCGAGGGGCAGAAACAGAAAACGCACGGTCCCCACGAACTTTACGTTTAGTTTTTGGGACGGCGAGCTGGAGTTGGTCTGCAGACCTGAGAGTACGAGAGGGGACATAAGGGTGGATCAAGTCAGTGAGGTAGGAGGGCGCTAGGCCATGCAAACACTTAAAAGTGAATAAAAGAATTTTAAAATCAACTCTAAAAGACACTGGGAGCCAATGAAGTGAAGCTAAAACAGGTGAGATGCTCTTGTGTTTCCGGGTTTCAGTTAAAAGTCGAGCCGCTGAGTTTTGGACCCGTTGCAACCGGGAAAGTACATTTTGGTTGACACCAACATAAAGTGCATTACAGTAATCCAACCTAGTTGTCACAAACGCATGTATGACAGTTTCAAAATGTTCCATTGACAAAATAGGCTTAATTTTGGCCAGTTGTCTTAGCTGGAAAAAAGTAGCTTTTACAACAGCACTAATTTGGTGATCAAGTTTTACATAACTATAACTAACTTTTTTCTTTTCTGGGGGATTCAGCAGTCCCCCACCTACTTGTTTTAGTGTTACCACTTTGCCTGAAATGTTTCACAGTATGACGTTAAACTTTTTTATCTCCATGGAGACAGGGAAATGGCATCAACATATCTGGAGAGGTGACCGCACTCACTCGCCATCATAAAGTGCGTTTTTCATTGTCGCTTGGGGCAATGGAAGAACCCAAAGTTAAATACATGCAACATAGTTAAGTTTAATGCCATACTGTGGAACATTCCAGGCAGGAAAGCAGGTAGCAGACCCTTTCACACTTCCATTTTGTATAATGTGCCTTATGTCATACAACTTTAACTTTAAAATTCTATGTGAATAAATGAGCATATAGTCAGTAAGCTACTACAACTACTAAAACTTCTTTTTGTGGTTTGTCAACAAAATTTAAATGATTTTATAAAATGTTCTGTTCTGTTTGCAATGGTATTTGAAATGTGATTACTTAAATAATATGCATAATTTTGCACAATTGAAATGAATAAAAAGAAATGTTGGATTTGTTACATAATCACCAAAGTGGAAAGTGCTTTAAACGGTCAGGATGTGTGGTTAAAAAGATATGACCTATATCTGATGAACTTTGACCCGGGCAGATGTCCAAATTCTCACCAGTGAACTCTAGACTCTGGGTTATTCACGGACAATTCCACAAAAACCTCAGATCATTTCATAATCATCCAACCAGCAAATGCAAATAATGTGGTACAGTGAGTTATGTATTCGCCCACCAACCAGTGGGTCATTACACTGGTCTTTGTGTCCCTGAGCAACGCACAATACTCAGTCCAATCAAAGTATACATGTGGAATAGTGGTGTCAGGGAGGGCATATGGAGCAAAAGAAACTGCCGATACTTATACCTAAATAAAGATTCCTAATATAATAAATGTCTTTCCTCTGTAACATATATTCAGTGTGCCTCCTCTGTAGCTTATTTTTCTTATTTTTCAAACTTCAATAGCATTCCTCTAAACATAAGACTACTGCATGACAATTTTCGACCTTTTACTTTGTGAGAAAAAAGAATGCACTACCATTCCTGTGCTGCAGTCATGAGAACAAGTCCCTAAAGCGACCCCTCCCTCGACAGATCAGAAACCCCCCCTTCCTCCTCGAGCTCATTCCTGTCTTTAAGCCAATCAGATCGCGCCTTGAGGAATGACTTTGCAAAAATTAACAATGGGGGAAAAAATAATGTTGAAAATTTTAAATTTTTTCTCACCGATAATCACCACAGGAATGACCTCTCCGGAGTCTCTGTCCTGGTTTTCCATTTTATCTGTAAAGACAAAATTAAAACACATGTTTTGATAATTAAATAGTAACAGATTCAGAATAGTTTTTGTGATTTAAATCTGCTCTTTGCTTGTTGTGCCAGTGGTATAGATTATCATTTATTACACAAAATTTACTCTTGTGAGCCTTAAGACATGTTATATGCCTCCTCAAAAACATACCTGGAGTTGTGTTTTTTTTTGTTTTTTTTCATTCACACAGGAGCATGATCCATGTTAGAATGTTATTACCTCATCAAAAACACACCTGGAGTTTTGTTTTGTTTCATTCACACATGTTGAGTAACCCTTTATTATTAGTCTGTCTATATCCCCAAACCTCAAAATGCTCTGTTCCACCTTGTGATGTCATGAAGCAGCCGTTTAACGGCTAGATTTTACCTTTAGTTCAGTAGAGATTGGCAATTCCAGGTCTGAAATCATCCAAATGATTCTAGCGAAAATGTATGTAGTTCAAAGTGGAATACTTCCTGTATTACCACATGGCATCACAAGGTGGTTTCTGTTTTGTGAGAAGAACACAATCGTAATATCGACCCTTTAAAGACCCTTTATTTCATGATTTCTTCTGTTTGATGAGTGGCCAGTATTTGACTGCAGTAAATGATTGACAGAAGTGAAGTTAAGTGAAGTCTGTGCGTTTCCAGTGACGGCGGTGGGATGACTCGGCAGTAACTGTTTGATTTGGCTCAAAGCGTGTTAACGATAAAACTATGATAATGATGTTGACTATTGATAAAGAAAGGTTTGAATTTGTAAAATTATTATCTAAGTTAAACAATGAGCAAAGCTGAATTCATTTAAAGGTTATTTGGGTTACTAGGTTATAATGTTCTTACTGTATCACAAACATCATGTGGTAATACCAGAAGGGTTCCACTGGGTTTTTAAACTCCATACACCTTCACTAGAATCATTTGAATGATGGATTTGATTATTTCTACTGAACCAAAAATGTTAAATGTGCATTGTGTGATTTTTCCTGCTTGTTTCTTTGTCATTGTTCTGACTGAAATGTTCCATAGTCTGACATTAAACAGCTCTACCTTACATTTATTCAGTTACAGGTGGGTTTGTTTTTGAGGAGTTAACATCATTATAAACATGGCTTAAAGATCACAAGAGTCAATTTTGTGTAATATAGGACATTTAAGATAAATCCTACTATATATATTTGATAAAACTACATTTTTGATTGCTATGTTTGAGGTCTTTAAAAATCTTCAATGTGTATCATTAAGACACAGTACAACTAATGCATCCCAGATGGTACCTCTTAAGACCCATAGTTGCTAAGCTAACTGAACTAAGTAATCATAATATTGATTCATACTGAGAGACAGAGTACATTGCTTCTTATTTGGTTCCTATTTGTAGATCAAAAGTGCAGTAATAAAGGGTAGATTGTTTTATAAGCCAGCTTTATCCAAGTTTAAAATGCCTCTGATGGCAGCTGGATAAGACCAAGGACTTTAAAGCTAAATTTGAAACAGAGAAACAGGACCCCAGTGAGTCCAGTTATATCACAGGGTCTACATGAATTCACATTTAATACAGTATATGGCTTGTAATATACAGAATTATCTTCTGGACTAAAGCAGGACTAAAGCAGGACTAAAGCGGATCTAAACCAGGACTAAAACAGGACTAAAACAGGACTAAAACAGGACTAAACCAGGACTAAAACCAGGACTAAACCAGGACTAAACCAGGACTAAACCAGGACTACTGGTAAAACAGGACTAAAGCATGTCTAAAGGAGGCAGGATTAAAGCAAACATGACTAAACCAGGACTAAACCAGAACTACTGGTGAAGCCGGACAAAAGCAGGACTGAACCAAATCTAAAGCAGGACCAAGGAGTAAAACAGTACTAAAGCAGGACTAAACCAGGACTACTGGTAAAGCAGGACTAAAGCAGGACTAAAGCAGGACTAAAGCAGGACTAAAGCAGGACCAAAACAGGACAAAAGCAGGACAAAAGCAGGACCTAAACCAGGACTGAATCAGGAATAACTACAGAAGGCAGTGGGGGCTAAACCAGAACAGAAACATGACTAAACCAAGACCAAACCATGGGACTGTGTACTGTATTGTATTGTATTGTACTTCACAATACAAATAAATAGTCTGACCAACTAACTAATAAAAAATAAAATAAAATACAAAAAAAAAAATCACTGACTATTCGACTATTGAAATCATTGGTAGCTGCAGCCTTATCTGGATTCTATTTGTAGACGTGGTCACTTTAAATCTGAAGTGTGAGCTGAAATCACCACTTGGCACAGGTCACAGATTTTTTTTGGTACACTGCTGAGGGAATACAGTGACTTCTACACGCAGTCCACATTCATTCTAAAGTAAATATATTGCAAAACAATCACACTCGTAACTCAGTGTTCTGGGTTGGGTCAGGTATTAACTGATGAATGAAAAAAAACACAATGTTCTCAAATTATGGTTTGGATATTTATGGTTCAAGTGAGTTTGGTATCACACAAAAAAAAAAAAAATCCCTAAATATTTGCAAAGTTTTAGTGATAATACAGTAATAGGGCTAGTAGTAGAAGTAGTCATAACAGTAGCAAAAACTGAAGTAGTAATAATATAGACAACTTTTCAGCACATCGGCCTTAAAAGGTGGTTTTTGGTTTGGAGTCTGTCACCTGCTTGTTTCTACGGAAATGTTATTGCTCTGCCTGGAATGTTCCACAGTATGACATTAAACAGCTCTACTTACATGTATTCAATCACAGGTGGTTTTATAGCTCAAATATACCTAAAAAGAAAAAAAAAAAAAAAAAAAAACAGGCATTCTGACTGTGAGCGGGGTTGCCTATCCACAGATCTGACCTGTAACTTGGTCTGGTTTTCTTCTCCATGATGACAGAAGACAGGTTTAGTGTCATACTGTGAAACAATCTATTTAAAGCAGAGGTCAATACTTACTTTGGGCTGACCACCTGCTAAAAGATTCTGTATAAATCTTAATTTGAACACTTCAGTGCAAAGAGGACACTGCAAATATTTAATTGCTCTCCAGTCCAGTTTGTAATGAAACAGGGGTGTGGTTGGCTTAGTAGCAAATTTAAACTTATGTCATTTTTTCCCCCCCAAGAAATTACACAATTTGGAGAAAAAAAATAAACTCTGCACTACAATGAACCTTTCCTGAATAGCTTTAGAATGATTTTGAGTTGTATCAGAACAAATATAAGAGCATATAGACTAGTACACACCCATGGACCACTGAGGGATTACACAGATATAAGACCACAGAAAGTACTATTACTCAATGTTGAAAATTCCTTAGTATCAAAATTGAGTTTGAAATTTTAGTACAGTTAGTTAGTATTTCAACACTTAGTAATAATATTAAAACGGATTTCTTCTGCGCAAGCCTATAGTACACTTGACACTGAGCCTGCACGTACAAAGCAAGTTCAAGAAAAAAAACAAAAAAGGGCGGAAGAACAGAATGTTTCGAGTCCAGAGAAACTGGGCCAGTGGGTCTAAGCACGTCCCTCACGGTAGTTTGGTTCAGCGCCAGGACACAGAGGCTTACCCTACACTAGCTCTGGGCAAGGAGCCAAAACATGCTACACAGTTATGTAACATTACATTTCAAAAGCATGTGTCAGACTGGCCTAAGGAGCTTACTATGGAGCACAAGGTTGATTTAAAAAGGTGTAATGTGTAATGTGTCGTGTGGAGGGTCCGTCACTTGCTTGTCTGCATGGAGATGTGCCAAGAAAGTTACACAGTACAGCCATAAATTTTTGAATCTCCATGGAGACTTGCGAGCCAAATTACAGGTTAGATTTGTGAAAATATGCAATAAATAACACCTATAGCTGTATAAATGCACACTGTGGACAATTTATGGAGACAAACAAAGTTACACAATGCATCTTTTTCAAAATTTCAGTTCATTTTAATAAAAGTTTAATAGCATTTTAAAATATTTTTTGTAGCACTGAAAACAGAGGCGTTGCGCTTCAGATTGTTCACAGTGCATTAACACGTTAGAGAAGATTTGACACTGAACTACAAAAATCGCAAACATTTCCGAACCTGTTTGTTTGCAGAGGTCTGAAGTACAAGATTAGCTGTGTGTTTTTGTTTTTGTTTTGTTTTTTTCTTTTGGAGTTGAGGACTTTCTGGTTTCAGGTGCAAAGTCGGTGATTCTTCTGATATTTGTGACTTGATTGCAATTGTACAGCCTCAAATTACGGAAAACCAAGCCCTGAAAGAAGGAAGTAGTTATTTAATCTTTAAATGTACCCAACATCCATTAATTTAAAAATTGGATTTGTACTTTATTTTCATTTATTGTATTTTAATTTTATTCTTATGTTATTTTTGTTACATTTAAATTTTATTTTGTATATTTTAATTTATTTGTGTTATATTTTATTATTATTTATTTTTATGTTTTTTTTTGTTTGTTTGTTTTTTTATTTAAATTTTTTAATTATTTATTTTATGAATTTATTTTATTAGCACTGCACACCTAACACGTGAGCCAGTGTTTATTTTGATCTGCACTGTTTGCAGGTGTCGTAACTTAACAAGTTTTGGCCTGAAGCCTTGAAGAAAGCTCAGTCATAATTTTGATTGGCTCACAATATGAAAACAGTGAAAGTGCAAACATAACACGTGCAGCTGTGAAAGAATACGTGACAAACCAGATCGTAATCATGAACTGCAGAGTCACTGTGACAGCATCCATCAAAACAATAAATGATATTGTTCAGTTAAAGGTTAAGGAGAGGTAAACGGACTGAAAAGAAACCACGGTATTCATCATCTCACAAAAATTATATTATTGTTTATTTTCTCATCTCTAAAATAGAACCAAAGAAAAAAAAAAAAAAAACATGAATGAGGAGGTGTGTCCAATCTTTTAACTGCCGGTGTGTTACCAGGAGGACGCAGTCTGAGTTTCACTTCCTGGTCTCGGGTCATGTGAAGTCCGGCTGCAGTAATGTCAGAGTGACTGTGCAATTTAGGCTTCAGTGCAAATGGAGCCACACCTCATACATTATACAATCGCACAGACCCAACACTATGACTCCCACAATGCACTGCAGCAGGGTCATTCAAGGCCAACATAAACAATGGACTCATCAGGCTATATTTAGTGAATTATTTATGTTTAAGAAGCCAAAGAGGCATTCTAGGCAGTAGCATAGGAAACAAGGTGCCTTAATTTCATTGTGTGATTAAATTTGATGCTTTATTTGATTTTTTTAGAGCTACTTTAACACATTTCAGCAAACTGATACTTCGGTAATGTCGGTATTGCATTTCATACCAGTTTCCTATTATTTTTATTTTTTTTTTAAAGCGGGTTTAATCCTCCGTCAGTAAAAGCATGTGGTGGTTTGGTTGCCTGGAAATATCTCTCAGCATGTTTTTATACAGATCAATATCAGTCTGGCCCCCACGCCCTCCGCCGAATCTCAAACCTCTGTTTTTTTCAATGACGCATGTAAAACAAAGGAGCTCATTGGTCACCTATGATTTACAAATAAAAACCCATTTCATTCTCAAACAGGCTCAACCCTGCGCAAACAGTGAGAGATACAGGGCTACATTCATACCATACTCCTTACAACTAGACAACAATACACCCTTATGTAACAGATAATACTCCCTACAACTGTATAACAATTCACCCTGTAACACACTGTAACAACAACTAATTAATGGTCTAAATCAAATGGAAATTCAAGTCAGTACAAGAAAACAAATATAATTACTGTCATCATACAGCCCTCAATACAACTTGATTATAGGTTATTAAAAAGTTTCAGAGTAAAACTTTTGGGTTACTAAGGGTACGTTCACTCTTGTCCTTGTTAGGTCCTGATATGAGGCCAGTGTAGTCCTGATGGTAGGCACAGTTTGATCCCGTTCTAGTCCAGGTCTAGTCCAAATTTCTAGTTTTGCGTTTTTCACAGTTTTGATGTTGTCTATGTGCAAGTGTGAATGCACCCCAAAATAACTCAGAATTACTAAATAGGGGTGTAACAATAACGTGATATCGTATCGTCAAAGTTCTCACAATAATATCGTGGGCCATCACAATATATCGAATTACAAGTCTCTTTGCTTAAATTAAGAGTTATGCAGGAATAGCTAAAAAAAAAAAAAAAAGACAGAGGGAACTACATAGACCATGATCCTTTACTCCATTTCAGAGTAGACTACATGAAAAAAATAACTAAGCACTTTTAAGTCTTACTTCTTTGGATTAAGTCTTGCCAAGGCATTTTAAAAAGAAAAAGTAGCATATTAACAGTTTTGTTTGTTTTTGCCTCCACAACATTTCACAATAAATATTGTACCGTGAGATGTATATCGTGAAAACATCGTACTGAGAGATTTGGATATTGTTATATCCCTAATCGTGAGCCTCCCCTTCATATCGTGAGCTTTCCCACGATATCGCAATAAAAATCGTACCGTGATGGTCATACCGTGACGATATCGTACAGTGAGACTTGGATATCGTTACACCTCTATTACTAAATGACTATTATTGATACCAAGAACATTCCCTGTGGTTGTGATGTTAACTGGAGGCACCATTAGAGATACATTAGAGATACATGTAGAACATCCCCAGCCTGATGTCACTGCAAAGTCAATTGGAGGAAACACCGTATTCATTATTGACACTGAAAGCAGGTCTTCCTCTGACCCGAATGCCTTCAGCACAGTGACCCTCTGACCATATGCTGCTCCAGACGTATAATTGGATTTCCATTACACTCTCTGTATTAGCGTAACTGGTACAACTGAACCAAAACAAACCACTAACTACACTCTAAATCTTTACACTATTATTATATCATTGTCATACTGTAATTATGGGTTTGATTTTCTAAACTATAGTTTTGTAATCGTATCTTACAAAACTAGAGATTATTTCAATGTTTATCCTTCCTGTTAGACACATCTCCTTTTTTCCAGTTGCCAAAAATGTACTTAAACTTTGCAATTTAATGTTAGGCTGTACAATACATTACATTTTTACTATAGTTTATTTTTGAGACGCTGATATTAGAAACATAATGTTTGGTTCCAGTCACATGTTTGCGTAACCTTGCATTATTAGTCTGTCTACTTGTCGGTCTTGTGATGTCATGAAGTGGTAGTTTTCATGTTAATAGCTACCTCCTGCCTTCAGTTCCATTGAGATTGACAATAACAGGTACAAAATCACCCAAATTATTCTAGTTAAGGTGTATGGAGTTTAAAAATACAGCAAAGCACTTTCTGTATTACCCATGACATCACAAGGTGGAACAGAGTGTTTTCCATTTGAGAGAAGTCAGCCTAAATATGCAAGGTTTGTGTGTTGAACGTGTGTGAATGAAACAAAACGCAACTCCAGGTATGTTGTGATGAGGACACAACATTATTACACAGATCAGAAAATAGTAGAATATGGGCCCTTTAACTCACTGATTTCTCAATATATTTACAGATAGATTTTTTTTTTTTTTTTTTTTGTATGTGTGTGCGTGTTCTAAGTTTAAGACATCTGAATCAATTACATGCTTTGGGTTTAAAAATTATATAACGCAAAACATTACTAAACATGCAACTTAAAGAGTGCTGAGCAGCTCACACAATTAGTATAAATTAAGTAGAGATAAACGAGTCATGCCTCATTAAATAAAAGCCTGCTGTTAGTTATCTAACACTACCACTGCTTGCTTGTTGGCATGAAGTCATGTTTATGAAATGCGGGGGTGTGACCGAGTGCACAGACAAGAGTCCGCCCTCTGAGCATCAGAGTCCGCCCACCACCTCCAGACAACCGGGGCCAGAGAAGCATGCTCATTTTTCATTGCAAAAATAGTCGATAATGTGTTAAAATACATTAAAGAATCAAATGCATTAACTGTTTTGTCCGCTTAACAGAACTGTTAGAAAGTTGCATGACTCCACGTCTTGTATGATTAAGACAAGCTCAAATGTGATGTTTTATGTACATTTAATTAAGAGCAAGGTTAAAATTCTTTCATTGTCGGTATACATAGGCAAAATTCCGCATAATTCTGTCATTTGCCAACTTCTTGTATACATTAGATGTCACACGTGTTAAGCGACAACACATTGCTATTACATGCTTACTCTAGTAGACATAGCTGGATTTACTAAACATTTGTCTAATCAGAATTTGCACTCGTTTTACGCTTTAGTTTCCATTGCGCTTTAGTTACGCCCCCAACCGGTCTCATTCATCCCACCATCCTGCAATCTCCCCCGGCTATTGCTTCCTACAAAGCCCCCGGTGGTTCACTCACGTTTAGCGGGGCAGCGTTGTCCTCCTCTCGCTCTCACAGCCTTTCGGATGTAGGATCGACTGATTTCCCCTCGCCTTCCGTTCAAAATTACATTAAAAGTACTCGATTTGTTGTTTATTTCTGGTTCACGTGTGGCTTTTCAGCGATAGACCGTATGAAATCTATCTTTGAACAGCGTAGCCATGTTTATATAGCGCTGCCGTCTGTCAAGCTCGACCAATCAGAAGCCACGCTGCTGTACGCTGCTGTACGCTGCTGCCGGTCAGGTCACGCCCCATCCCCCTGCTGTCACCCAGGCAACTGACCAAGATAGTGAGGTCCGCCAAGATGAGAAGTTCTCGAAAAATCCGTGTCTTTTTGCTAACTCACTGTCTTTCATGCGGATATTTCAAAGGTCAGCAAATGTAATGGTTTCATTTATTTAGATTGATTTAAATGCAGTCTATATATTCAACATTATCACTTTTCACAACAATGCTTGTTTCTTTATTGCAAAGTAAAATATACTAACATGGCACCAAAATAGTTTCATTTAAATTGGCCTAGGTGAAAATCCGTGTTTATTGAGCCACAATGATTTCACTCTTTTATCTGTCAATTAGCCTATAATTGTTTATAAAGTCTAAATCTAAATTATATCATATTTTACTTGCCTACAAGATTAATAGCAGTACCAAAGGCTACTGTACTTATCAAATTGGCCTTGTAATCAAAGTTAAGTGTATCACAAAGTCACGCCTAATGCAGTTTGAACTGTATTACATGTTTCAGAGCTGTCCTTTCTCCTGTTTAATTCCATTGGTCGTAAATATTTTTTACTGACCTTAGCCTTGACTGGTGCTGTAAACGTGAGAGTAACTTTCCGCTTATTAACATGAAACAATTCAATAAAGGGGCCAGGAGTAAAATAGGCCAGTAAAAATTTTAACTACATTACACAACTTTGTACAGCTGATTTTATTTATTTGTGATCTGTAAAGGCCCTATACCTAATTTCTTCCATGTATTTGAGCAAAACTTGCTCCAGTACAAATATATTGTATAAGGAGTTCTAGCATTTGAGGTATAAAAAAATAAGTGCTGTCTGCATCTAATTATAAAGTGTTCTGTGGTCTGATAACAATGTTCTTTGCTTTACCATGGTGACAAAACTGCACTGGTCTCTGAAAATTGTGAAAAGTGTTTATAAACTTACTGTGGAGAATAATGAGGATGCTAAGAATACATAAGGTACGTGAAAATGAACTATTTTTTAAACACATGATCCATAAGATAATAGCTGTGTTGAGTGTGCACTGGGATGATGTTTTTAACCTGTTTGACAGGTCATGTATCTGTGTTATAATGCTGTTACTTCCTCAGAAACATACGTGGCGTTTTATTGTCATGTTTGAGTAATCATTTAATATTAGTCTATATCTCCAAAGCTGAAAATGCTCTGTTCCACTTTGAGTTTGATGTCATGTAGTGGTAGTTTTCAAGTTAACAGCTCCTTCTTCCTTTTGTTCAGTAGAGATGGGCAATTCCAGGGCTGAAATTATTGAAATGTAGTGAAGGTGTATGGAGATTAAAAATACAGTGGAGCACTTCCTGTAGTAACACATGACATCACAAGTTGAAACAGAGCGTTTCCTGTTTGAGACAAGAACTCATCTTAAATTGACTTGTGTGTTAAACATGTGTGAATGAAACAAAACACAACTCCAGGTATGTTTTTGATGAGGAACAACTAGATAACCTAGATCATAAAATAGCATAGTATGAGCCCTTTAATCCATCTGTGATGTGCATGTTTGCATTGACAATAAAGCTCATTCAGTTTATATACAGTAGAACTCTCACTGTCACATGTTAAATTAATTGCATAGTATTTGCATGGTCGTCCTGTGTCTGAGTTGGTTGCAAAGCAGGTAGGCCAGGTTTTAACTCCTGCTATAGGAACAATAAAATAGAACCTTACAGGTGCATTGTGTAACTTTTTGGTGGGAGATCTGTCACCTGCTTGTTTCTATGAATACTGTATGTCATTGCTCTGCTTGGAATATTCCACAGTATGACATTAAACAGCTCATTTACATGTGTTCAAATACAGGTGGTTTTATAACTCAAAAATACTCAGAAAAAACAAACATTCTGACTGTGAGCAGGGCTGCCTCGCCACAGATCTGACCTGTAACTTGGTCTGGTTTGGTCTCCATGAAGATAGAAAGGTTTAATACCATACTGTAAAACATTCCAGACAAAGCAATAACATTTGAAGGACCCTCTACCAGAAAAGTTACACAATGCACCTTTAAGTCTCAAACTCAAGTTATAAATTTACCACATTTAATTTTTACCAAGAGTAAAGCTTGCATCCTGTTCCAAAATTTATCTAGAGTAACTTGTTGTTATATAGTTTGTTTGAAATATACTAATTGGTACCACTTTATAATAACTGCATCTTAATTGGCCATAATAAAGCTTGACATGACTTAAAGCTCACAAGATTCAGTTCTGTGCAATATAAGAGCTTTAAGCCTGTGCTCGTGCTTTAGGGCTAACTCATTAATAGAATCATCATAGGAATTTATATTACTTAACATTTTCTTGTCATATCAACCAATGCAGAATACAAATGACAACAGGTTCTACAATGTACATCCCCTTAATGAAAGAGCTTGTTTTTTGTACTGTTTTTTTTCAATTTGGTTGTGTTCATTGCACTGAAAAACCTGACACCTACTGGAGAATGGCCTCCTCCACCTTCTTTCCACGAAATGCTGCTCCTTTCGCTATAATCCTCCACAGCATGGCTTAAAGTGTGTATGTATCTACGTGGAAAATGTTCCGAAGTATAGTTTTACCTTTTTATTTCTATGGGATCATTCAGGTAGCGCGCCATCTACAGAAAGTTACACGGTTACATAAAGGCGACCAGAAGCAAAAATTGTTGTAATCGTGTTAAGAATGTGGACTAACCTTTACTTCAAATGTGTTATGCAAGTTTGGGAGGGACTGAAAATCAACATTATTTAGTCTAAGCTGATGAATAGGTATGAAATAGAGCAGCTCTTAGAGAGAAATGAAAAGAGATTGTATTGACAGTTGCCATGGAGGTTAGATTCTATAGGGTATTAACACAAAGCAGCAGACTAGTTTGGACATGTCAGAGCATTTAAGTTCACTGCGGGATATTTTTAAAAAGCTACAGGCCCTTTTTAATGCTTATTGCCAAACTAAATATAAATATATATGTATATATGTGTGTGTATATATATATATATATATATATATATATATATATATATATATATATATATATATATATATATATGTGTGTGTGTATATGTATATATATATATATATATATATATATATATATATATATATATATATATATATATAATATATATAATATATATATATTTTTTTTTTTTTTTTTTTTTTTTTTTTTTTTTTAAGCTTGAATCATTATGAAGATAAATTGCATGGTGTTATTATGAGAAGCCACCAAAAAGTAAACAAAAGTACTTGCTGTAACATGCGCTCCCGCAGTGTTGTGCATGAACGAGTTCAAAAGAACGCGTTCATTGAACACGTTCATTTTTCAGTGAACTTTGAACTGAACGCAACACTTTTGTAAATCAAGAACTTGAACGTGAATTTGTTCAAATTATGTGTGATGAACGATGTACGTCACTGTTGGGGTTTAGTTAAACGTCGGAATTTGTTTTCACCTGACGAGTGACGATCTGCTCGCACTTCACCCCGCGAAACCACAGCCGCGTGTCAACGCGAAGGCGACTCCACCGGCAGCTTTAGCGGAACGTACGGGCTCTTGTGTCTCTCAATGGGAAAGTCAATCAAACTTGACTGGGCGCGTTTAGCTGCTTGTATTTACCTTCTGTACAGGCTGACCACGGCAAACGCAAGGATTTCAAAAGTAAATTTCAAAGCACTAATTAACAGTCTGTGTGGATCTGGGCTCTTTCACATGATACACAACTGCCCAGGGAGCACAATGTGCTGATGGTAAATACACAAATACAACAATAGATACATGCTCGCTGTGCATTTTGACGGGGGATACGCGCCTACGCTCGTGTAGAGCGTCAAAAAAATAGAATGGATCCTATTTTCTGAAATCTACACGCACAGGACGTGCTGCTCCGCGCGTGTTATTTTACTTGGCACATATGTCAGTAACGCGCGTCACAGTGCTTTTTTAACCTGGATTGAAATGGTGGGTTTTTCGTTTTTCTTCATACAAATTTGCTAAAATCACCGCGATATCAGCAGCGGTGAAACGCCGGAGGTGCGCCCGCGTAGACCGTGATCCTGAGGAAAGGACCGACGCAGAAGTCCGCGCTCCACCGAGATAAACGCAGCTGACGCCCGATCGCACTCGGGGTTCACTCAGGGGCGGTCCTAGATTCCAAGTTCTAGTCCAGGATTAGTTCTGGTTTAGACCTGGTTTAGTCCTGGTTCAGTCCTGGTTCAATCCTGGTTTAGACCTGGTCCAATTCTGGTTCAGTCCTGGTTTAGTCTTGGTTTATTCCTGGTTCAGTCCTGGTTCAGTTCTGGTTTAGTCCTGGTTTAGACCTGGTTTAGACCTGGTTTAGTCCTGGTTTAGACCTGGTTCAGCTCTGGTTTAGTCCTGGTTTGGACCTGGTTCAGTTCTGGTTTAGTCCTGGTTTAGACCTGGTTTAGACCTGGTTTAGTCCTGGTTCAGTCCATATACGGCGCAAAAGTTCAGCATCTTAACAGTTCTTTTGGTGAGAGTAAATTAAAAGTGCTGCAATAGTCGTGTAATGTTTTACATTTTAAATACAGTAATATTGTAATGAAACAAATTACTTTGAAATGACAGTAACAAGTCATAAATAACACATTACAGTTTTAAAGTCACTTGTCCAACAGTGTATCTTGTAAAGTTGTTGTAAACTAGAAGTCAGTTTGAAAAATAAAAGCAGCCTTTCATTTACAGATCTCATCTAAATATAAAATGAACTGAACTTTGAACTAGTTCAAAATTAAAATTGTGAACTATGAACGTGAACTATTCACTTTGAACAAGTGTGAACTGAACTTTGAACTAGTTCATGAAAAGTGTGAACTTGCACAACACTGCGCTCCCGTTAGTTAAAGCTTTTTTAAGTTTTTTTTTTTTTTCTTACTTTGGTTGTG